TTTTATCAAAAATTCCTTAAAATTTTACAAAATACGAAATGGACAATAAAACAAATTCAAAATTCGGGTTTCTGAGTTAGGGTGGAGGACTATGTTATTCGGAATTTGATGATTCTAGGTACTATGGTGCATGGGTTATGGCTCGGTGATATAAAAGTCAAAGACATGACTCCGCTTCGCTAAACATAACTTTGTTAACACACCATATTATTAACACAACTATCGTTAACATAACAGAAAACTTCTCGTACATCCATCTACTCGAGCTAAGGGCGAAGTGGGCGAGTTTGCTGTCGCGGTGGCAGTTTTTAACGTAAACCACATGACGTGGTCTGGTAGCACACTCAGTCGAACATCAAACTGCCACAGTACTGTTGTTTTTCACACTGCGAGAAACATACACACATTCATGCAGATTTTTCATTATTTAGTTTCTTAAAATATAATATAGGGCTTCTGGGCTACAGTAGTTAAACGATTTTATTTTTAATCCTACATGATAAAGCTGTAGAGACATTAAGCATTTTTTGGAAGCAGGCAAGATGAAAAATGAGCAAACGCCTTCGCCGGGAATCGAACCACGAACCTCTGGAATACCGAACCAGCGTGCAGAACCACTATACCATGAAGGCACGCTAGGAAGGCGGGAGAAATACCTTATATACTTCCCCTTTTAAAGGGCGACTAGGGTTTTAGGGAACCTAGTCGCCAAATCCTGGATGCGGAGAATCATCATCCACAACCCTTTTAGTTCAGGCGCCACTGTAGACCCATTAGGCTTTTTTTTTTTTTTTTTTTTTTTTTTTTTTGAAGTCGGAAAGATGAAAAATAGCAAACGCCTTCGCCGAGAATCGAACCACGGACTTCTGGAATACCGACCCAGCGTGCAGAACCATTACATCACGAAGGCACGCTAGGAAGGCGGGAGATATACCTTATACACTTCCCCTTTTAAAGGGCGACTGGGGTTTTTAAGGGACCCAATTGCCATCATGATTTAGTGCAGTTATCTAAAACAGTCTACAGTAAAAATGTTTTATAGGTATATATTAATCCTTTTTAAATACTTTTTCCCTTGGCAGTTTTATGAACTTTCCTAATACTTTCTGTTCGCATGGAAAAATTGTTTTCCCCAGTGTGAAGAGTAGTTAATTTTATTACTGAAGAATAATTTAATAATGAATATTTTGCTCTTCCGATGGAGTAAAAATTTTTACATACACAACACACACACAACAACAACAAAAAAGAAACTGTTCTTATAAAATTCTTTACCTTATTTTCAGAAACTCTTTAAGCCAGGACGGCGCTAGACTTTTTGTCGCCCACTGCAATATTTGTGTCTGCTATATTTTGCCACGCCTATGTTACTTAAAATTTATAAAAATTTCACCGCCTGGTGTAGACACACAGGCTTTTACATCGGCCCTGACGGAAGCGCGCGTCTAGGATCAATATTTAAGGAAATACGGCTTGTAGCTATCTTTTCAAACACTTTTCTTTTTATAAATATACAGTCAAAAGTCTTTAATCCGGACTCGTGGAGACTTCGGCGATTCTGGATTATCGATTTTTCCGGATTATAGATCATCAGTTTAAATCTGGTAAGATGGCATGCAGAAATAATAAAATTAAAAATATGAAACCGTAATTTATAAAATAATGAGCAATTATGATCTAAAGGGTATCAAAATTTACAAAAAAAGAAGCTTAATATTTATTTGTTTACTTTATTAAACATTTCTTTCAACGCGCACATGCGTACCTTACGCACATGCTTACCTTATAGACGAAATTAGAAAATTGCAACCAGAAAACTATTTGATTTGTATTCGTGATATTTATAATGACGAGGAATTTGATTTAAATCATATCAAAGACGGAGTACATCGAGATTAAATACTACATTTAGTAAGGAATTATAAGCCGAATAAAATAAAAACATCTGCCCTGAAGATAACGATAGTGCTGACAGATCAACTTCCAGTTCATTGCACGCAACGGCGTCCCCCCCCCCCCGCGCAGAGCAGCGTGAAATTGATAAACATTTCGGAAAGTTTTTTTTTTTTTTTTTTTTTTTTTTTTTTTTTTGTTTTTTTTTTTTTTTTTTTTTTTTTTTTTTTTTTTTTTTTTTTTTTTTTTTTTTTTTTTTTTTTTTTTTTTTTTTTTTTTTTTTTTTTTTTTTTTTTTTTTTTTTTTTTTTTTTTTAGATAACAAGGATATACCTTTATCCATTTTTTGCAGCAATTCGTTTTTTGTTTGATGGACATCGAACATACTTTCATTTTCTAGATCCTTTGGGAGCTCCAGCATCGGAAATTCAATTTGACATAATCGAAAGTTCAAGCTTACTTTTATAAAATTGCTCTTACAGTCTGCAAAAAATAATAAGCCGGATCCAATTGCTCTTACAGTCTGCAAAAAATAATAAGCCGGATCCAATTCGAAGATTAAGGAACAACGCAATCATCAACATTAACTGAAATAGATAGTTAGATAATTTTAGCTTATACCGTCCGTTGTACATTAAACGTATTCTGCGCTTGCGCAGTTGTAAATGTCTTGCGCGCACGCGTAAAACGCCTATGAGCATGCGTCAACGCGGCGCATGCGCAGAAAGATTTTAGCTTTGAGGTCCGATTTATGGGTGTCCGAATTAACGACTTTTGACTGTATTACAAGTAATATTATTATATCCAATTCATTCAGTATATCCAGTTCATCGGGTTGGTTAGAATTTAATTTCGGTTTTTTAGTGTGAAATAAAACTCAATTTTTACTCCCTTGTACAAAGTAAAGAAAATACTGTTACGGCGAAAAATTTCAGATATAATATTCCAACAAAAATATCCATTTCAACCGCTCTCGAAACCATTTGAACGATGTTTTTGTGTGACACCTATACGTAAGGACAGAATAAAGGACTCTTTCTCCCAAAATGGATTGTAAAATGGATTCAGAAGATATTTTTTGTGACGTCTCTACGTATGTATGTATGTATCTTGCATAACTCAAAAACGAGTAGCCTCATAAAGCTCAAATTTTGTATATAGGCCTGCTATAACATGTAACTTTTTATTTTATGTAGTTGTGCATCTCCCTTTTTGGTTGCAATTGGAGGCACCAAACGTATATAAATATATACCCACTCTGTTACTCGACTCTGTGAGCTATTTATGTATATATATATATATGATATTGGTAATTTGTGCATTTTTTGCTTTAAAAATGACTGAATTTTGTTGTTCTTATGTTCCAGTTAAGGTTTTTATGCCTTTAGTAAATCTGCACGCAATAATTGTAGAATTATCAACAGTTTAAAAGTTGTTTAAGTGCGGCTAAACCTGATGGAGCAGCCATTTGTTTATATTTGAAACTTACCGGAATAGTGGATTCTGCACCTTCAGTGTCTGTTTGCCGAGTGGGACCAAATATAAACTTCTAGTTTTGTGCAATGAAAGATCTGCCTCCTTGCCCGCTTGCTTGTTTTTGTGTAGGAATGCTAATTTTAATTGTAGAAATTGCTTTTTTAACTGTAATTAGTGTTTTTCTGTATTTTACAATTTTTAATGAAGATGTTTTGAATTTTTATGTATTTTTGCCTTGCCGTGAAGTGAGAACAATTAATTGCATGAGAAATATATCTATAAGGAAATTCAAGGAAATAACTTTAAATGAAATGCAGCCAAAAAATGTATATAATTTAATAGGAAGTACATACAAGGAAGTCATGTGGTGTCCACATCAGGATTTTTGATAGAAAAATTGAACTTAGTATATCGTCTGTTCTGTTCAGTGACCTTTTGCCATCTTTCTGACAAACTTCATCATTCCACGCTCACAGAACTTCTGGTCTTTAATGCCAAAAAACTCATCCAAATGCAATTTGAAATCATCCTTATTACTGAGATTTTTACCTTTAAGAAGTTTTGTAAACTTTGAAATAAATGATAATTCGATGGTGCAAAGACGGGGTAATATGGGAGATGTGACATCATTTCTCAGCCAAGCTCCAATCATTTTGTACCCTTTGCTAAATATGTGTGAGGAGGAACATGATTTCTTTCCGATTTGCTAATTCTGGCCTTTTCTCTTTGATTGTTTCAAGTTGTTGGCAATAAACATGTGAGTTGATCGTTTGGTTGTTTGAAAGTGGCTCAAAATACACATCACCTTTGTAAGCGCATCATATTGACAGCATGATATTTTTCTGATACAATTTAGCTTTTGATATGATTTGTGCTGATTCATCCATAATCTTCTTTGAATTTTTTATACTAGTGATAATTTGTTTAAAAAAAAGGGTCGACTGCATTAATTAGAAATGCATATTGCAAATACTGATTGGTTGTATTCAGTGAATTTCTTTCAATTCTTGCAGAACCTAAATATGCAGCTTTTAAGATAGATTTTCAGTTGTTGTGTGTGATACACTTAATCTTTTTGCGGTTTTTCTTACAATTATATGACAATTCGATTCAATTACAGCTTTAATTTTGTCAGCATCAACTTCAGAAGGTTGACCTGGTTATCCTGAAGTGAAAAATCTCCAGAATGAAATTTTTTAAACCGATTTTGACACATGCATTCTGTTAAACAATCAACACCATAAACTTTACACATCTCTTTGTGGGCCTCACAGTCGCTTTCTTGCTTTTATAAAAATAAAAAGTAAAATATGTCGAAAATGTTTATTTTTGTATGCCATGTTAAAATTGACCGTAAGCTAATAGCTGCAAACAAAAATACATGGAATTTGTTTCTATAGCAACTTAACAGTGTCAGCTGCCAAATCTCAAAAGAAAAACAAAATATAAGATTGAGAGAAAAATAATAAAACAAACATAATGCAGTCTATTTATGCAAACCATAGTTACTTTCTTGCCAAACCAATATTTATGTTTTAGAAATATACGTTATTACAAAGTTAAGCTCTCACATAAACATCTTGCTATATATAGCAGTATGAATAATATTACATATTTTCTTCTTATCAAAAGGTTTGTCCAAAACCATCTGTGAAGGGACTGGAAACGGCTGGCCCAAGAATCCCATGGGAAGATGTAGAAAACTTTGAACGAAAAACAATTCCTCATTACATGAGCTCAAATTACAATTATAAAAAAATACAAAACGATTCAGATGGTCAAAATTCACGAAAAAATACTACTGTCTATATGCGACAAGGGAATTCTAGATATTCTCCATCTCATAGGTATTCTCATGGAACACTAACAAACTATTCAAAACGTCGTCATAGACATAGAAGAAGCTCAAGTGAAAGCCCCAAGGTTCAAAAACCGATAGCGAATGGTTATCAAAGCCATTCGACGAGTTCTAAATCAACAATGGATCACAGTGAAGACAAGGTGTCTCATAGTTCTTCAAGTGGATCTGTCCTCCCTCCTAATCGAAAAGCCATAGTTAATCCACGCACTAAAGTTCCAGAGCAATCAAGAAACGAAACCCTTGTTTCTGAAAGTATTGCATCGGCACAAAAGGAAAAGAAAGTCGGTGAAATTCCACCAAGTACACCAAAGTCCAGATTGAAGGATTCATTTAGTTGCTCACCTAAGCCGAAAAAAACATCTCTAAACATCAGCAATCCCATCACTCCTGTGTCCAAAAAGATCGAGGATAAAAAAAATGGAAGCATATGCAATAATTTGGATAACAAAGATTCAGAAAACAATAAAATATTTTCGAATAATATCAGTGATGCAAAACTTGCAATGAGTGAATCAAGCAGTGAAACATCAGCTTCTTGTAATGGATCTGCTGCTACCAAACTAGAATCCGGAATCCGACCATTGGCTCTAAAGAGCTTAATCGAAATGCCAAAACCGCCATCTCTTAAAGAAACCAAATCACTGCCAGCAAAAGAAATTGTAATAGATAATTCAGTCAGCGTTGAAGTTGCCGTGGAGAAAAGCCCACCGTCCATCAGCCCCAAAGGGAACAATCATTCAACGACCATTGTAACAGAAGAAACGACAGTTACTAAAGGAAGTGGTAACTCTAAAGTGGTCACAGTGACTAGTATTACAACTAGTTTATCTCATGGAGGATTGAAGGACCTCAACAGCAAACATAGTCCTGATTTATTAGATGAAGAAATATCCAGTGAAAAACAAAAACCTTCAGTTAATGATTTAAACATTGAAACCCTAAATGGATCGCATATAATTGATTGTAGTAGTTCTTGCAATATTGTAACAGAAGTAAAATGAACTCTTTATTAAACAGTAGTAAGGGGGATTCCTTATTACTGTTACAAGGTAGTTTAACACATTCTTAGCATTTTATGAAATTGAGATTTTATAGCCATCAAGCCATACTAGTTTAAAGTCAATGGATCAATTATTTTTATATATTTGAGGATACATTACTTTGTACACCTCTGATTTTGATAAAACTTTAAAAATAATTATTAAATTTATCCATACATAATTAACTATTTATCAATCATTATGTGGTAAAAGCAAGTTCTGTTAAATTTCATTTTAAAAGTTCTAAAAATCCATATGACAATAAACTTAATCGAATTTATGAATACTGTGAAAGTTTTAAATTTGGAATAAAAATAACTGACGACATGTAGATTCTATCTGCTTAAGAAGTGTGACCACCTAGTGTGACTTACAAGATTGTAACTCTGTCAAGTGGCATGATCTACTGATGGTCACAACTGCCTTATTTAAGGTGTAAGATAAGTATACATTATAAAACAAAGTGCTGTGACCCATCAGTAGGGCACAAGCTGTACTGCTGTCAGGCTATACAACCTATCAGTGGTCACATTATTTATAGTTTCCCGACTCTAATCTTAAAAATATAATAGAAAAACTTTAATAAAATAAAGTTTAATGACAATTCCACCTTTGATCTACATTTCAGTAAAATTAGGATAAAACCAAGTGCTGGTTGTATTTTGATGACCTATGTATTGATTCTTTAAATTTTTGTAACTTTCTTTTTTTTTTTCCCCCATGAAGAAAGAGTATTCCTTACATCATCTCCTTATTATTCAAACTGGTCCTTCAGTGTTTTATTCATCACTAAATTTTATTTTTTGAAAGCAGTATTGTAAAATTAGTTCTTCCATGTGATTCTACATCTGAATAAGCTTTTTTCCAATTCAAATGAATATGTGTTACCAAAAAAATGTGTGAAAAGCAAGCATTCTGTACAGTGTATGATGGTTTTTAAGCAAAGTATGAAATGCATATTTTATTTTATTATTTTATATATTTCTTCCTTGGGATTATATAGAATACCTTAGCATGATATAAAATTAGTGTTTCAGCAAGCTATGAAAATGGCTTTCCTTGAAAAACATGCATGTGATAATACAAGATACAGATTATTTTTTAAACCTACAGAAATAGCAAAAGAGTTGTATCAAGCTACTTATTGTTATAAAGCAGACTGGACTAGCATTTTAAATAGCACTTAATTGTCTTTTTGTACAAAAACACTTCGAATTTTGTCACTTGTCTTTTCAGTATGTCTCATGATCCCTTGGCTGCAGTACATAGTCTAAATGGAAGCAGCTGACCATACAGCTATTCTGTCATCGTGATTACTTTACCAGTTTGCTTTTAAGCATTCCATAGAATGACAAGGAAATGTGCAGAAATTACAGCATTTCATACTTTGATGTCCCATTTTCAGCACTATGTAGAATGCCCACCACAATTTGTCCATAATAGATCCCATAGAAATTTCCTTCATAAAGATTTTGATTGTGATTTTTTCACCTAAATCAAAATCATCCTGTTCTGAAGTAATCACAGTGATAAATGAAATGCACCAAAAATTACAACTTAAGAAATTTAATAAAAAAGAATTACCTTATTTCACAAAATCTTCAAACAACTGAATCATTTATTTATAAGGTGATTAAAAAAACTGTTAACACTATACGAGAAAGAGAAAAAGGAAAACTGGTAATCTATGTTCACTTTTTTGACTGAACAAATTAATATGGAACTTTCATATGTTTGCCCTCATTGTCAACACATTTTTGAAATTTGTCCAAAGGTACTGTACAGGAACGTATGATGCTGAAGTGTCTATGGCAGCTTTAATTCTTTAAAGCAGATTGCCAGCATTATATGGTTTTGTTGCAAAAATCTATACTTAGATTCCAAAACGAAAAATCATATGGTGTGAGATCAGAAGAACATATCTATCCCAAAGAATATTTTCTTCCAATTCATCTTCATAAAAATTTTTTATTGAGCCAGGCATAGACATCCTCATCAAAGTGCAGAAAACCAATGTTCAGCTGAAAGGATCTGCACTAGAGGTAATGATGAGTGGTTTTCACTTCACCTTACCTACATTACCTTAAAAAAATGCAACATCCAGATTTGCTTAGATTGTCATACACTAAGCATACATTAATATACTAAATATGAATAAATTCCTGTCTTTATAGCAGAATGTTCTCAGCAAGTTTTATATTTCCCATTTAATGTTAACATTTAGTGAATCTTGTATTCCTCAAGTTGAGAAAAGCATTGCATATGTGGCAAATAACAATTTGGTTTAATAAGCACCACAAAATTATAAGACATGATGTAGGAAAATGAAATGGATTAATAGAAAGTTACTGACAGAGGGAAAAGTTAAAAAAAAAGCTGTAAAAATTGCTTTTCTTAAAAAAGAAAACCATAACTGCATATTGATTGATATCAGACAAATGAAACTGGTCTCCAGGTTGAATGTGTTTCACACTATGCTTATATATGTAAATATTTTTAACTTTCAAACTAACGTGTTCCTTTTCATTATAATGTAAATATACTTTCATACTTAATGTAAATAATACATTAATTTAAGTTAATCCTTTGGTAAATGAAATTTTATATACATCTGATAGGCTTTTGAATGCATCATAAAAAGTTGTACTGATTCCCTGCTTTGCTATATTTTATACAGTAACTTACTTTAAAACTGTACTTACTATAACAATAAACACATAAAATAGATTTGTGTTCATAATATTAGTACAAAGACCAATATTAAGCTTTCAGGGGAGTTAAAAGCAACAGGTATAAACAGAAAAAGTGCTTTGACTAGATATAGTGTAATGAAGGAGTGAATTTCATTTAACATTCTGTTGTAGCAACTAAGCTTTGCTGTATATAGAAGTTGAAAGAAAATGTATAGAAAACATTAAGAACTAATATTTCTTATTATGCACATTTTAGAAAAACAGCAGCAGAATTCAGATTAAGTTCTGTAAAAACTAGAATTTTAGTGATCTAAAACAAAGTAATATAATTTTGAAATCAAAATATAGGTTTATTATAAAAGAAATATAATTTGTAAATATTTACAAATTGTATTTCTTTTTAATAGCTTGTAAAGAATCATCACAGTGAAACTTAAGGGATATGTGCAAGCACATAGAAATGTTCAATATTCCACACAGTGATGTAGGTGATCACCATGTGTCACATGACAGTAGGTTGTAAGAGAAAAAATGATCACATCTACAATAATGAATGCTTGTTTCATTTTACCCAATTCATTTAAACCTCGCTACAGCTGCAATTTATATGGAAAGAATCTCAGATGTCTTTGCAAAATTTTACAAATTCTAGGCTGTGGAATTTGAAGTTCATAACTAGCTGTCATTGTTGATTTCTTTGGGCTTTGTTGGAAGGACCCACTGACATGTCCAGTTTCTTCACAAGGACAATGAGGATTGTATAATTGAAGAAATATTTCCTGCTTAGAAGTGACTTTCTGAAACTTGATAAAAATTTGTGGAACTGGATTCTCTTTTCTGAATTCTGAAGTCCCAAACCCCTCAACTGCAGATGACCATTTTTTGTACTGTGTCATGTAGCACACAAATTAGGGCTTACAGCATAATAAGGAATACTGGGGGAAAACTCTGTATCTGCAGGAACATACATTTTCAAGTTTCATCATGATAACTTTTACAAGAATTCTTTCATTTCATCATATTAATAACATCAAGATGATAATGAATCTTTAGTCAAATTTGCTAAAGAGCACATCTTTTGCTACTGTTTTCTATAACAATGAAATTTTTAAGAATTTAAAAAGATAGTTAAATTTTTGTTACACTTACATCATAATATCCTTTAAGATTGTCTCATATAATAATGCAATTTTTTATTTCAAAAAGACAAACAGCAAAAGACAACACAGCATTTTTAACATATTTGCAAAAGAAACACCTTATGCTGTATGTTAAAGTAATTTAGGTAGTTAGCTATGGATCACTAAATCATACATTGCTTTAAGAACTACATACAACAATAATGATCACACAGATAACAATAAATTGTGTGATCACACATGGTGCAAGATAATCTTTTCCCAGGTATACAAGAAGCATTGATGCAACCTAAGATTTCTCTTAGCAAATCGTGAATCAGTTTCAGAGCAACAAATAAAACCCCAGCATATAAAATGCCTTCTTTCATGTATTTGCTATTTTATTAACAAACAATTTTCTTAACATCTGCAATATTGTTATTCTTTTCAGTCACTGAATAAAATCATTTCGTTTATAGATTTTGTTGTTGTTCAATGATATATAATGTCTTTCACTTTTTAAAAAATATTTTAAGTGCATTTCTCAGCAACATAACTTAATTACTCAAAAAGTGATTTTATCCAAATTTCTTAGAAGTATTATGCAACAGTTTTTATTTTTACATTGAAAGCCAAATAAAATGGGTTTCTAGCATTCTATAGAATACTGACTGCAAAAATTCTAACTCCTCTTCTCATGCACACTAATATCTGCAACTAAAATAAAAAATTAAATAGTTATGATAAAATGTGTAGTATCATATAAATTATAAGTCTATTTCTCCATTTTTTAATAATTTAATTTAAACTATTAGATACTTTTTTAATATTTTGTTCTTTTATTTATAACACTTTTCTATATTTTAAAAAGAAATACAGAAATAAAAGTTAGTTTCTAAAATTGAAATTCTATTTACCTTGAGTTCTTAATTTTATTCTGCAATAGATTTAATTTTTTTGAATTAGTAAAATAGATATACTCATTTAAGAAGAAAATATTTGTATGATTTTTTACATATTTGTAATCAAATACATGTTGTTAAATTATAATTTAAAATTTTCAGAGTTTTTAGTTATTTTTTTAACAGCAATAACAATAATGTATTATTTTGATGGCATTCTAAAATTTAGAGTCTTTTTTTTCTTTGATGTACATAAAATCAATGCATGGTTGATAGGTATAAAATCATGCTCATCTTAAGAAATTTTGTCAATCACTTTGAATAACCATACATTCTCAGCATGAATCATTTAGATCATGGTTATCGCATTCACATTTTCATGTTTTGATTAATGACAGTCATTTTTGAAGAAACTATATAATGATTATTAAGTGCTTTATAACATTGATATTCAGCCATTATCTTCATAATACTGACTGAGGTTGGATAACAAAGGAATAAGTTAGCAAATTAGCTGTAATCTTACAAATAATTGGTCTGTCGGTTCATTTCTTCATTCAGTGAACTAAAAGGTGTAGAATTTTGTGCTCAATCCTGAGTGAGACCAAGAAAAAACCTTCAAAAGAACGCATGAGAAAGAAGAAGGCTTGTGAAATGAATTGAAAGAGCTAAACATAATAACAGCTTTTTATCCAGATCTTCTCATCAAAAAAGTTTTAAAAAGAGAAGGCACTTTTTTAAAATTTTAAATATTGATCAAGAGCTTGCTCACAATAAGTCTACCTCCAGCTTCTAGCATAATATTAAAAAAGATAATTAAATTCCCCCCCCCCATTTTTTATGTTTATTGTGAAGCAAATAATAATTTAAAACAATAACAAAAAGTTAATATTATTAACTAATTAAAATTTTAATACCTGAAAGAGAAGCTTTTGTTTTCATTTTGAAAGGGGGGATTTGTCTGGCAAAATAGGCCGATGTAACTAACTCATTCAGCATCTTCAAAATAGATCAGCATAACATCCAAATAAACATCAGTTATTAAAAAATAAATATTTCTTACTAAAGGAGTTTTTAATAGAAACACAATAATAAGTAAGATAACTGTAGTCCATATACAACAGCTTCCCTACAGAGATTCTGTTGGCTGTTTTATGACAATTTATTAATTTATTTATATTTATATACTGCTAGTACAATTTTAAAAAGTTTTGTGCCTCAAAGATATGCTTTTGTTTTCTTCTAGAAAGAAAACAATTGGCAAAATAGGTAGAGTTACAAAGATCTGAATTCCAATTCCAGACTCTTTTACAAATTAAATTTTCTGCAGTTTGTGTAATGAAACAGTGCTTCAATATTATAATGTAAATTGTAGTATAAATAAGATGTGAAAAAAATATGTTATACAGCCACTGTATTAACATTTTTAATGCTATGTACACTGTACTAGGACAGTTCTATATCTCCCGTTCTACTGGGTCAGTTGACTAAATTCAACTTGTGATTGTGTCTCGAAAGCGCGACTTAGGATATGCATTAGATTTATATATAGCATATTGTAACACAAAATCGTACTTTTTCTGAAATAATATGCCAATTGTTTTCCATGTCTCGATTCTACAACTCAAATTATGCCAAAATACTCAAATTATGTAAATATTAAATAAAACTAAAATAAAAAAAAAAGTTTCATAAAAATCGCACAAGTTGTTTTTAAAAAATTAGCTCTCAAAATTTTAGTTCCTCAGTGTTAATTAAATTTGATCTATATTTATCAATATCTCTTTTTTTTTTTAAATTTATTACACTTACTTCATTCCTTCTTCCAGAATTCAAAATTTAGGCTTAAATATATTCACATTTTCTTATATTTATTTTTAAAATTTGTATTTTAAAATATTTTTTATAAATTTTTCAAAAAAATATTTGTGTATTATAATAACGTATACAATTTTTAACATTGTCTTAAAGTAGATGTCTTTCTAGGCACACCCGCAAAAAATTAAGTCTTTTATTCAAAATTTTCTGAAATATACTAATTTACATATTGGAGCAGTTTTTTTTTTTAAAGCAATTATAACGCCAAATGTGGTTTATGTACTTTGTTAAAATTATTTGGAGGTATGAACGATGACTTTTCTCCCGCTCATATACAATGAAAAAAAGAAAAGGAAAATAGATTGCTATAAATTAAGAAGTTCGCCAAGCAAATTATTCTTTGTGAAAACGGAAAAAAAAAAAAAAAAAAAAAAAAAAGTGTTAAGATAAACTTTTGAATTTCCTGTAAATTTCGCACCAAATTTTACAAAATTTAATATTTAGGGATAATTTGAGCCATAGAATGGAAATCGAAATTTGAAAAAAATTGACATATCATTTCAGAAAAAGTTCCGATTTTGTGTCAAAATAAATGTGTTAGAATGATACTATATATAAATCTAATATATATCCTAAGTCACACTTTCGAGACATGAAAAACACAGTTTGAATTTTGTCAATTGGCCCAGTAGAACAGGAGATACAGAACTGTCCCTTCCCCCCTCCCCCACAGTGTACAGATGAATTTCAATACACTTCAAACTTTACATACTCATACAAGATAAATGTCTAAAGTTACTCTGTCAGCATTTTTATAGTTCCTATTAATTCTAATGCCCTTAGCACAGTGATCAGTTAAGCATCAGTTTAAAGCAGAAAAGAATGTTTTGAATCTTCAAGTTTTACATGTTCTGAGCTGCAGCATGTAAATACAAATGCTGCTTAATTTTCTGAAATTTAAAAAAAAAAAAAAAAAAAAAAAATCAACTGAAGTCAGGTTTGGCGAAAATAATGGACAGGGGAGAAGCTAAAATCAGAATTGCTGAATAGTTATATAACAAATTTGAGTCTCCTATGCAAAAATAACATTTTCTGTTAAATCTATTACAGTATTTTAACTTTGTGGCTAGTTAAAGTTCATTCAAAAGCTTAGCCTAATAAATTGTTATTGTGGTAGTTATGTAATCTATCATCAGTCAGAAGTGATCACTTTTTATTCTCAAAATGTTGCTCCTGGATTCTGGTGGATAACATAAATTAAGGAGTGGTAAATATGCATCAAAGAATGATTGTGCATTAGGTGAGAATGGACCACTTTCTTGGTAATCCTCCACAACTTCAAATGATAAAGTGATTAATCATATACAGATTTTAGTCATGCAGTATCATTGTGTCACAAAGATCAAGCTGACAAGACAGGAATAAGCACTGGTTCAGTATCTTTCATTTTTAATAGAGGATTTGGTCATGCAGAATGTTTGCAAAATTCATACCAAATTTGCTAAAATAAAAAAGAAACAAATCTATGTGGAAACACTGCAGAACATGTTTAATGCATAGATGCCATACCATTTTCCTAAATACTATGATAACTGGTGATGAGTCTGAGTTTATGAATATCACCAAGATAGCAAGGTAAAATAATCACAGTGGAAAAGTTCATCTCCCCCGAGACTAAAAAATACACAATCGGTTTGTAACAAAGTCATACTGTCTCTTTACTTTAACTCACATGACTGACACATTGTATGCCACAAGGTTAAAATATTGCAAACGAATACCACTGCTGCTTTCATGATGCTTTGCAACCCAACAGACTAAATTTATATACAGTAAATACTTGTTGGTTTGTTATATTATATAATACACTAGCTAATTTTTTGTACATATTTCAGATTTTTCTTCACCAAACACAACACTCTTTCATTTTTTACGCTTTCTACTCTCCTGAATGTCTTCAAATGTTTTCTCCCAAAATTAAAATGCCATTAAAATGAACCAAATTTGAGTAATTAGAAGACATTACACAGAATGTGAAGCTACAACAGCATTTCATTCACAGTGCTTCTCCCAGAAATATTTGCAACAATGAAAGATACTTCTAAGGAATTTATTTTTGAAAAGATTAGGATTTCAGACCTCAGACTAACTGTACATTTTTCAGCCAATGTTGGGAGACCTTCTGAAAGACTGTGTATAGAGCATTATATATAATGCTTGTATAAATATAGTATCATTATAAATATACTAAGTCAAAATTTATTCATGTAATTACAGTCTTTTAACATCTTAATATAAATATAAAAAACACATTAACAAATATTACTTTTTATAAATCAGAGACATGACTTTAGAAATTCTAGATCCCAGATGATTTTTTTACCTGTAAAATATAAAAAAGATCTTTTACATAACTACTTACTGAAAAAAATTAAATAACTTTATGAATATTCAGTTGAAAAATCCATTGATACTTTATTCATGCATTATATTTAACAAAGAAACTAATATGAAGTTTATTGAATCTCATGTTAAATACTTGCAAGGTATATGTTTACTCTTTAAAATGGCTTCAAGCACCATAGTAAATGATCCATTTTTCAAGAGAATTTAAAAAACAAGATTGAAATATTTGCCAATGCTGAAATCTATGACATGCATAAATTATTCTATCTTACATTGCTTAACCATAAAGCAGAAACACTGATAGGATTAGAAATTAAATTCTATTTCAGAACAAGATATTATTTACCTTCATATAAATAGTGAAAGTACCCGATGCAAGTTAAGTTAGATTGAGAGTAATGCATCTAATAACAGAGAAATGATACCGCTATAATTATTCTTTTCTAATAATGATGCAAAAAATATGGTTCATAGTCATACATTTTTCAGTCTGATGCAATATGGAACCCACATAAAAAATTTCGATAGAAAAAGAAGCTAATTCTCTCTCATTATATCAGCAACAATGGCACGCAGTTTTTAATGATTTTCGTTTTTCTAATCAAATGGTCATAAAAGCTCAGGTTCCCATCCAGTATTCAATTTTAGTCAATTAAATGTGGCAAAAATTTCATAATTGCTCAGAAATCAATAATACAAGCAAACAAACACACAAACAGACATTCTTCTTTATATGTATAGATTTTGTAAAAATTGCAAATTTTTGATTAACAAACTCTACGATTTGAAAGCGAGCAGTATCAACACTTTTTGAAATGAAGCATTTTTATCTCTAATGCCTGAGACTGTTGCCACTCGGAAAAATGAGTGCTTTCAGAGTTTTTAATTAGTATTTTGGCTGATTAAAGTCATACGAAGACAGAAATATTCGAAATGGCTTCCCACGATTTTTTGGAATTGGAATAATGTATTTAATGTTTGTCAATGCTACTTTTATTTCATTGTAAAACTTAGAAATTTTTTTATTAGCAAATTCTAGGATTTAAATGCGAGCAATGGCAACAACTTTCAAAATACAGCAGATTTTCATCTCCAGCTTGTGAGACTGTTGCCACTTGGAATAATGAGGGTGAAAACTATCGTTTTTCTGAGTTAATATCTCTCATTTTAGCTACCTTTTTTTTGGAAAAAAAAGGACGTTGACCTTTTCCAGGACCCAGAAAAGAATTGTTGAAAGTTTGGTGATGACAGCTATAGTCATGACTGAGTTATTAGAGGACAACCAAACACACAGATTTTTTTCTTTATAGATAATTGTTTATTTTTTAATGAATGACTTTAATGCAAATTTTGAATTTGAAAATAGCATAAAAGTACAAAAGATGATATTTTTTTGTTTAGTAAATTGATTCGTTGGTTAACTGATTATAGAAAAGTACATAACAGTTAACTCCTTAAAAAAAATCATGTTATAAACTTTTCTTTCTTCATGGAAAATTTCACGAGGGAAAGTTTTCATATTCACATTAAACAGAAGGAAATTACAAAAATCCCATCTAGTCAGCCTGTTCAGCCATCAGGAATAAGACCTCAGCTAAAATATTAGCATACTGTAGCTTGGCCACTGATAGGCAGAACGTATTTGAAATAAATAAAACATTACACAGTTTATTTATTTATATTAAATTTCATTGCATTACTTAATAAGAAACAATCAAGTAAAATACATGAACATTTCAGATCTAGTTTAATTAGAGAAAATCGTATATGCATTGCAGGAGTATTGATTTAAAAGTTACGAATGCATAAATCATTTTTTCTCTTTGAACCATTCTAGTTAAGACATGACTTTTTTTCCCACCAATAAGCGAACTTCACTAATGAACAGAAATATAAAGCTACAATATCCAACCAAATACAAATGAAACTGACAATGACTATTGTCATCTCAAAAGGCAGAAGCATAAAAGAAAAAGATTTCTTATAAAATGTGTGACAGTATGATTAGGTTTTAAGTAAGTCTTAGTTTACCCTGACAAATGCTGTAAACTGGGCAAAGATTAATATATTGACAGCAAAATAACTTATAAAAAACTTAAATACAACTATTATTCAATGCAGAGCAATTTATAAGACTGATCATAAAACATAATAGAACATGCATGTCAGAATCAGAACATATGGTACCATTACTTTTCAGAGTAATAGACAGTTTATAATGCTGAAAATTTCTTATCTTGACTTAAAACATTATAATGTTTGTTTTAAAGCAAGATAAGAAAGAGCCATAAAATTACCTTTTGTACTGTGGTTTCACTGCAAATATATTTGCCTTTGCTTCTAAAATTGTCAGCCTGACTATTATTTATACAACACCAGTTAATATATGTCTGCTACATTAGCAATTTCACTGAAAACTCATAATAATATCTAGTATCATAAAAAATAGTAAAATATTAGTTGAATTCAATTATTGTTGTATAGTAAATATATACAAGTATGTTACAATCAGAGAAAAAAAAGGTTTTTGTTTGAAATATACTTAAACAAGATTAGGGAGGAAAGAAAATGAAATATTAGTATAGAAATGTAATAATTATTAAACACACTTATTAAAATTATTGTTGTATAGTATGTTGTATAGTATGTTACAATCAGAGAAAAAAAAGGTTTTTGTTTGAAATATACTTAAACAAGATTAGGGAGGAAAGAAAATGAAATATTAGTATAGAAATGTAATAATTATTAAAATTATTACAAACTTACACTTTTTAACTGATCTGTAGGTACCATAAAGACGGGATTAGATTTTATTATGACAGGGCTAGTTTGTAACCTGGAAAACAAAACAAAAATTTTAATTCAGTGCAAATTTATTAAATTTTCTTTCTAATTAATTAATTAGAAATTAATTAGTGTAAATTTATTAAATTTACCAGAACATAATACTATGAAATAAATATCAAATTTAAAAGGTCAGACAGCATAGCAATTTTGCAAGAATTAAATGTATACAGTACTCTTCTTTATATTAATTGTAAGCTTAGTTCAAAAATTTATTAACACTTTGGTTAGACTCTTTAGTTGATAATTACTTTTAATATTCTTTACTTAATGTTATTTTAAGATTTACAAATACATTATTTAATTAATAATACAAACTATACCATTCCACAACTAAATGATGAATTGAGAAAGACTGTTAAAAATGATATAATTAATCACATTTTACTTCTTAGTCTTGGCTACAAAATTAATAATTCACATTAAAGTAATGCTTTATATAATTCATGACACTTCACATCTTATAATAACAAACTTTTAAATGGCTAAAACAAATACTGTTCCAAATTTAAATTAGTAAGTATACTTCTATATTAAATATTAATAGTGATAAAGAAAACAACATTTTTGAATGTATATAATTGAAATGAATATATCAAAATTTATTATACATGATGTACAGTTTTATATGCATGAAAAAATTTCAAAAATTTTAACACGTGCTTAAAATAAAAAGGTTAATACTATGAAAAATTGTCACAATTATTTAAGATAATCCACTGGGTCTACTCATATCAAATATTAAAATTTACTATCAAAAATGGCAATGACTGAATGCCTTTGATTTGGAATTAAAATTATGATACTTACGGTTTGCCATCCACATGTAAGCTGTAAAGATAAAAATTCAAGATTATTCAACAAAATAAATTAAAGCAGCAAGACATATCAACAATTGCTTGGTAAAATATTGATTTAATGTATCATCAGAATCATTTATGGGATTAAAAAAAGGCAGAATATTATTCAGAACTATGGAAGGATAACAACATTGATCACCAGGGAAGTAATCATAATTTTAAGGAAATGAATGACATAGAAATGTGCAAATGGTGCTAAAGTAAATAGGTATCACATTCCTTGGCTGAAAAGGAAATTACCACATGTCCATCCAAGTAATCATTGCATATAAGAATTCAAAAATGAATTCACTAAAGAGCATCAAGTTGCAATGCAGCATTTCATACAAATGAAATTTTAAACAAATATTTTCATACAAAAAATTAAACAGACTTGTCATTTTTTTGTGGATTTCAGTACTACATGCTATTTTTGCTAGTAAAAGAGTAATGATGACAGATAGAATAGGAAGCAGTGAAATTTACAGAACAATAATAAGCACGTTTTTGTCTTCAATTATTACATTGCATTATTTTTTTTAACTGGTGGGCCCTTTCATCAGTTCTCAGGTACAAATGCCTGCATATAGCATATGGTAAGCTAATTCCCTTTATGATTACATATATTATGTTTACTTCCTCTAGTGCTACATATACGTGCTTATCATTTTGCTTATGGTTTGACTGTTTTCCTGGCAACTGATATTGTGCAGCCCATACATTTTTCATAATAGACTTTGCTTAATTTTTACTCATTACATCTTTTCTTCTCATATACTTGCATGGAAAATGCAAGCAATTCGCAATTTTCAAAATGTATAATATAAATCAAATTGTTAATTTTCATTACAAATATTACCTAAAATACTACATTCTCTAGCATATAAGTAAACAATTTATATTAATGATAAAAATAAGAAATTAGTAAAAGAAACCACTCTTAAAATACCTTACCTAACAATAGCTGGCAGATGTGTATCTCTGATGCTTGATAATTTAGGCCTGAAATATGAAGGTGGTACTTTAAATGCATAATTGACTGAAGAAATGTACAATATGAAGGTAAAATACTGAATTTATTTAATTAAAGAGTTCATTAAAAAGTCAAGAACTTACTAAATAAAACATTAATTATTAGTTAATATGGCTAATTATGATATCTACATTTGCTTTCAGCCTCAAAAAAGGCATGTGATTTCTGTAATGCTATAGCAGATCTTAGCCATAAGAATTTTGCAGTAGTTTAGGCAATAAATTCTTCTTGAAATTATGAGATCCTATACTCAACTGAAAATCCCTACCTTACATCACCAAATATATATATAGCAGCACCATAAAAATTATGATTATTACAAAAGTTAAAGCAAATATAATTTTATAAAAGGACTCTGGCTATCCTATGTTATAAGAAATATAACTATGTTGATTAACTATATAACTATGTTGATTAACATATATATAAATGAATAAATATGAGGGTAGTTCAAAACCTAATCCAATTGTATGAATTGAAAAAAAATTGAATACAATTAAAAATTCTGTAAAATTATAACATTAAAATCATTAACAAGCAGAAAATCTTAAAAATCTAATAAAAATTAGTTTCTGTTTAAGCAAACTGAGGCCAAAAAACAAAATATATAAGCAGAAGGAAATAAATATATGAAAAAATAAAAACTTGATCTAAAAAACATAAAATAAAAATAAAAAGAAGGGTTAATTTTTAAAATCTGTAACATAGCAGTAAAAAAAAGGTTTTGAAATGAAAAAAAATATATATATATATTTCGATATGCCCAGTCGCAAATGGCCATTGTTAGCCTAATATATGCTAAGTAATGAAATAAGATTAACTACAAATTTTAAACTGTTAATAAGAATAAAAAAATTAAGAAAAAATTTCTTTCTAATACACACACACATATATATATAAACACCACTTAATATTTTTAAATATCAGCAGCAAAATACTCTGCATACACAAAAACAAAATTATTATCATAAAGAGCTACATTTTACATCATTTTCTCTCTTTAACACAGTTGATTAAAATTTTTAATGTATTTTAAGGGAATTAAAAAAAGAAAAAAATGCTTTAATGCACAAATAAAATGTATCAGTTTTGTTAAATGTTGATTTTACATAATAAATGCAAATTAAAATTAATGATAATGGCATTAATTTCTATTAAAAATTAATATTCAGAAATTAAAATCAACATAATGTTAAAAATCACCATATATTAACAACTAATTTTGCTAACTTAAGTCCTAACTCTCCTTTAAATGGCTTAATACATCTGAGCACTTATCGTATGTCACATATCTTGATTTCATAGATCAGATATTCAGATGTTATAAAAACAATGCATTAAAAAATGATGCATTAAACCAAAAATTTAATTTAACAAATATTCTCTATTTGTATATAGCTAATATAAAATTAAAATTAATTACAAAATTTTAATTTCAAAAATAAAAAATAAAATTTGTTACTGCTGCAAACTAATTTACAATATCATTTAAATTCTAAGAGCATATGAAAATTAAATGCACATATCTAAAACCCTGAAAAATATATTATTCCAAAAAGCTAAATTGCATAAGTGAATAACTGTTGAGCAGGCAGAAGACAGGCTTATCAAGGGGAAGTTGCCTCCAAATTCAACTCAATTACTCAATTTGTATTCAGAAGTCAAACAACAAAAATCAGCGTTATACTTTTGCAAATTTTCACAGGACTAGTTTCGATGGGTTTACCGAACCAATCATCCTCAGCTGCCAAAACCGCAAATGAACAAGATAGGAAATAATGATCAAATAGATAAGATAAGAAAGCCTGGACAAGAATAAGCAAGTGGCGCCATCTGTTGGCGAAACCAGAACTAAAACATAATTTCTCTTAAAGGCCGAAGGCAAAGATTTGGATTGGAATTAGGATCGTTAACTAGAACAGAAAGATTTTTATGAATGTGAAATGCCTCTAGAAAATCCATTTCTCCAATGGAAGATGTTTTTTGAATAATTTTGGCAGCAGAAAAATTGAAAGTGTGATTTTCGGACCAACAATGTTGAGCAACAGAAGACTTCTGTGTTTCCTTTTTTCTAACATATGCCTCATGTTCCTTTGACGCGAAATTTTAAGGCTCTCCTAGTTTGGCCAATGTAATTAAACCACACTGGCAAGGAATCCTATAAATACCCCAGGAATTCATATCCGGAATGGGGTCCTTGAGTATAGAAGTTGGAATTTTATTGATGGGAGAATAAAACAACCCGAAAGTTAAAAACTTTCTGCAAAATATGTGCAATTTTATAGCTAATTGATGGAAAGAAGGAAATGACAACAGAATTTTTTATAATCTCCTAAAATGAAGAGTGTGCCCTTTTAGTGTGTTGAGATGAGAATTTTTTAACTAACTGCTTGATTAATAATGTTGGGTGAAAAGCCCCTGTCAATAGCTATTGCTTTTAAATAATTTAGTTTCTTGATCAAGAGGCTAGTTTGGAGGAGCAAACTTGAAGAGCACGGAAAACATAGGAATAAAATGAAGCTAACTTTTGTTTAGTCGGATGACATGATTTAAAGTGTGGTGGAAGGCAAACCGATGAAGGTTTACGGTAAACTGTAGTACTGAAAGTTGGATGTGTTACGTGTGACCAGAATGTCGAGAGAAACGGAAGAGAATTGCAAGTCTCAAGTTCAAAAGTGAACTGAATAGCAGGATCAATAGAATTCATTGTTGAAAGAACTTTATTTAAATCATCTTTATTACCTTCAAACAGGGTAAAAGTATCGTCTACGTAGCGGAACCATACCGGGAAATTTAAAGTTTCAAACAATTTTAATTCATAATAATCAGCTAGGATGGGATTGAGGGGGCTTCCCATGGCTAATCCCTCAGTTTGCTTGTAATATTTATTTTGGAAAACAAAATGTGTTTGTTTCAAACAGAGTTGAGTGAGAGAAATTAGCTCATCAATTTCGATGCAAGAGAAATGAAATTCGCGAAGTCTGGTTTCTAGACATCTTAATGCACCCTCCACTGGGACATTGGTGAATAATGATTTTACATCAAAAGAAACCATGAGTAAATTACTAGAAATGTTTTTAACCTTTTTTACAAACTCTATTGAATTTTTTATGGTGTAAATGTTATTGTCTAATAGAGTGGAAAATCTAGAAACTAAATATTCAGCTAAAGGATACGAGGCAGTACCTAAATTTGATACAATAGGGCGGAAAGGAATACCACTTTTATGAATTTTGGGAAGAGCATATAATCTGGCACAATTCGCAACAGATGGGATAAGCGAATGTTTTAAGTTGCTTGAAATGATTTGCGAAAGATTTGATCGCAGTTTTATTTTGGATAAGTCCGAAGGTGAAGGATCTTTAGGGATCGGATTATATGGTCCTTCGTTTAAGAGTTTAGTGACACCATCGATGTAAGTGTTCTTATCCATGACGACTATCTGGCCGCCTTTGTCATGCCTTTGAAATGATAATATCCGGGTTAGAATGAATTTCGCGCATTGTAGCTCTTTCTCTCGCAGTTAGATTTGGTTTCAAAGGTTTATATTGAATTTCACATTATGAGCGATAAGATGCCTAATCATTTCTTTCTGTGAATCTGAAACTTTACTGAACTTGAAAGCTTTTTCGATAGGAGCCAAAATCTTTGGAATCGAGGGTTTACAGGTTTGTGAGAAGTTAAAATTATATTTTAGAATTCTCTCTTGTTCTTCTGAAAGACTAACATTAGAAATATTAACTATTGGCTTGATGTTTACAATGGGAAGATTTTTTGAACTACTTGAAATGGAAGACCGCAAAAGAAGTTTTTCAAATTTAACTGCAAGGGTGTTTTTATGAAGGTTAACTGCATTCTCCGTTCTAGACCAAGACTTTTGTTCAAGGGCAGTGAATTTTGGTTTGGATATGATTTAGGCGAGTTCCAGATGAAGCTTATAGAGTTCATGTTCAATTTTGGACAATTGTTGACGTGTATCCCTTATCACGGACCGAAGTAAGGCAAGCTTGCAATTTAACAGAATTCTTGAAACGCGACTCGAAGGTTTTTGATTACATTTGATTTGAATAAAATTAGGGATCAATTTTTTACATTTACATTTAAGTAAAAAGTCAAGATGATTCAGGAATTTTTGCCGTTTCAGGCGTAATTTAGTGAAACGATTAACGGATGAAGGCATGATAAACAATGCAGAAAATCAAACCAAATTAACTGAGCAATAATAAAGTACACACAAAACAGCAGAAAAATCCCTCACTGAAATGAATAGAAAACAAAACGTTTGTAAGCAAAATGCATGAAATCAGACAAGCAAAGCACAATATCCAAATGTACAAAACATAAACACTTGAAAATTGCAAAAATGTACTCACCGAAACTCCTACAATCACAAAATGGCGGCCACACCACGTGCAAAAAAGAAAGCAAAACGTAAGCCTGTTTGGGGCTTCTATAATTAAGACACAATAACACGCCGAATAAATATTAATTCAGAAGTCAAACAACAAAAATCAGCGTTATACCTACAAAATTTTCACAGGACTAGTTTCGATGGTTTTACCGAACCATCATCTTCAGCTGCAAAAACCGCAAATGAACAAGATAGGAAATAATGATTAGATAAGATAAGAAAGCCTGGACAAGAATAAGCAAGTGGCGCCATCTGTTGGCGAAACCAGAACTAAAACATAATTTCTCTAAAGCCGAAGGCAAATTTGGATTGGAATTAGGATCGTTAACTAGAACAGAAAGATTTTTATGAATGTGAAATGCCTCTAGAAAATCCAGTTCTCCAAAGGAAGATGTTTTTTGAATAATTTTGGCAGCAGAAAAATTGAAAGTGTGATTTCGGACCAACAATGTTGAGCAACAGAAGACTTCTGTGTTTCCTTTTTTCTAACATATGCCTCATGTTCCTTGACGCGAAATTTTAAGGCTCTCTTAGTTTGGCCAATGTAAACTAAACCACACTGGCAAGGAATCCTATAAATACCCCAGGAATTCATATTCGGAATGGGGTCCTTGAGTATGGAACTCGGAATTTTTTCGATGGGAGAATAAAAGACCCGAAAGTTAAATTTCGGCAAAATATGTGCAACTTTATAGCTAATTGATGGAAAGAAGGGAATGACAACAGAATTTTTATAATCTCCTAAAATAAGAGTGTGGCTTTTAGTGTGTTGAGATGAGAATTTTTTAACTGCTTGATTAATAATGTTGGGTGAAATTGACAGGGGCTTTTCACCCAACATTATTAATCAAGCAGTTAAAAAATTCTCATCTCAACACACTAAAAGCCACACTCTTATTTTAGGAGATTATAAAAATTCTGTTGTCATTCCCTTCTTTCCATCAATTAGCTATAAAGTTGCACATATTTTGCAGAAGTTTAACTTTCGAGTTGTTTATTCTCCCATCAATAAAATTCCAACTTCTATACTCAAGGACCCCATTCCGGATATGAATTCCTGGGGTATTTATAGGATTCCTTGCCAGTGTGGTTTAATTTACATTGGCCAAACTAGGAGAGCCTTAAAATTTCGCATCAAAGAACATGAGGCATATGTTAGAAAAAAGGAAACACAGAAGTCTTCTGTTGCTCAACATTGTTGGTCCGAAAATCACACTTTCAATTTTTCTGCTGCCAAAATTATTCAAAAAACATCTTCCATTGGAGAACTGGATTTTCTAGAGGCATTTCACATTCATAAAAATCTTTCTGTTCTAGTTAACGATCCTAATTCCAATCCAAATTTGCCTTCGGCTTTTAGAGAAATTATGTTTTAGTTCTGGTTTCGCCAACAGATGGCGCCACTTGCTTATTCTTGTCCAGGCTTTCTTATCTTATCTAATCATTATTTCCTGTCTTGTTCATTTGCGGTTTTGCAGCTGAAGATGATGGTTCGGTAAAACCATCGAAACTAGTCCTGTGAAAATTTTGTAGGTATAACGCTGATTTTTGTTGTTTGACTTCTGAATTAGTATTTATTCGGCGTGTTATTGTGTCTTAATTACTCAATTCGTGTTTCATCATCCATATAGGCAAGGGTAAAAGTAAAATTAAAAACCAAATGTTGTGAATTACTAAAAAAGAAATTTAAACAGTGGAATTTTTGAGAAATTAGCAAGTAAATGACTAGAGTTAAAATAATTAAATGTCAATTAAAAGTAGAAAACCTAAGTAATTTAGAATCTCTTGCCTACTGAAACTTCCCCTACACGAATTATACATGTAAACCTGAAATAAACTATATACAATATATCAAAATATAATAATAATAATAATAATAATAATAATAGGAAGTTTTAATTTAACTTACATAGACTATATATTTGAATTCCTGAGTTGGATTAGCATTTGCTAAACTAGGTGAAGTTGAGTAGTTTGTTACTGCTAACTGTATAAAAAAGAGGGCACTGACAATGCAAAGTTGAGTGTAAAGCTGTTACCTGTGACAGCTATTGTAAAAAACCTATGCTGTAAACTTTAATAATGTAAAATGTAAAATGCTTGTTTTTGTGCAAAAATGTTGCTAACTTTGAGGCATTGTTAAAAAGTAAAAATTGTGAACTGCTACTGTTTGTGAAAATAGATGTTGCAAACTACTAAAGATGTAAAAACTTTGAAATATCCAAAAATAATTTAATATTGAAATTTTGAAATATCAATATCAAAAATTGATATTGGTATGTGCAAACTTACTTATGAATAACAGGTTTCTTGAAGCCTTTTCTTGTTCTAGGCTCTTTAAGACTAAAAGCAAGAATAACATCAGATAAAAAGATGAAAAACTTCTAATTATAAATCATAATCTATAGATGTAATAAATTTTATTGAAATTTATTAAAAGAATGCAAAATTAATATATAAATATAAATGGCAAATGAAAAAATTTGTTTGTTTTTCTTTTCTAAATTAATGAAAAATTTCAATTTAATGAAAAATGTTGAATTGTAAATTATAATCTGTCCATATATCTAATAAATTTTATTCAAATTTGTTGAAAGAATACAATATAAAATATATAGAGAAACAGCAAATAATAAAATGTGTTTTTCTTTTCTAAAAGTGCATTTGTAAAAATTAAAATTGTCATTTTATATTTTTTAATCCCCTCCACACATAATAATTCTTTAAATACATATCTTTACAACTTTTTTAAAAGAGGATTACTTATCCATTATACAATGGAAATTATACTTAACATGTTAAGTGATATTGTACTGAAAAGGTAATTTTATTTTGAATTTTAATTTTATTACCTATTTATATTATTTGAAATACTTATTGAATTGCCATCATTAAAAATACCCATATTAACTAAATTTTATACAGCTATTTCAGTTACATTACAATGTATAAATAATATTTAAACAGATGTATAAAAGCCTAAATACATATTTAAAATTTCAGAATAATTGTTGCTATATTTATGCTTAAAATAGTCTGCTGAGATCCATTGAAAAGAAAATTTGGTTATGCAAAAGACACTAGTAATATTTATATATAATAACAATAAATCTATTTCTGCAGTTTTAAATTACTACATTCATTAATTGAACTTAACAGTTCTTACCTTGGAATATCAGGTTTCTCCTTAGCTGGCTTAGAAATTTTTCCTTGTCTAATTTGCAGGTGGAATGAAAACAGTTAATAATTAATGTTAAGCATAATGAAATTTTAAACACCATTCAATTAAAAATTTAGGAAAGCAGATATTTTATCACTATATCTCACAAAGTATAATTTTGAATTAAAATTTACTTAGTTTCCAAATTTTGATCATCTGAACTATGTGAAACATCACTGGTGACATCTGTTTCTATATTTTCAGAATCATGTATGGTTCCTTTGTAAATACGATCATCAATGCCTTTAATCAATATTTCAGACCTATAAAAAGTTATTAACAAATCAAAAAGAATTATTAATTTGATTAACACATTCATAATAACTGAATATTTCAAGATATTATTCTTTATTACATTAGTCAGCAATAAACTTTACTATAAACCCTGCTAAAATAGCAGTCATGTTTACATTTAATGCAGATAAATGCTGCTTTGAATCTTTTTTAATTCAACTGGAGGTAATTTGACTTCATTTGTAAATGCAGTTCTATCTCTGGGTTCAGTAATATTGTTCAACACAAATGCTTTCTCACTTATGTAATCATCAATAATATATCACTAATAATTTCTTCAAATTAAGAAAAAGTTAATTTTACAGTAACTTAAACTTGAAGTAAACTTGAAACACATTATAGCGCCTTTTCCAAATAATAGCAAAGGTGCATAGTATAATTAAACTTTTAAGCAAATGCGTGAAAAAATTTATAGATTTACGTTTGAAAACTGCTGCCCTGCAAGCATATTGATAAGAAAGCCAAGCTGCCATAGCTTTGGGTCAGGATTTAAATTTTATAGATGGCATGGATGTTTATAAGTGTGTAATGCCCTTCAGCAGGAGATCACTTTAAATACTGTCAAGCAGCCAGTTCTCTCAAGAGGCCTGGTTATAGGGAATGAAGGGCAGGAAACCTTTATGTACTGGTATATTCCCTAAGTATACTCCTCCTTTCTCCATGGCTGTAATTCATTCACTCCCTTTTGTGTACCCTGGGCAATCAATATCCTTGGAGTTGAGATGGCTAAATGGAATGTGTTTGTCCATTAAAGATGAATGCACAAAGTTTCAAATGTTTAGCCATTTAAAAATTTTAGCTATAATTTGACTATTCTATTTGTCTTTTTATAAATCATTCTTCATATATTGCATGAAGATTTAATAGTGAGAAATCATTCAATTTGTTACATATGTTTTGGCTTGTTTAATGATGAATACCATATTTCTTCATGCATTCTCCCCACCTAATTTTTACTAATTTATCGTCCAAAAGTCTAGAAGGAAAAATAATGCAATTAATTTAATTTCCAAAGAATGTAGTTACAGTATGAATATATGAAATGAAAAGTATTTGTGCATTCATAAATTACAGGTAACTACCTACAATATTATTTCTTTAAAAGAAAAATCTAGATTCCAATAAGAATACACAGTAGCATTAGCATTGCAATATCTAGCAAGATAGCTTTCCTGTAATCTGAATGGTACCCGTTCTTATAGCTGTCTGCTGCTACTTAGGTCCCAGATCATCCATAAATAATTACAGAAGGCGAATTTGCAGCTTACTCAGCAAAATGGTAGACTGAATGTCTGTTCATGTTTGCTTCGCTTTGATTGGTTGGTTCATGTATTAAATGTTCAACAATAGAAGGGAAAAGTTCCGAGTGACATTGTTTGAAATTTGCAAAGGTTTGTTTTTGTTAGTAAGACTTAATAATCACTACATGGGTGAATCCATTTTAAAGGGATTTTATTCTCTGAAAGCACTGAAGAAGGGGAATACTATGTGAATATTTTTAAAATTTTGAGAAACTGGCACTAAAACACTATGGCGAAAAAAGCTATGTGATTATTTGTTGAAGTATGAGAGCTTAAGAAAACAGCCAGTATATAAAAACAGCATCAATACAAAAACACTATAAATAAGACCGATACTTTCAGCATTCCTTTACATAAAGTAATATGATTCTTATTTTAATATAAAATATGTGAAATATATACAGTACAAAGTCTTTAATCCGGACGTCCATAATCTGGAATGATCTATAACCCAGACCTCAAAGCTACAAACTTTCTGTGCATGCGTAAATGCATACTGAAAAAAAGTCTTTAATCCGGACTCGTCGGGACTTCGGTGATTCTGGATTATCGATTTTTCGGATTATAGATCATCAGTTTAAATCTGGTAAGATGGCATGCAGAAATTATAAAATTCAAAATATGAAACCGTAATTTATGAAATAAAGACAATTATGATCTAAAGGGTATCAAAATTTACAAAAAAAAAAAAAAAAAAAAAAAAAAAAAAAAAAAAGCTAATATTTATTTGTTTACTTTATTAAATATATCTTTCAATGTAAGTTGTTTAAGTTGCTTCGCTTTATGTGATAATACTTTCTCTTTAATTCTATAAACACACATAATTTCTTGTTCAATTACAAAGTTCCGCTGTTCAAGTCCTATAATTGCTGTGTCGAGAATACCGACTAATTTGTCAATCAAAATTTTTTCGTTTTCAATAAACTCTGTGTCACTTTCTTCACTATCGAAAGCCAATTATAATGACGAGGAATTTGATTTAAATCATATCAAAGACGGAGTACATCGAGATGAAATACTACATTTAGTAAGGAATTATAAGCCAAATAAAATAAAAATATCTGCCCTGAAGATAAGAATAGTGCTGACAGATCAACTTCCAATTCATTGCGCGCCGCTATGTCCCCCTCCCCCGCAGAGCAGCGTGAAATTGATAAACAGATTTCAGAATGGTTAGAGAAACAAAGGATATGTCTTTATCCATTTTTTTGCAGCAGTTCCACTTTTTGTTTGATGGACATTGAAACATAGTTTCGCTTTGTACATCCTTCGGCAGCTCCAGCATCGGAAATTTTATTTGACATAATCGAAAGTTCAAGCTACTTTTATAAAATTGCTCTAACAGTCTGAAAAAAAATAATAAGCCAGATCCAATTCGAAGATTAAGGAACAACGCAATTTGCAACATTAACTGAAATAGATAATTAGATAATTTTAGCTTAGCTTAATACCGTCCGTTATACGTTAAACGTGCATGCATAAACGTATTATACGCATGCGTAAAAGTATTATGCGCAAGCATAAACGCCTATGCGCATTCGTGAACGCATTATGTGTTGACGCATGTGCAGAAAGTTTATAGCTTTGAAGTCCGGATTAACGACTTTTGACTGTAATACCTTTACGCATGCACATTTAATGTACAACGGACCGTATAAGCTAGGCTAAAATTATCTAATTATTTATTTCAGGTAATGTTGCAGATTGTGTTGTTCCTTAATCTTCTAATTGGATCCAGCATATTATTTTTCGCAGACAGTTAGAGCAATTTTATAAAAAGTAAGCTTGAAATTTTGATTATGCCAAAAACAGTTTCCAATTCTGGAGCTGCCAAAGGATGTACAAAGCGAAAGCATGTTTCGAAATCAATCAAACAAAAAGTGGAATTGCTGCAAAAAATGGATAACGGCACATCTTTTGTTTCTCTAACCATTCCGAAATCTGTTTATCAATTTCACGCTGTTCTGGGGGGGAGGGGGGGACGCCGCGGCACGCAATGAATTGGAAGTTGATCTGTCAGCACTATCCTTATCTTCAGGGCAGATGTTTTTATTTTATTCGGCCTTATTTTATTCGGCTGATAATTCCTTACTAAATGTAGTATTTCATCTCGATGTACTCCGTCTTTGATATGATTTAAATCAAATTCCTCGTCATTATAAATATCACGAAAACACATCAAATAGTTTTCTGGTTGCAATTTTCTAATTTCGACTATGCGTAATGTATGCTTTACACATGCGCGTTGAAAGAAATGTTTAATAAAGTAAACAAATAAATATTAAGCTTTTTTTTTTTGTAAATTTTGATACCCTTTAGATCACAATTCCTCTTTATTTCATAAATTATGGTTTCATATTTTTAATTTTATAATTTCTGCATGCCATCTTGATCCGGAATCCGGATTGATGATCTATAATCCGGAAAAACCCCTAATCCGGAATCGCCGAAGTCCCAACGAGTCCAAATTAAAGACTTTGTACTGTATGTTTTTCTGTGATGACCGATAATTATGCTATTCGCTGATTTTTTTATTTGTTATTTTTTAAAGTTTAAACAGGTCACTGTACACAGAGACTAAGAAAATACAAAGGTAAATATTTTATTATGAATGTTTGTGCATTTTTAATTTAGTTAATTTGTTACTGTTTCATGAAATTTTAAGTGTTTAATTATGAATTCATTCAATGCATTTCATTTCTCTGTTTCATGTATTTTTTACTTTTTAATTATGGATGTATTTTGCAATTTTTATTTTTTAATTTATTCCTGTTTTATGTAATTTTTCAGTGCACTGCAATTTTTTAAAAAATGGTTACTGCTTTTCATGTGTTAGTCTGGCCAAAAAAATAGTCACCTTTATGGAAGTGCTAGGCAAACAAAGCAAGAGTACCATACTTGCATTAAATAACAAACCTAATTTAATATTTTGCTAAAATCATGTTACAAATTCTTAATTCTTTCTTCACATTTTCCCCACAAGATGTGCTATATTGCATAATATGAGAAATTTTATATCAGACATTTGCTTTCAAAGAAAATAATTTTACTTGTTATTAAAAAATTGCAGATATTTAAATAATAAAAAACTCATTATACACACCTCTTTCCTTGAGGTAACCTAAAATTAGACAAAAAAGTTTAATTCAGTTCACATGAAAAAAAAAAAAAAAACTCAATGAAGAAAATATAAGTTATGTCATAAATAACATAATTTAAAAAATTTGAAAAACTGAAAAAAATGCATCATATTAAGTTCTAAAAATGTGGCAATAATAATATTAACAGTATGAAAACATGTAGAATATACAATACTGTAAAACCAAACTTCTGTTAGTAGATACTCAAGTAAATTAACCCATTTTAAATATTATCAAGTATCAATACTGCATTTCAAATTAAACCACTTATAAAAATTTATTAAACCAAGCTACATTAAACTTCATGCTTCATTCAAGCTATATTAACAAAAATTTATGAATTTTTATCAAATTGATAGATTTATCTCAAATTATATAAATATTACAAAATATGTGATTTCATATAAATACAGTCAATTCCGCTTAATTGGGACACATCGGGACCAGGCATTTTGTCCCAATTGAGCAGATGTCCCAATTAAGCGAATTTCACAGTTTTTTAAATAAATTTATTTGGTTTTGGAAACTAAGGCCAATAACTGGTAATAAATTAAACAAATACATATTTTTTCAATAATTTTAATAAATGTAAATTACAAATGGGAAAATTATGTATTAATTTTATCTAAAATTCTAAATTAAAATTACAAAATTCAGTCAAGTGTAGTCTGTTTTTTGTTTTTGTAGTATTTCTTTTCTACAAAATCAGCGCAGATATTCAGTGCGGATGCAGGGCTCCCTTCATTTCCTTCCTGCATAAAATAATGCTGTAATGTGGCAATACATTTTTTTGCTTCCTGGTTAGTCACAGGCACAGGTGACTCATCATCATCATCGTCTTCTTCGTCTAATTTTCCATGTTTTGATTTAATACCTTCTATGACTGAATCCTCACAGTTTTCATTATCATTGTAACATGGTAAATTGTTATCTATTGTTGAAAATTCTTCATAGTTAATACAAATAGGAACTTGCAACATATCCTCATTTTCTTTGTTGCTTAAATTTTTGGAAATTTCTAGGGGTTTAAAGCCACAATTAGTAAAACAGTTCTGTATTGTAGTGGCTTTTATAGCTCGCCAACTATCAGCGACAAACTGTATTGCTTGCAAAAGGGAAATTTTTGAACTTATCTCTCTGGCTGTTGTGGAAGTCGTTAATAAATTTTCATCAATAGATTCTAATATGTAATTAACCAATTCCCACGATACAAAGTCTTAAAATTTTTATACCCCCATTCCATTGGTTCATTAAAGATGTGGTATTAGGAGGAAGGAAATTCAGCTGTATTTTGTAGATTGTCTAAATGAGGGGTGTGCCGCACAATTGTCAACATCAGCAAAATTTTGCTTTTTTTTATGTTGTAAATTTCGGTCCCAACTGGTAAGCCAATTTCGAAACATTTCAGAAGTCATCCACACATTTTTTGTTTGCATGGTACTCCACTGGTAAACCCTCCATGCTCAACCCCTTAAAGCATTGAGGTCTAGCACTTTTTCCTATGATCAGTAGCTTTCGTTTGTCAGTACCTGACATATTTGTACAGCATAACACAGTAATGCGGTCCATCGCCTTTTTATAACCAGTCAGTGCAATGTGTTTATAGCATAATGAACCGTCTGGCGTAGCACAGCCATCAGCCTCTATTATCGTGCTACGCCAGACGGTTTAATCAGCATTGTAAATGTCATCAGCACAAAAATTCTCTAAAAAAGAAGGAATTTTCATAGTTTTCCACTGTTTGGAACTTTCCTTGTCGGCACTGCCCTTTTCACCATGCGCTTTTACAAGTAAACTATTTTATTGTTATGTATGGTGGATTTATTATCACTATTTTATTGTTCATTATGGTACTTTGAAATCATTGTGGCCCAGTTTTTAGCTAACTCCTCTGACTTCGCCTTCAATATCGAGCCGCATTGATATTTAAGCCTCTGCCACTAACAATAGAAAACCATTGATCTAGTGCTTCTTCAACGTCTGGATCCTTCCCCTTGAGCATTTCCTTTTGGATGTTCCTGCTTGTCCTCCTTGTAAAACCAATTCCTCACACAGTTGACTTTCTTGTCGTAAGACACACAATATGGTAGATTTGGGTACTCCAGTTATCTCAGCGAGCCGGCGATAACTTGTTAGGTGGCTGGCTTTTTATTTTATCTAGCAAAGCAATTTTGCTAAAAGTGTCAAATAATTTCTTGGCATTTTGGCAAGCAAGGGTTAAATATTTGAACAATAATTTATGCCTGTTCACGCGTGATGTGTATTGTGAGTGAATAAATATGCAACCAATCGAAACAGTCGTCATGTACGAGGTGTAATGGTAACTGAATAAGAACGCCCTTGTGCTCGCCTGTGATGCAATGCATACACAATCAGCTGTAAGGCAACGCATGTGCAATAAGCTGTAAGGCAACGCATGCGCAATAAGCTGTAAGACAACGCTCCGTAACTAACTCGTAATATGTACTGTGATCTTAAATTTACTGTCCCAATTAAACATATAAATTTTCTATTAGCTTCTTAGTTTGGTATCTGTTCTTTGAGATTAGTCCCAAATAAGTGGCTGTACCGATTAAGCGGTGTCCCAATTAAGCAGAATTGACTGTATTACAAAAGACTGAAATTGCATAGAAAACTGATAGAATGAGCTAAGCAGAATATTTAACACAAGTTAAAAATTCAAGACTATTTTGGTATTTTTTGCTTTGGAGGAGTACTGTCTTAATACAAATTAGTACTGTCTTATTTTGATTGCAGTTTCTGGTTAAGCTATAATATGCAGGAAGAAATGATAAAGATCTGAGATAACATCAAATGAATTTTATGATTTAGTACTTCTCAGAAGAAAAAATTCAAAGAGCTTAACCAAAGGTTGAAAATATTCATGTATTGCATGGATTGAGAATGCTGAAGTATTTTTTTTTACAGCTACGTCATATCTAAAAAATTTTCACACACAAAAATATTGCAGATTTTATACATTTTTCACATAGTTCTTCCTTGGCTATTGTTCTGAGTTATTTGAAATAAAAAGAATTTGCTTTGTGTGATGTTACAATTTACAGTGTTAAAAGTGATGAATAAATTGTAGGAAATCTTGAGCATATTAAAAACTTTTTGCTGAATTCTTATTATTCTTTAATTTTAGCTAATTACAGAATCAATTCAGTTAATGACAGAACATAAAACAACTTCAACTTACATAACTTTGGTAAATGCAAGCCCTTTTTGCTGAGGCATTGTTTTGGTATGCTCTCCATCGATTGCTTGGACAGTTTTTGTAGAAAAATAGGCAGAAACTCTAAATAAAAAATACAATAAAATAATTTATGTTTCAGATCAGAGAGAGAAGCGTGAAAAAAAGAAAAGCAGAGGAATGAAAATTCTGAAATGTAAATAATGCTAATTTTGAAACCCAAATAAAAATATTTGAGATGTATGCATTGAAATTATAAGTAACCTATTAGTGTTCATAAATGAGTAACACTTGGACACTGAGGACTGACAGAATTTTTCACATTAGAGTGTGATTCTAAAATTCATTCTAAAATACACTTAGGGTGTGTTTTCCAGTAGCATAAAATTGTCATGTTATGCAACGTATACTCTCCCTTCTTCCAACATGCTTTCATGGTGTAACGGTAGCACACTCAGCATGTATTCAAGAGGTCCAGGTTAGAGTCCCAGCGAGGGCATTCCTTATTTTTCATATCTCCTGCATAAAATAACACTAATAACTCTAAGTTGTTCGCATGAGAAACACTTTGTGTGCTCCATTATTCTATTTAGGAACACTAAAGCAATTAGCACATTAAGTGTGTAACATGCTGGTCACTCTAATGTTTGCATCTTATGAAGGTTGATTTCTAGCATTTCATAAATAATAATCGAATTTTACCGATTTTAAATTTTGTTTTTGAAGCTAAAAAATTTATATGTTTGATTAAGTAAAAGTTTTGAATTTTTCCCTATGACAAAAATCAAGCTGGTACACTCATTTTCAAATAGAAAATGATATTATTTATCTTATATTAAAAGACAAGGGAAGGGATAGTTATTGCAGATGTTTTTTTTAGAAGAAAAACAAGTATTAAGGGGTTGACAGTTAACTGCTTCAAAGTAGCTAGTTTCTCAAACATCTATAATATGTTTAGTTCTTTACCTATAAAACATGAATAACGTTATGGATAAAAAAACTTAAATTATTAAATATTGTACAAAACACAGAAAAAACTTAAAAGTTTGAGAAAAAGCTTAAATGAAACTTTCTTGTCAATAAATTATATTGACTAGGTTCAGAAGCTATGCAGACATAGTTTTGCTACTTTTTTATATACAACGATCTTATGTTCATAACAAAGTTATAAGCAACAATCCTATGTTCATAAAAATGTGATTTCCTTAGCAATCCTTACACTGGATTGAAATATTTTTTCACTTAGAAGGAAAAATGCCATTTAACCGGTATAGTGGTTAGCGTGGCCAAAGCGCCCAGGTTCGAATTCCGGGGAAGGTGTGGATGTTTGTAAATGAATAGTGCTAGTGCGGCATGGCAGCATTCTAAAGAGCTTATCACTTCTAGCAACAGTCTCTGCTAGACGGGACTTTTCTGAGAAATGAGATTCCGGTAGCACTGGTTTAAACGGAATGATTCCTAGAAAAAAGAGCCCCACTGGAAGCAAAGTCTCGCCTGGCTAAGAAACAATGTAGTGGCTATGCGAGATTTTTTCAAACCTCACCGAAAATGTCTTGGCTGGAGCTCTGTCTCAAGAAGAGATCAACTAGTCAGACGATATTTCCACTTCTAAAGGATCATGTGTTCCCAATCTTAGCGATAATCGATTACTGTTTGGCATTTAAGTCTTTGCAGTAAGTGAAAATGGTAACTTAGCTACGTGGTTTCCTGGAAATGTGCGAGCTCTGAGAATTGTTCCTTTTGATATCCAGTCCCGCGTAGTTGAAACATAATGTGATTGGGACATAAATATGCTGCGAACCGAAAGCCCTCTTTGTGGTTAGGATTGGGAGACCCTCGGGCCCATCTCCCCGGGGTGCTGTCCATCAAAATTGGGGGCGGAACTGAGTTAAATTCGCACTGTTATCTGCATGGTGCTTAAGGCTGTTGCCAACAGCAGGCATATTCTTATGCTCTTTGCCATGAGGAATTTCGTGGGCCTGGGCTGACTACATCAGACAAGTGAGCATAAGCAACAACAACAACAGCAGATGGAAAATAATTTTGTTCAATTAGCTTAAGAAACAGAATGCATAACATGCATCTCGTTCTATCCGTAAAACTGTATCACTTAATATTTTAAAGATATAAAATTCTTACATTAAATTATTCACACATCACTCGATAATTTCTTCATTTTCGGTAAATAATTTTATTTCAAATTTGCCAAACATAGACACTTAGAAATTCTCACCATTCTAAAATAAAGTTATTTCAATATATTTGAAATTCATTATTACCAAAATTTCTTTCCATCAAAGCAACATATCTATAACCATTATGCATATTTATTAAAAAAAATAGCAAATAAAGAATTAACATACTCTTTATCAATGACACTCTTTCTTTTCTCATGGGCTAAACCAATCTGAGGCGTCACAGAAGCAAACAATGCAGGTAATTGAAGAGCATCAGTTTCCCGTGGTTGATCTGCTGGAGGGATAGGAACACTGTAAAAATATAACAGATAAACCTGGAAGGTTTTCATTCATAAATGTGCAATTACATACATTACTAGTAAGATCATTTTAGGCTGGAATGTCTTGATGACTGTATTGCAGCAAATTTACTAATTTAGCATTAATGATTTAATATATCAGTTAGAATTAAATAGGTACCATGAACTTTAGCAGATGTTACCACAAAAGGCATTAATTACTAATTAATTTCATTATGCTGTTTTTCATCTGTAACCCTGTTAGTAATCATATTAGCATATTCATTTGCCAAATATATTACTTGTCTTGGCATATTCTAAACCAAAAAAAAAGCAAATTTTATGTTGTTTGATTATTTAACCAACTATAGTGAGAAATATAACTACTAGCTGCCTAAGAGGCAAATGCTTTCATGGACAATTTCTAAAAGAAAATTATTTTTTCCATTTGTTTTACTCAAGAAGAAAAACTTGAAAAAATTGCTCATTTGCTAGGATTTAATAACAGCTTATTGATCGCTGTGTGAGATATATTTTTTTTAATTAATGTTTTTCTTTTACAGTTTTCTCTGTTAAACTCTTACTACATGCATGCAAAAATCAGACTCTCCAAGATAAGCTCTCTGTCTGAATGCAGTTTTTCAAGCATTATGATAATAATAAAAAAATCTAATGTGTACACCACATGACTTCCTTATACAGAATATTAAATTATAGCATTTTTTCTTGCATTTCATTTAAACTTATTGGATTGAATTAAATCTACTTCGCCGACAGCGCATAAACCACAATAGAATAAATGCATTCTTTAAAATTCACTCTAGTATTTGTTTAACATAGCGACACTCTGGCGCTAGATTCACTTAACAGTATTATATTTCGTTCATATTATGACTCATAATGCACAAAATTTTATATCATTTAAAGAATAGAATTATCTAATCGTTGCCACATGTTCTATTCAAATACTATAATAAAGCTAGAATGATGTATAAAAGAAATTAAGCAAATAAAACAAAAAAGAAATGGTTATTTTTCCTCGAAAAAATTCCAGAAAGGATTAAGCATGATTTAATTTGCAATAATAAATGAAGGCGTTATTTTTGTTGTTGAGAAGCTAAGTTTCTCTAGATTGGGAACAAATCCACTAGTCTGCTGTTTCAAATGTAAACAATCAATGGCCGCCATATAAAAAAGGCTTAGCGGCACTTTTATATTTTATATATTAGAAATATGTTGATATAGTTGTATTTTTAAAATAGGACAAATGATATAAAGCATATTAATTCAGCATTTCACTGTTAAATGACAAAACATTAGTGTAAAATACTTTAAATTTAACAACTAAAATTGTTGATAATTCTAAAAATATTGCATACAGATTTACTAAAGGCATAAAAACCTTAACCGGAAGATAAAAACAACATAATTCAATCATTTTTAAAGCAAAAAATGTTCAATTTACAAACATATAAGAGTAAAGAAGCCGAGATCACTGAGCCGGGTAACAGAGTGGATATATATATAAATATATTTAATACGTTTGGTGCGGCCAATTGCAACCAAAACCAAAATACGAGGTGCACATCTACATGTTATAGCAGTCTATATACAAAATTCAACGTTCTGAGGCTACTCGTTTTTGAGTTATGCGAGATACGTACGTCATACGTTCGTACAAACGCCACGAAAAATTCTCTTCAGAATTTATTTTAAAGCAGTTTTATAATTTTTTTGGAGGAAACGAGTCTTTTATTCTGTCCTTACGTACAGATATCACGTAAAAACTTCGTTAAATTACATTCGATAGTGGTCAAAATGGATATTTTCGTTGAAATATTCTGCCTGAAACTTTTCGCGATTACAATACTTCCTTTTTACTTCGTACAAGGAAGTAAAAAGAATTTTCTACTGATTGCAAGAACTTTTTAAAAGGCCTGAAGAGAAAACTGGAAAATCTTCTTTTCACAGATATAAAATTAAAAAGAGCCTATGCTAAAAGAAGTTCTGAAAAACAGAAAATTGTAAAAATGCAATTAGAGAGAATATCTCTAAGTGCATTTAAAATTAATTATCTCAACCACTTTAATTTTCATTTACAAGTAAAGATGATATTTTTTATCTAATTTTGAAGGTTTGTTAGGAAATGTAAAAGCTAAAACTGTGAATTCAAAACTAAGCAACTCACAACAATATTGAATATAAAATAAAATTTGTGGAAATACCTATTATTCTTTTATGGATGGGAACTGAAACTGAAAAAGCTGGCATTTTGTAATTTAAACCAAATGTTACAAAAGAAGGTAATTAATTATACGTACCTATCTATATCAATAGTAGGTAATCTGAAAGAAAAAAATATATATATAAAACAATTCTAAAAAAAACTATTTTAACTTTTTCATTATCATAGCAGATGAATTAATTTATGTGTTCACCATGAGTTCTGCGAGAACATATGACTTATTCATCTCAATAATGATAGTATACATAATAAATAATACAGTCAAAAGTCGTTAATTCGGACACCCATAATCCGGACCTCAAATCTATAAACTTTCTACGCATGCATCGTGTTGACGCATGCGCATAAGACCTTTACGGCTGCGAATATGCATGTGCGCATGCGCATAATACGTTTATGCATTCTTGTTTAATGTATAACAGACGGTATAAGCTAAGCTAAAATTATCTAATTCAGTTAATGTTGCAGATTGCGTTGTTCCTTAATCTTCGAATTGGATCCGGCTTATTATTTTTGCAATGTTGAGCATTTTATAAAAGTAAGCTTGAACTTTCGATTATGTCAAATAGAATTCCCGATATATATTACTAATATGTAAAGGATCTACAAAGCGAAAGTATGTTTTGAAGTCCATTAAACAAATAGTGGAATTGCTGCAAAAAATGGATAAAGGCATATCCTTCGTTTCTCTAACCATTCCGAAATCTGTTTATCAATTTCATGCTGCTCTGTGGCGGAGGGAGGGGGGATATCCGCAAGGCGCAATGAATTGGAAGTTGATCTGTCAGCACTATCCTTATCTTCAGGGCAGATGTTTTTATTTTATTTGGCCTATAATTCCTTACTAAATGTAGTATTTCATCTCGATGTGCTCCGTCTTTGATATGATTTAAATCAAATTCCTCCTCATTATAATTCACTTCCGATAGTGAAGAAAGTGACACAGAGGTTATTGAAAAAAAAATTTCGATTGACAAATTAGTCGGTATTCTCGACCACAGCAATTATAGGACTTGAACAGCGGAACTTGTAACTGAAACAAGAAATTATGTCTGTTTATAGAAGTAAAGAGAAGTATTATCACATAAAACGAAGCAACTTAAACAACTTACATTGAAAGAATATTTAATAAAGTAAACAAAATAAAATATTTTTTTTTTTCTTTTTTTTTTTTTTTGTAAATTTTGATACCCTTTAGATCATAATTTCTTTATTCATAAATTACGGTTTCATATTTTGAATTTTATAATTTCTGCATGCCATCTTACCAGATTTAAACTGATGATCTATAATCCGGAAAAATCAATAATCCGGAATCGCCGAAGTCTAGACGAGTCCGGATTAACGACTGACTGTATTAGAAATATCACAATGACTAAGTGTGCAATTAGAATAAAAAATATAAGTTGATTCTAATGCAATTCTACAGATTCTGTTGATTTTACAGGCAAAGAATTCTAACAAGAACTTCATGAACAAATATTAGAACAAAATATTAACTTGACAGAAGTGACATGTTCAGCAGCACCAGACTGTTGAGTTTCAGCAGATGTTCTGTAAGAAAAATAACCTAAATTATAATTTGGAAACCTAAATTTAGTTAAATAAAAATAAATTTTAAAAAAATAAACCAAATTACAAAGAAAAATATGCATTTTATATATTAAAAATATGTTGATATAGTTGTATTTTAAAAATAGGACAAATGATATAAAGCATATTTATTCAGCATTTCACTGTTAAATGACAAAACATTAGTGTAAAATAATACTATACCCAGAGGTTGTTTTTATTATTTTCAGAGGGGAACCAGTTCCATTCCCATACTTCCTAATATAAAGAAACAAACTGCATATAAATGGTTGAGTGGCATTTAATATATTTTATTGCTACAGTATACTTTTTAATATACAGAAAATAAATCTAAGAAAATCTGCTATTGTAATGAAGAAATTTATTTAAATAACATATGACAAATAATCTATTTCAGCACATTCATTCTTTTGAAATGAAGGGGGGATTGAGCTGAATATACATAATATTAAGAGGAGAAGAATGTATTATAATTATACTCAATTAATATCAATCTAATACTCCCACAATATAATACAAAATTCTGACTATATCCCAAATAAATAAGAAATCAAAATGGATAGCATGAAGCAAAAAATTATACAAAGACCAAAAATAAAGTACACTTTCAACTGAATAAGTAAAAATGTAATATATACTGATATAATATTCTATATGAATGAAGCTTTTTTTGGAGGGAAGGATACATCATTCTTCTAATGAAATTAATATTTTATGACACACTCTATAGTTCTAAAATATTTATAATATACCACAATTTAAACTTCTTATATATCAATGGCAGTGTAATTTAAAATATTACTATAATGATTAAGCTATTCTTCAAACACTAATTAAGAATTAGATACTTAAATTAGAATTCAAAATAATAGATCCTCTTATGGCAATACTAAAATTCCTACCAAAGATCTGGAACTGTCAAGACTTGAAAGATTCCGGATTTTGGAAATTTCCCAATTTTACGTCATTATTTTAAATCCAGTAAGATGACATACAGATATGGCCTCACTGGGGTTTCCTTTATTATTTAGGTCAGACAGAAAAAATGCTAACCTTCGCACAACCATTTAATGATTGAAAATGTGATCGCTGCAAACATCAATACAGCACCAATCAATGTATTGTTATTGGCCATGGTTCTATTCCCTAGCCAGTGGGTGTATGAAAGTGACACAGAGGAATCTGAATTAGCTGGGATAAAAATTGCATTTATGTCACACCTGCTTATTTGTTATATCCTCCATTTCTAAATTTTGTAATGAGGAGAGCTTTCCCTCCCCTGTTATACTGGTCTGCAGATTCCAATATTCAATCATTCCAGATACTGGATGACTGAATTTTGGACTTTGTACTGCATATCATTATTATGCCATTTACCATTTTGATGCGGAAGAAGACATAAAAGCTATTTTAAATTAGATACACTAAAATCAAATCATGTTTCAAATAGCTTCAAAAGAATAATAAAATAGCTCCTAATATCATATCTATATTAAGAGATAATATTTAAAATAAAAAGTAAGTAGATGGATTCCCCCCCCCAAAAAAAAAGGTTACAAACATTAGCATTTGAAAAGTAATTATTGTGAAGAGGATACTTTATTCCCAGAGTGTAGACAGATGGCAGTAGTTGTCTAGAAGTGGTTGAAGTGAGTAGGTAGAGCAAGTCTGCAGATGTGTCAGAGTGAAATGGCATGACATTTAGAAAAGTGGTCTCGGTTGGAGGTGTGAGCCATGATTTATTGCCCTTATCGATTATCTGGAAAGAGACCATACCATTACTGATGATTCTTACTGTGCCACTTAGACAAGGTTATGTGAAGACACCAAAAGCAAGAGCCCTGGCATGTTGAGTGATGGTGTCATCCTCCTCAAATTTAAGTGGAAAATCTGGAATTGCTCCTCCCATTAGCACCCACTGACTATTTTTTGTTTTGTTTTGTTTTCCGAAATTGAAGGAACATTTATCTGGAATGTCTCTTCGAACAGAGATGTGAAAAACAGCCACTGAGACTGGCTCAATGGGTGGGATGTGATTTCCACACAGCTGGGTAAAACAAGTTTGTCTTACATTCAGATAAATGCCTAAATAAAATTGGTGATTATGTAAAAAAATGATAAGCAAGTATGCCTCTTAAGTCCCTTTTGTATTTTCTGTCTATTATTTATAAATAATTTTTTATTACCCTTGGTAAACTTTTTTTTTTTTTTTTTTTTTTTTTTTGGGATCCACCCTTGTATATACAGTTCAGTACAAAAATTTAAAAACTGATGTAACTACTATAGAAAGTTTGGATGTGTTTATCTGAAGACAAAGAAAGAGTTAAGACTTACATTCCTGCTAGCTTAGCTCCTCGTTTGCATGAAAAACATCTGTGAAAATAAATAAATAAATATCAATTATTTTCTTTTGAGGAAAAAATAAAAAGATCATTACAAAATTAATGGTATAAAACTGAAGTAAATTCTTAGAACTTTTAATATGTAGCTGCAAAACTAATTTTTTTAGCAAAATAATTTATTTTTCTTTATGCAAATAAATGCAGTACTTTCACTTACATACTAAAAACTACAACATAGTACAGCTGTTCAATTTTGTAAATAATCATTTGATTATTTCGCTCCTGTATAAAAATGCATACGAAATGCAAATTTTGGCAAAATCATAATATGTCAAATGAACTTCCCACAGTTAATTGAAGTGAGCTTTGCTGTAAATATTGTTACCAAATGTACAGGCGCGGTGAGTTGGTTTCCCCGCAAAGCAGTTTTAGGGTTGCCATAAAATGGCACCAAATGTGGCAAACATAAAAGGCATGGTTGCCACGTTTGTTGAGAAATCACCCATTTGCAAAATTTGGAGACAAAATTGGCGATATACTATGGACGGTTGGAGAACCTTCTGGAATGAATTCTTACCGGTTTAGTCCAGAATGTTCCCGAACACAAGCCGAAAGCTATATAAACCGTGCTGGTCTGCAGTCAGCAAGTGTGCCTCTCATCGAGAGGAAGTGTGCTTCATCGAGAAGTGTGTCTCTCATCAAGAGTGTGTGTGCCTCGTCTAGCGAGTCAATCCCTGCGGAGTCGATCGAGTTGACACCGGGCAGCGAGTGCCGATGAGTCGTTCCACTAAGGAGTCTGTTAGTGTATGTGGTTAGTGCATCGTAGAGAGCGTGTTGAGCTCCCGGAAGACTGAACCAAAGAGTCAGAGCTGTGCTCGAGTGTCGTGAAGTGCATCGTGAGTTGTAGCGTGGAGAGTCTCGAGAGTACGTGGAGTTCCGAGAACGATCAAGCAGAGTCGGCTGCTTTGCAGGAAGCAGTCTCCACCGTGATAGCCTGATAACCTAAAGGCTGTGTCGCCGATTATGTCAACGTGTTTATAGTAGATCTTTGACGGCTGTAAAATGTGTTTTGGAGCTGTCCTGACAATTATTGATAAATAAAGTGTGTTTCGATACTTCATCAAGTGTCGTCATTATTCACTCCAAATCTACAACCCCGTACGAATGTGAAGGAAGAAAATAACATACCAACTGGTGTCAGAAGAGAAAAAGAAGAACGTAACAATATTTACATTCTTTCCTGATATGGAAGATACAGTCCTGAATAGTAAAGAAGATAACTTTTAACACAATTAAATCAAATCTAATATTACTGTTTAAAAAATAATTTTTTAACATTAATATTGAAAATTTTAAAATAGTTACTAAATCGAGCATAGATTCCATAATATAAATATCAAAACTGTGTTTCTAACAAAATAGCTGAATAGTTTATCAACTAAATACGGCTTCAGTAACTCTCCTGAGATTTTGCAAATTTTAAAAGGAAACAAAAAAGCAGAAAGGCTTACACCATTGGAGTATAAGAGAATATTTTAGATTTACACACAAATGAAAAACATCATGGTGTTGTAAGAATCACATACTTGCTAACTTTGAAATTTTATAAAACAGAAGGCTTTCATTCTGTGCAACAGCAGCATTTTAAAGGAACTTCAAATTGACTTTAATTTACTTTAATGCATGTAAAGGTAATGCTAAGGTAATGTATTTATAATGCAAGCTAAGGCACTTTAATTCACTTTATAATGCATGCTGATGTAAAATGCATTAGCATTTAATTGGATTTGTAAATTTTATGTTCCTTGGACAATTTTCTTTTCTAGTTTTCTTACACTTTTATAAGAAAAGTTTTTGTTTATTGAAGTACTTTCAAATACGATAAAATAAAATAAATAATTAACATGCACAGTATATGTGTGGATAAATTTAGTAATGTATCATGTATTGAAGCAACAAAAGTAAATACAAATATTAACTAATTAAACATTGCATGAATCATCTTATAAAAATCTACAAATGTTTACAGTAGATTAGGACAACTCAGAACAAATAACATTTCGTATCACAAAGATCAATAAAATGTAATTTGCTTAATTTAAATTTCATGAATTCAATAAATTTCATTTATTGCTGGGAAACATTTTCCTCAGTAAAAGGCCCAAAATTAAAAACTGGAAGATTCGACAATCTACCGAGAGACTAAGAGATGTGATAAAAAACCAGGAGTCTTCCAGTAAAACTGGGACAGTGGCAACCCACAAAAGGTATGAAACATTTTTTATAAATAATTAATGAGTAATGACAATGTTATTAGTCAGCATTTTTACTCCACAGGAACCAGATAAAAAACGAATTCTTTTATACTTTACTTAAAGAAACTTTGCAGCTGAAAGTATATGCTTGATAGTGATATTTTAAATCCTTACATAGTAACATAATTTTTAAATTAGAGGTATTTGAGAAAAGCTCTCATTCCTTCAGAAGGAAAGAGAAAATCTTTGGCTACTAAAACTAATATTTCAGTAGTCAAAATACTTTCTAGCACCTTTAAATTTTAAAACTGGAATCCTCGTTAAAAGAGTAATAATTTAAATTTAGGCTTTACTGATGAAAATACAAAAATACAATTTGCAAAGACAAAACTGTACTTTGTTATCTGAGGGTTAGTTAAATACAACTTTTAATTATTACTAAGTATCTTTATGCATTTACAAGATAAAGAATATGAAATAATATTGTTTGATATGAACAATTCTAAAGTATAAATTTACAGATTTTCGTATTAGATTTCGTATAAATTTACAGATTTTCGTATGAGAGCATTGAGAGACATACTTTGCAATACCAGGAGCATCGGGAAACAAATGGGTTAAGGCAATTTGTTTTATCTTCACCTGTTCATACAGAATAGCTTTTATTCTATTTCGAATTGGTTCTGTTGCAGTAATAAAATCTTCGGTATACATTTTTATGGAAAGTTCTCTCCTTATTTTTAAAACATTCTCATTCATTTCTTCCTCCTACATTAACATAAAGCACTATATTAATTCCATAACAGGATCTGATTGCACTACTTTTCTGTTTTCCAATTTTCAAAGTAGGCACCATATGCAATGATGTAAAATTTAGCATTGACAAATTTTTGTGATAAAATTTTTTTATTAAATGAAATGTAGTTTCAAGTAACATTAGCTGTCCAACATTTAGTTTCAATAGAACTTTAATGCCAAATAAATTGTAATTTACAATAAAGTTAAATCAGAGTAGGGTTATCTTGTAGAGACATTAGGTATTTTTGGAAGCAGGCAAGATGAAAAATTAATAAACACCTTTGCCGGAAATCGAACCACGGACCTCTCGAATACCGGCCCAGCGTGCAGAACCACTACACAAAGGCATGCGTAGAATGTGGGAGAAATACCTTATAATCTTACCCATGCACTCAACCTGGTTAATTAGTTCTTAGGTATATTTTAGGTCAATGGTCTGCAAAATGGGGTACATATAACCCAGGGGGTCCACAAAGTGATACTTTAGGGCACCCAAAGGAAGTAAGTTCACGATCATTTTGCACATGTATGTTTGTGCATATGATATTACATTATATTACAGGGGTACAACTTATGATTATTTGGTCTTGGGATACACAATCAAAAAGGTTTCTAGATCACTCTTTTAGGAGATAGAAATTATCACTTAAGATATCAGAATCTTTTATTTTTCATGCTTATTTTGCATTTGCTTTAAATTATTAAACTGGAACAATTAGTAATTGATAATTTCAATATTTGACCAATAATTTATTTCAGCAGGATGTTATCTGTTAAAATAAATTAACAGATATTTGGATACTTTATAATATATTTATTTCTACTCTGAAATTAAAAAGAACATATTTATTATCTACAGTTTTATTTAGTTTGTTATAAATGATATTAATATTTGCTAAAAACGTTTTAATTTATAGAAATGGATAACAATACATCTAAATTTATAAAAAATGATACTTTGAATATTTTTTTTTTTTTTTAATTTGCAAAAGATTAAATTCAGTATGGTTAAAATAATTTATTCAAAAATGTTTACAGAAATGTGCATCAGATAACTTCTATATCTCAATACATTATATGAAATTTGTATTAACCATACAATAAATGAGCATTCAAGCATGATTTCTTAAATTAAAATATACATTTATAGTTTTTTTTTAAATATTTAAATTAATTACTACATTATTTTTTTATACATTTTAAAACTGAAAACCATTTTCAATTTTATGACAATTTTAATAAAAATTAAATGGTTTTTTATATTTTATAAGCTATTCTAATTTTAAAATATGATTATTTCAAAAATTAGCTATAAATACATTTTTAGATTATCTGCATTTCCAAAATTTATGCTGAGTTTTGTTAAAAAAAAATTTTTTTATGCAAAATGTACAAATAACAAGTATATATTTAAATAGAATCAAATTTTCATTAACAGTGTAAAGTATTTTTATTTGTAATATATAAATAACTTAGTAAAAAAAATAGATTTTATAAAAAAAAATAGATTTAACCACTTTAAAAACTTTTGCTAAATATTTTTTACTTATTACATTTTATTGGAAGTTCTTTTCCTAATAATTTAATAAAATTTTTGCTTTTTTTTTTTTTATTTTTAAAATTTTAGCTTATTATAAGCAAAAGCTCAATAAATTAAACAAAAAGGCTTCATATAATTTAACTAAATATTAACTAATTCCTAAAGATTCAATAGGTATAAATGTGATCCCAGCAAGTATTTAAAAAATTAAGCAAGATAAACACTTATTTAAAAACTTCTAATTAAACTAAGTTTGCTTAAAAAGCTATTCTCAAAAGAGGAACTTTTGAAAATAAGCATTTTATTGGTTAAAAAAAAAAAAAAAGTTTTTATGAAATAACCTTTGTTTAAAATGGATATGATAAAAATTTTGAAGGAGAAAAATAATTTTTCTGATAGTTTAATGGAAATAATAGATTAAATATTTCTATTTACAGAGTTAATCTACAAAAGATTGCAAATAATAAAAACTGGACCAATAAAAAAGATAATGGCTTATATATTTGACAATGTATAAGCTATGACAACAATTAAATGTATAGATTTTGTTATTTAGATACCTCACACTTTTAATTTGTTTTTTCCTAACTAAATTGTAATAATAAAAATAGAATTATTTAATCTATTATTTCCTTAAACTATATCATAAATTATTTTTCTCCTTTTAGTGCACGAATTGTCATGCCCATTTTAAATAAATGCTTATTGTATAAAAACTTTTTTTTTTAATTCTATTTTATTTTCTGCTTTTTAATCTCAATTACACTCTATTGATGATGAATTTTTAGTCAATAAAACACAATAAATAATAAAATTGTGAATTAAGAAAAATAACTGAATATCATTCAGAGAATGAAGAAATCACTTTGAATATTCATTCATTTTTTGAAATTCGATGTACTAACAGTGTTACAATAGGCATTTTACTTGAGGCTAAAATGAAAAAAATGAATATATCGCCAATTTATCATTAAGTGCTCTAAGATGGCAAACTTTGTGATTAAGTGAGCTTTTGGCAAAAACAAAAGCTATGTTCCTGCAAGAAATGCGTCTTTCTCCTTTATACAACAAATTTTTTAAAAATAATAAAATAAATAATAATAATAATAATAAATAATAATAATAATAATAATAATAATAATAAAAAGCTCAATTAATACTTTTCTATCTTCTTGTTTTAAAAGAGGGCAAAGGCAAAAAGTTTGTTTTATAATCTCGGAAAGTTTGAAGACAATAATCGATACATTTTTAGATGCTGAAATTTTAAAATCATGAATGCCAAATAGTCTAAAAAAACTTGCCAAAAGTTTAGAAATTAAATTACAATTTTCACTCCCATTCTTTTTGATGGTGCAAACAGTAAAATTCTGACATAACTTAGATTTTCTGAAGATATGTGCAAGAAATTATTCAAGCACTAAATTTTAAAAAAAAATCTAAATTCTGAAAAAAAAAAAAAAAATTGCTTCATTGTATTACATTGTCACCGACAAACAGTGTATAAGTACAATGTGAACTTGATAGCTTCTCAGAGGGTAGCTTAAAAATTGACGACAAAATTACACTCACAGTGCATGTGTAACATGTATACGAGCCAGTTTCCCTTAGAAAGTCCTCCTTGAAAGCATCCCTTCCCTTAGGCAGATAGCCCTAGTGTGCTTTGCCATAATTAAATAAACCAAACCAAACCAATCCACTCACAGTGAAATACCATGAACTAAATGAAAGTTTACAAAAATAGAAACATACAAATTTTAAAGTTTAAACCAAAATAAAATATTCTAGAATGACACACTGGAACCCCGTTTAAACACAAGTGTAAATATGATTCGAGCATGTGAACCTAGAATATTTTATCTCATTATTAATTTCATTTTAACCATGGTGTAGTAGTTAATTTTTAAGCTCATGCCATGTAATTAAAAAAAAACTTATAATTAATGCATTAATTTTACAAAAATATTCTTCATTTTATATAATAGCAATGGAATGATAGTACCTTAAATGTTATTAAATTTTATATAATATTATATAATAGTAAAGTTGATATGATATCAATGTATATTTAAAATTTAAGAACAATGATATTTTTCATTGTTATCAACTTATTATTACACCGCTTTGTTTAAGGACATCATCAATTACAAGATGCACCCCATAATAATAATTTTTTGTTGTGAAGTTGGTAGCATTTGCCAATTTATTGATTTAGCAATATTCTGAGAGTTTTCAGTAAATACAAGTAGTAGTAGTGCTCCCGTCTATCAACTTTAACATTTAATATAAAGAGGAAGCTGCGAGGAGCCTAAAAAAGTTGAAAGTGTTCCAGACTAATATGCTCTTTTGTTTATTACTCAAAGATTTTAGTATGAGTGATTAAATAAATTTAAATAATCAGAAAATGATTATGCTGTTAATAGGAATAGGTTTAAAATTTAATATAAGATTACCTACAATATAAATAATGTATCTTTATTCTCATATACTTCTACTACTATATATATGTACACATATAGCGTCAGTAATTTCATACTGATGCATCTGTTATTTGTCGAAAAAAATTGATTATATATATAGTGTATATATAGATAGATTAAATATATGTAATTACATTATAAGTATTAATGCTAAATAACTGTAAATGTGCTACTTAAATAAGCCAGGCAAATAAGGATGATGGCTTTTAAAAAATAAATAAAATAAAACAACAGCAGGTGAATTCATATTCATACAGTATGATACTTACTCACATTTATTTTCACTGTAATAGTTAGCCTTTCCACATCATCTTTTATGTCTTCTATTACAGCAACAAATTCACTTCTATCTAGTTTATTACCAACCAATTCTATATCAGCTTTCTAAAAAATAATATAACAGCAACAGATAAAAATTATTTTCCCTAAAAATATAATTTATTAAATATTCAACTGTATTTAATGTGTCACTTAAGAACTGAATTATAAATCAAAATGCTCTTATAAATTCAATACTAAAAATTTTAAACATAAATATACTGATCTTAACATGTTGCCTATTTTTGTGATATTTTTCACTGTCTCAAAATTCTTTTAAAATTCAATTTGAAAAAAACCAGCAAAGCTTTTATGTAATTAATAGGTAATATTGTATAAATAGAAGTTCATATTCAGATCAAGATTATACTAAGATAAATAATGGTAACCATGTCGCTGGAAATTAATTATAGAATCACAGATTAGTTATAGAACTACACATTACTAAGCTAGAAGTATAAGAGCAGTGAATTTTTACTATAAAAATTATGAACAACATTTTGTCTTCCTTCCCTTTTCAGTTTTTGATTACATTGTGTCATAGAATATGGATTTAAAATGAGAATTAATCTAAAAGAATAAAATAGCAGCCTTATTCAACTTCATTAATACTCAAAACAAATTAAGTGCTATAAATATGGGAACAGATAATTTGGAATTTGAACTTCCAATCACAATACATGACTATAGATAGGAGTTCCATTTCTGAAGATTCTTTATAAGAACAAACCAAAAGTTAAATTTAATGCAATTTTGCAAAATTACATTGAGTTTTCCATAATTCTGTAAACATTTAACTTTAATGTCTCAGGCAATCATGAATTTCTTCCAATAAAATGAAATATAGCTCATCAGTGGGCCTTAAATAAAAAAAAAAAAAAAAAAAGTTGAAACCTTCTTACAATTTCTGCAGAAGCCAAAGCCTTATTAAACCTTTTGTAAATTAAACTTAAACCATTTTAAATCAATTAGTACTTAAGTCATATCTTAGCTTAGGAACTTAAGCAGGCACAAAAATAATTTTACCAATTGGCAGTTGCAACAGTGTTAACTATAATGGTCTTCCAGCTGATGCCCCTCCCTGACAAATATTGCTTGCCTGTCACCTGAAATACACACTTCTGTATGTAAAAATTGCAACAGAATGAAAGAATCATGCAAATAAGGGAAAACTTAGGAAATGCAAAGAAAGATATGATGCAAATAATTAGAATTTCAGAGTGATTCTGTATGCATGAGCTCTTATAGAATCATGTTAATTGCATAAATAGAAGAATGTAACAGAACATTAAACAAAGTGTTTTGTTATCTACCAATGATAAATATTCCATAAGAAGTCACTATGACTCATTAATGATAAATGTCCCAATATAAGCAAGCTGCATTGATTGAAAAAGAGCAAATGATCAGCCTGTGAAAGAGTTTTCTATCATGAAATAGCAGCTTATATAGGGCATGACGTCTCATCAGAGATGCATGCATGGTAGCAATGAACTCAAAAGAATTGACTAAGTCACAAACATTCCAGCAAACCATAACATGTTACATGATTGATGGATGTTACTTCTACATGGGCTGACAGACCATGCAGAATTTTCTTGACAGTTAGCACAATACCAAAGTTGCAGGTGTGCCATTGTTAATATCAAAAGTTCACCAGCAACTGATGTGCAATGGTTCATGTGTATAAATTCCTTTGTACAGATATCCTCAGCTGCAAAATCATTGATGGCTGCATGTAAAATGAGCTCATCAACACATACACTGTCATACTGATTGGCCACAAATTACACTTTCTTACAAATCTTATGTCATTTTAGAGTAGAATGATGGTCAAGAATGCATTATACACTCTACAGTTGAATGCCATTATTCCTGAGTGTATTATGCAGCATCATACTGAAAGAATATCAAGCATGATAGTTTGAGGTGCCATTAGATATGATAGGTGATTTTGTTGTACTAAGAATCACGAATACTCCCAGCAGCAGATATTACATCAGGGTGGTTCTAGACACCAAAATCTTTCTCAGCATGCCAGATAACACTTTTTTCCCAGCCTGTCAATTCATCAGACATGTCATCCACTGAATATGCCAACAACTTGCAACAGGATTTTTTAGGCCAGACACTAGTTCATGACACTTGTTTGGCAGCCAGTACGGATCAATTCTGAGTTTCAATAGAAGAAATACTGAGTACTATTCCTATGTGCACTTTCAAAACCTGTTTGGTTTCAAGGTTACAATGAGTACAAACTCTTATTGTAGTACGTGGTAGCTTCACCAAATATTGATTTTTGGCATTTAATAATTATTGTATTACTCTGTGGATTTTATTCTTTTATATCATTACAGATCGTACATGGAATAAATCTCAAACAATTCTCATGATTCACTTATGGTGTTGCAAATTTTGCGAGAAAGTGTAGTAAGAACAGAAACAGTAAATAAAATTGAAGAGAAACACTAAATTCAGTTGAACAGAAACAAAAAAATCAATTGTAAGAATAGAAAAAATAAATTGCATATAATGTTTTCAATTACATAACTTCTATTTTACAAATTAATAAATTCCAGAGATCCATACAGAAAATAACAAAGCATAACATGTGGAAGGGTTATACACATCATAGACACACTGAAGATTAAGAATATGACTGAAACAGAAAAAGCTTGCAACAGAGAGGTAGACAATTATTGGCAAATTACTGTCATTTTTTTATCACTACCAAAATTCTCTATCTTTATTCTCTATCTATCTAGTATATTTAATCTCTATACAGAAAAACTGAGTGCACATGTTATTTTTATGAGAGTTTAATTAATAATTAATAATTACTAAACTAAAATAGCATGTGAATATCATATTTTAAAAGAAACTTGATCCAGATCTTAAAAATTGCTCCCAGAAATATGAAAATTCACTTTGATTATTATACTTGCAATATATACAAATATACTTACAAACATATATAAAAATTTTAATTTGTTTATTTAAGCAAAAAAGAATTTAATAGTGTGAGCTTCCCTCATCAAGAACTAGCTGGACAATTCTGGATAAGAAGAGCTTACATTATTAAATAGTTCCTTCTTGCTTAGATAAACAAATTTGAATCTTTATTAAATATCTTATATTGCTGCAGCTTTATGTGCCTTTTAAAACCCATTATGTATTAAATTCTGTTTTTCTTTTAAGTCTCCCCTCCCCTAGTTATAAATACTCACAAGAAAGTATGTACCACCACATAGTCATTAAAACCATTTTGTAACATTATATCATGTCTATAAATTTATTTCACATAAAAGGTAAATAAATTATACATGTTTCATAAAATTACATTATCTCAAATATTTAATTTTCTTACCAGTGCTAACATTTCATACATTTTTTCTTTATCAGCTTTTCTGGTTTCTAATCTGTCCAATACAGTATTTACATCCTATTAAAAATAACTTATTAACATGGTTTTAAGATTACATGAACATTTTATTATAAAATTACATTTGCTTCCTTGAGTCTCATTTTGGAATCAAATTACACATCGGAATTAGGCTAATGTTTCTATTCACTTATACCATACAGCTGATTTTGCTGTATTGATAAAATAAACAATTTATATACCCTCTTTTTAATATTAGTTTTAATGAAATAAATTATTAGAAATTGAATACTGCTGTAAATAGATAAATTGGCCTTTAAATAGGTTAAAATATAAATAGGCCTGAAATAATATTACAAAATTGGTTGGTGCACCAATTTAAGACCATCAAACTTTTATATAAAATGACTAGTAAGTACTCAATTTAATTTAATCAATAAGATGAAATTACTAGTACTCAGTTTAATCTTCTACTAATACAACTTGAATAAATAGAACAACTATTCTATTCTTTGTTGATTATTTAAGTCCAATTTTAAAAAAGAAAAAGAAGAGTTCACCATTGCCATTAGACTTTTGAGGCAGATGTCACAGCTATAATAAGCACACTTGGAAAAGTTAGGAAAAGATGTATAATATAGTGTTAGAAACATAGTTTGGTATTATACTAATAAGTATAAATAAATGCCTTTTGCCTAACATTAAAAAAAATTCATAAAATCATTTTTTACAAAAATACTTCCCGAAAATGGTAGTAACAATCTCACAATGGGTTCTAGGACTTCATCTCAATACTGAACAGCCATCAAAGAACCCCGTTTAAAGATGTTCAGGTTGGTTCGGTATCCTAGTGAAATCCCTGCCCACACCATAATGCTTCTAACTCGGAATGCGTGATGTTCGGTGATGTTTTGGGACTGATTGCGTGTTCGTTGTTCACACCATATCCTTATACACTTGTCATCTGGCTCCAGAGCAAATCTTGACTCATCAGTAAACATGACATTGCCCAGTCAGACACATTCCAATTGACATGTTACCGGCACCACTGTGATCGTGCCCTTCTTGATTGGACGAATAGAGGAACACAAACTCGAGGTACCCGGGCATACAGTCCATTCATATGTAATCTTAATGAAAAATTTTGTAAACTGAGTCGGCATAAAGGGTACTTTCATATTTTCCAGTTGAAACTGAAAGTTGGCAGAGATCTTACAACATTTGTGCCAACTATTCCAGAAGTTTGAAAGATTGTTCTTTATGTAGTTAGGTAAATCTGGACCCTTCTAACTTTTATTTAGATAATCTAAAGACACAAGATCTGGATATAATATATAAAACATTTAATTCATTCATGATATCAATGAATCATTTTTAACTCATGATTTCTTGAATTCACTCATGATTATTATTCACTTGAAGCATTCAAGGTTTCAGATTGTATGACAAACAAATTTATTAAAGCTAGTGCCAGTCATTCCAGCTGCAAAAATCTTTAATAATATTTAAAAGAGGAAAAAGAAAGAAAGAAAAAACCTGTCGTTTTAGTAAATTTGTTGCTATATTATTTGCTTAAATGAGAATTTAACTGGTGTTGTGCAGTTGCACTGTGTGTTTTATTGCACCATTTTGATGAACCTCACAGTTTCTGATGCTTTGAACATATACATAGGTCTCATAACTATGAAACTACTCCACTGCTTGTTATCCTGTAGAAGGCAGGTCAAATTTTTAATAGATATATACTATATATATAAATATATATATTGAAAGGAAAATAACATCAAGGTTGAGTATCAGGACTACATAAAATCAAGGCAAAGATATTATGCATATGTTATGACATCCCACTTCTCTATTATTGATGCTAAATCCCACCCCTTGGCAACAATTTTCATTTTTCAAGTTCTTTGTCAATTTTAATTCTTTGTTTAAGTAAATTGCACAATGCTGTTAGGAAAATGCATAATTCCTGCATAAAGCAAACAAGCAACTACTATTAATTTATATGAGAAAAATATTTTAACATCCCCAGACCTGAAAAAAAAACCTTCTAAATAACTAAAAAACAAGAATAATAGGATAAATAAGCAGTCTATTATACATGATATTTCTTTCGAAAGAAACAGAAAGTGATTCTAGGAAGCTTAGAAATAGTAGTAGTCATCACAGATTTAGTAGTAGGTGATATAAAAGATACATACAGAAGAATAGTGCAATTATCTATAGATAATTTATTATCATCTATATCTGTAAAGTCATTATGTCTGTCAATCTAATGTCTACCAAAAATGAAAATCAAATTTTGCTGTGTGCTCTAAACCAATATGGAAAGCTTGAAATATGGCAATATGTTCAGACTTTTAAACAGATACATGTTTTGTACTTTACAGGTCTTTATACATAATCAAAACATTTTTATAAAATGCTTTGAGCTTTTGTGCATTATCACAAAGTTATAATTATCTGCAGACATTGCATAAAACAAGTGCTGCATGATATTTCCACTTTTTGCTTTCTCATAAAACATAAAATAATTATTAGATTTCTTTTTGTAACTGAAATGAAAACACAACCTTTCGTGAAAATAAACTGGCAAATAAAAAAATCTCCTGCATAGTGTGGAATGTCTGTATCTGAAAAATCACAGTCATGAGTCAGATATATATATAAACTTAAAGCATCTAAATTAAGTAGTAAATTGGAACAAAGGTAAAGCAATTCCTCTATAATATAATAATTGCAACTGTGTATAAGAGGTATAACACAATATCAAAACTAATTCAATTAAAGAGAGAAATCATAGTAGAACAATCTTGAAAAATAAAAATGTGAGAGGGAAATATACAAAATAATAATAATAATCTCCTTTTACTGAAACTCCAATTCAGAACTCATAAGGGGAAAATGAATTAAAGCTTCATAACAGTCGATGAATATGTTTCGTTCTCCTGGTCCATTTGAGATCAAAAACCGTAAAAAGATGTCATTGAATTTTTTTTAAAGACTTTAAAATTCATATAAAACCGAAAACTCGAATCTCAAATGTACCAGAATTTTCCCTACACATTTTCAAAACACTTCGAAAAAAGAATAAAACATTACATAGTGTCAAAAAAAGACAATTAAAAAACCATAGAACTTCATTATGTACATTGAAATTTAAAAAAACAAATTGGTCTAAAACCAATATATGCTAATCTGAAATTCTTTTCCTTTTCTTCAGTCTACAGTAACCATTACCCTTTTCCAATCAGACACTGATAATGTAGGCTAATGCAAAGAAGCATTTCATTATGTTTTCTGAGAAGACTCTGCAAACTAAATGAGTGTATTCATGTCCATTTCCTATTAGCTGGTGTTTGAGAAAGGGAACCAGAGTTCATTTAAGCACCACCTATTCTTTAATCCTGAGAAACATTCATTTATAATCAAAGGACTTGTTTTTAATGTCTCTTGATGATTGCTTTTGTTAATCATAAAATAAAGGTATTCAGCTTGAGACAAAGAGATTTTGCAAATAGTGTCTGAGAGGAACTAGGGGAGTGTACTCTACACCAAGGGGATCTCGAATTTAACTACGCTAACTACATCTCAAATCTAAGTATCTTGATTCTAACTACACTGGCCAAGATTTCTGCTAAACCTGTTTTATTGAAGCACTACATAACTGAAAGATAAATGAATTAACTACAAACAACTTTTGTCAGCCATAAGCAGTTTATTCTGGATCTGAATAATCAGACTTTCCCCAATTTGAGTTTTATAAGCGGCAGAGACGAGTTTAATAAACGGTGCTATTTTTATTGATTAGTATATATTCATTTTTGGTTCCTGGCAATTTGAGCACAATAAGTGGCTGAGTTTATTAACCGATGAGTTTAAGAGGTGGCGGGCACAGTATATCTATATCTATAATTTATAAAATAAAATAATTTTCACATAGTGAGTATAATACGGACTTTCCACAAATAATATACATTTCATATATCTACAATTTTATAAATATATAGACAGAGACAGAATTATCAGACAAAATTTTCAAATTCAGGAAGCTTCTGAAATACAAGGTCTTCTATTTAGTAGAATGTAAAAGCAATTGTAACAACATATTGATTATATCTGATTTCTTTCATAAAATTATCAATATTTGCTTTGATTCAGAATTTTAATTTCAGGTATAAAAATTACAGGAAAAACTTCTGAAGAAGAATTTAGTGAAACTCATATGAAGTTCTAACACATTCAATGAATGTGTTAGAATTTCTTGTTTCTTGCATAGGCTTAAACAACAATTAACTTTCTTATAAAAATACGCACAGACAGAAAGCAAAAGAGACAAAGATTTTGTGTTATTAAAATATAGCAAAAATAAAGAAAATTTACAATTAAAATGTTATTTAAAAATTAACATACTGCAAAGGGAAAAGTCAGCTTCAAGTTAATAAGTATATATGAATTAAATTGTTTAGTTAGTGCTATTATAAATAGTTTCATTTATGACTGATTGATAAAATATTGTACTTTACATTTAGTGACATTCTATATTTAGTACTTTACATTAATGACATTAGTTACATTCGATTCAACAAAGGTGACAAGTTGGGTTATGGAATCTAATTCGAAGGAAAGACCTTTTATGCAAGCTACAGTCACCCTGGGGCAGTCCTTACACTGTCCTAAACAGGCTGAACGACAACAGTACCTCTCCTCCTTTAAAATAAATATTTAATACCAGGACGGATAAACCTTAAATTCTGTTATATATGAATACATAATTCAAAGTAATACAAAAATGAAAATAAAACAACCTTTAAATGTGCTTACAAGTGAGGTAAAAATATATTAAATGATAATCTCTTTACTCAATATATGAGGGAATTTTTACAGAATAAACTCACTTGAATTTTCTTGAAGTTTGATTTGGCTTCTTTATTGTACAATTCTAATGCAGCTTTATTTTCTTCAAGATCTTTCAGTATCATTACTAACTGTTCTTCTAAGCGTGCAAAAGTATCATTTATCTAGTAAAAGCAAATACATATTTCTAAGTTTTATTGCTTAAGAATAATAATTACGTTAAACATGTATGAAAATGCAATTAAGTTGAATTAATAGCATGAAAAAATACTTTATTTTTTCTTTTTTAAATAACCTATTTCAGAAGTCTCTAGAAGATTCATTAAGCATATACAGGAGTTGTTTTTACAATATTGCTGATTTAATTTACTTAATCAATTTTAAAAAGATTAGTTATAAATATATATTCATCTTAAATGAAATTTAAGAAAAAATACTGATGAATCCAATTGCCTTTAACCAGATTTTTTTTGGGGGGGGAGGATTGCTGTATATAGAAAGAAAGAAAAGATGCTGAATGCAATAAATTACTTTGTTTATTTTATCTAAACTATGCAAAATAATTCTAAGACAGTTTACTTTAAAGGTCAGTAAAAAATCAAATAATTTTGGGTACTTGCATATTACTGCAGCCACCTTAGTACAAGTCATTAAATTTTCAGAACGTGTCAAATTCTGGAAATAAACATTTTTCAGCCAACCAAGCTCATAAAAATATTTCAGTCAAGTAATGTCAATACCATTTTAGTATGCATTCTTTTTGTTATATTCAAAGTTCTAATAGTTTTTATAGACAAATTTTGATATTTTTTGCCTTTAACTCAGTCTTAAAATATTGCTTGTAGAATTGCCAGGAATGGAAAAAATTTCAGTAAAAGTTTGGCTGGAATACAATATTTTGCCAGAACATTGCTAAAGAGAACAACGATGAGATGAGTTTGGTACAGAGCTGGCAGACGATTCCAATTTCATGGAATTCTCTGATGTTAAGCAAAAACAGATTGCTTTGTAAATGGTAAGAGGAACAGCACTAAAAAAAAGAGAGAAAGGTTTTGTGAAAAATATAAGTGTTTTACTTCTTTGATGTATCATATAATCCTTGTTTAACATTTAAAACTTGTATTTTAAAATGCCTTTTCTTTGATATGATGTTTGTCAACTTACAATAACTACTGATAGTTAGGGAATGTTTTCTAAAAATTAATTTGAAAATTGCAAACTTCCATCCAATAAGTAATTTTTACCTTTCCACCCATAAAAGACTGCCAAATTGTGCCAAGGTATTTCAATTAATACATAAGTACCAATTTTTGCTTTTAGTGGTATCTTATTTAATTTCTGGTATTCAAGAAAAACTTAAATTTTCACATCAATATATAGTTTGAGGGTGGGGGAGCAAGAGAGACAAAAAAAGATTTAATATATTTATTTGCTTATATTTTAAAAATTATTGTCTTCTTATTTTGTATTTGGTTAAATATATTATCAAAATATTCTAAATTATTTTTAGCAGAAAAGATTTCATGAATGAAGTACTTTTTTTGCAATATTTAAAAAAAATTACAAAATTCTTCTGCAAGTTTGTAGATGAAGACTTTCAACAGAGAACAGAATTTTTCTGCTCTTATTGTAAAAATAAGAAAATGCCTGCACATCACATATATTTCTGTGCGACAAGAAAAGGTGGCTGCTTTTAGCATAGTTGTGAATAATACAGGCACAACAATTAATTGCTAAATACATCTTGTTCAATTCCTTTTGCAGGTTGGTATAAATTTTAATTTTGCTCACCTTACTCTTAAAATTTGTGGCACTTGCATATTACAATATAATTTTATTATCCATACCAAACTTCATCAAAGTTATGGCTGCATTTTGGGTTAAAATACACAGTTCTCCAACTAAATCAACAAATTCCATCAGTCACACTTGAATTTCAAAATGCACAGTAAGTATTTTATAGAATGAATTCAAGTTTCATATCTAGTTAAATTATAAACATCTACATTTATAGTAACAAAACTGACACCACTTAATTAGTTTTTATCTATTATAAATTTATCATTTATGTTATTAACTAAAAGTATAGACATGCTAATACACACAGAGAATTTAAAATATAAATTATCTATCTGATTACAGACTTAGGGTAATCCTAATATTTAGAACTAATCGCAAACCAACAATCATAGAAATTATTGGATGAATGTAAGCCAAATTTAAATAGTTACTCAGAAAAATGTGGTGAAGAGTATTGATGATACTTCTCTTAAAATCTGAGAATCATAAAGAAAATAATGTTTCCACTTTTTTTTCCTAATGATTGAAATTAAGGATAAATAAATTAATAATTTATATTCACAATTAAAAAGAAAAAGTGCTTTTCTTACAGAAACTTCTAGATAAATAATTTAAATATACAACAAAAATAAATTATTGAAAAATCATTACATATAACTAATGAAAAGAAATGAGTTACATCATCTGCATCCAAAGTAGCCAATTTCTCTTCTATTATGTCAATGTGACTTCTTATGTCAGCAAAACTGGCTTCAATAGATTTGAGTATTTCCTCATCTATTCTTGTTTTAAGGGCTGTTAAATCTTCATTAATTTCATTCACCTAAAAAGCGAACAAAAGAATTGTTTGAAGTCTAAAATATGCAACCGAATGCAACTTTACAATGAACAACTACATAAAATTATGTTTATTTTTTATAATTCTTTGAGCTCAAAAAGAGAAAAAGACAGAATAAAAAGCAAAAGAAAAATTCGGATCATAATTTGTGGTATTAAATAAATAAGTAAATATTAGGTGACTCAAAAGTTGCTATATTACAGAAATATTAAAAAATTAAAAGATTTAATTCTTGGTTTCAAAAAACGTAAGTAAAACACAGCAGATTCAAAAGTTACTGAAATACTATGTAATTAAAAAAACTTAACCTGGATTTTCAACTTTTGTGTACTTTTATGAAAAAAAAAAAAAAAAAAATCTTAAAAATATGGCTGCATAATCATTGAAAGATATCGAAGAAAAGCCTTTTTCATCACAAATGCCTTTACAATTGTCACTACAAAGTCTTAAAATTACAGTGAATATCTCTCATCATGTTTTACTTTCTTGACGAAAGAAATGTCAAATTATATGATGTTTGATGTTTTCAATAATTTTTAGTTTTATTAGATATTTTTGGTGCTTTAAACTAATGACATTCAGTTAGTTGTATAACTAATTATGTTTTTTAATATCTTTATTTTCAAATGCAGCTAGTTAGATTCACTCGCAGTCTATGTCCACTAGTTAAAGAAAACAAAAAGTCGTTTAAGAAAATAATAGCCCACAGCCCGTAATGAGATGCAACGACGACATTCAAAATCAAAACACAATTCGCGCCTCCAAAACATACGTGAAAACAAATGACTTCTTTTGTAGCCATTAACGTCTTTTAGCCTACAGAGGAATTTTTAGTAAATAGTAAAATATTAATTTTATTTAAAATAATTATATTGTACTTCATTGTTGTTCTCATTCAGATCTGGAATAAGCTTTATCAGAAAATCATTTTCTGCATTTTATTCTCGTTTTGGATTATATTTTTCGATTTTTTGAAAATGTATCTAGGAACAATGAAAGCTCATTGATGTTGTTGTCAATATTTCGTATACACAATTTGTACACGCAAACGCTTCTCAGTTTACCGTCCACTATGCGACATGCGCAACAGAATACATAAATACTGTCAAAGTGCTTATCATTCTCATTGTCATTATATTACTGATTATCATTATACGTATATACTCTATTAAAAAAGAATAAGGCGCTTTAAAAAAACCAAATCAAATATGATATCTATGAATTTAATCTAAAAATTTATCTAGTTTTTTAAACACTTTTCTAGTGGAAGATATTTCTTTGTATGACATTTCACGTAATTTAAACAAAAACGTAGGCAGCGTTCAAAGGCTTATGTAACAGTTAGCATAAGCCGAGTCCCCACTGTCAGGCAACTAGTCATTATTAAGTTGCGAAAATTGATATAAGCGCTTTGTCTAAATATTTAAACTGCTCAGCTCTATGCCACCCTGGTATAAGAACCGACAAGTCACAGCGAAGTAACGAGAACTGACATCCGTTCGATGATTTCGCTATCAGCAGCCCATTCACGAACATGCAGCTTTATCCTTCCTGAATGGCTACTGTTTAAATCGTTTTTCACAGGTGTGAATGAAACTAATATGCTCATACCATTATGAATATGGCAGTAGTAACTATACCGCAGTCTGAACACTGTTATATATTTATGTGGATTCATCCGGAAATTTAGCTTGAGCAGTTAGTAAACTTGTTGCTTCGTCTGATGTATTATTGATACTTTTCTTTACTGTTAATTTTGGTGTGTGAAGTAGTAATCCTTTCTCTGTAACTTAGTAGAAATATGATTCTTTTCCATAGCCTCATACCTGAAGTGAAGCTGCACGGCTCCACTCCTCTGGGAACCCATGACTTCGTGTACTGCTTTATCTGACTGCCTTTACGGAATGTCACACCTTGTTGGGCGATGGAATACTAAATCTTCTACTACTTAAAGACTTACTGCGTTTCTTTTAGTATCTTAATTTTGACTTCGTCTCTGTTGTTTCTATGTTGCGACTCTTATTGGAAATAATGAATCTATTGTTTCGTGCAATGTATTATTCGAAAATCCTTCAGGGCCATTAAACCAAGAACTACTGCTGCAGCTAACCCTCATAAGTACTCTTTGTCTCTATCTATTAGTATATTTTTAACATAAGCATAAGTTATATGTAGTTCCAACTAGATTTCTTTCCCACTGTGACAAGTATAATTAATGGAAGTTCAGTGTCAGCACAATGCATTGTCTATTGGCTTAAGATTTTCTTAAGATGTTTGACAGAGATACCGATAATGTCATGTCAAACAGCTTTCTTTAATATAAGTTTATCAATCTGAATTGCTTGAAAATAAAGAGAATAACCTAGAAAAGCTTTCAATTACGAGTATTTCTGATTATATGCATATTATGCATTTTATTTCTCTATTTGAATAAAGCTGGAGAATTAAAATTAATTACCTCTTGTGTCTGAGTTGAAAAGATTGCACCTAGGGTTGGCTAAAAGTCTACGTATATAGTAAAATTTAAGAACCAAAATTAATTGCTTTCTTTTTCCACATAAAAATAAATCTTATTACTTAAAAATTTAATTTCTTATTTTTCAATTTTGGGTAAGTAATGAACTTTAGTTTATCAGAAACATTAAAATAGTTGGGAATTAGGTAAGGAAGGAGTATTAAAAACTGGAATTGCTACAGTATTTATGTGCTGTTAATTTAAATAAATCTATTATGCTTCTGAAGGGCATTTAAAGATGCCATAGAAGTAACTAAATGCTATTCTTTGAAAAAAGAGAGTAAATTTCTAAATAAAAGGAGCGAAATTATGCATTTAAAAGGACTGATATTGTAGTAACTTCTTGTAGGCTCACATGCGACTGAGGTGCCAGTTAGTGAAAAATAAAAATTTGATTATCAAAAAATGCTATCTCATCACGTAATCCGTAGCAAATCACAGCAAAACATTGCTGCCTATTACTAAAATTAGAGTTGGCTGCAGTTATCAAAAAGGTAACTTAAACTACGATAAAATATAAAATTAAATAAAAACTACTAACACAAGGTAGTTATATAAATGTTTGCACAGCACTATAATTATTTTCTTAAATTAATATTTCAGTCTCCCTATTTCATTTTACATATATCCAATACAGCTGTTGAAATAAAATATGATGTTAAATAAATCATTAACACAGGGTATTTATTTAAATGTTTGCACAGCATGTTAATTATTACCTTTTAAAACTAACATTTCAGGCTCACGATTTTCCAATGCAACTGATGATAAATAAATTAGATTTACTAAGTTTTAACGCCTAAGCAATTGATTCCATTTCCCGCAGCAAGAAATCTGGACTCTGATTTATCAATAACCCCTGTTTCAAATGTATGTAATGGGTTTCTTATAAAAAGGATTTACATTAATTCATAGCTAACTGAATTGGAATGAAGTTTCAAAATTATGTGAAATTAAATTCTTCATTCTCAGATTGATGATACTGAATTGGTATGGACAGGCACTATGCAATATTCATTTTAAAATTTTTCATGAATAAATATTTTTAGCAAAAATATGAATTTCTAGTCAAAGTGGTTTTCGATTTTATTGTTTCTGAATGTTATAAAATATCTTTTATCAGACTACAAATAGGAAATATGCAGATGTACAATAAATACAGAACTTACAAATTCCTTTAGTTCTCCAAAGTCTTCTCTAAGACGTTCTTGTTCAGCTATAAAATTGTCTATGAATCCTGGCTCTACTGCAAAAGAAGAAGTAGATAAAAAGTAAATAAATAAGTAAGAGATATTTTTAAGAATGTTTGTTTTATTTCTCACTTTGTATGGATATAGTTTAATGTACATTTTTTTTACTTTTTTTTTGTAAATTTGCTCATTATTTTATATTTGTTGAACATTTATGAGTTGATTTATTTCATATTAGCTGCTACGCGGCCAGCCTTCGTCTGACTTTTAAATGAACCGTAAAAATGTCTAAAGGAAAGACCAAACATTAAATTTAAAACCTGCACAGAATTTTACTCAGCAAAAAAAATTCTATATATATATAAAAAAATGTATTACATATTAAAAAAATTTGCAATGAAATAAGCAATATCCCCTTAATACAGATATTAATTATCCTAGTAAATAAATTAACCAACTTCCCGCTGCAAAATTTTAAGAATTCAAATGGTATAAAGGAAGTTACAAACTTGTTTTCTAAACAAGTCAGGCAAAACGTTTTAATGATTAAAATTTATATAATTTAAAAAAAATATAAAAAATTACAATGAAATAAGCAATAAATCTCATATTTTCAAGAGAAAACAGTCAACAGTCCAGTATCCAAAGCAATGAATGAAAAACTGTTGCCAAAACCCCATTTCTAAAAGAATGAAACTATCATCAAAAAGCAATAACCAATCAAACTGGTGCTTTGTGGAAGACATAATTCAAAATATACAAACATCTTTGCCATTAGCTAATAAAGAGAGAAAGGGAAAAAAAAAAGAAAGAAAGAAAGAAAGAAAGAAAGAAAGAAATTCTTTCTGTCGTGCCTCGCGAGAGACATGCGCGTCAGAATAAGGAGATTGCGATGTGCATGTTGCGAATCCAGAAATCAAAAGAAAATAAGAAACATGAAATAAGCAATATCCCTTAATACAAATATTAATTATCCTAATAAATAAATTAACCAACTTCCCGTTAAAAAAAAAAAAAAAAAGGCATGAAATTTGTATTTCAGTATCTTAATCACAGTAAAATAAGCAATTTTATCTTATACTTTCAACAGTCAGTATACAAAGCATTGAATGAAAAGCTGTTGCCAAAACCCCATTTCTAAAAGAATGGAACTATTCAAAATGATGCAATTTCATCAAAAAAGATAAAATAAAAAAACATTGATTCGAATTTTGAAAAAAAAAAAAATAAAATAAAATAAAATAAAATCGCTTCGAGGTGCACTGGCTCTTGTGTAGATGCACCTATGTACCAAATTTTGTAGCTCTGGGACTATTAGCTTAGGCGCAGCACGAACGAAAGACACACACAGACAGACTCTTTCTTTTATTATATGTAGAGATAATAAGTCTTTAGTCTGTAAATTTTATATATATTTGTTTTGTGCTTTGGAGTGACTCCATATTGGTTCAAATTTTCTTGGCTAGAAAGGTTGCATACATGGCATATATATAATATGCTAAGCTGTTAGTTTAAACATCGCAAAATACTGAATATTTTGAATAATAGTTGAGAAATGTTTGCGAATCTAGCAAATGGGATTCGGTTAGGTAATAGAATTTAGCAAAACACATGAGAGTTGTCTCTTTGGATGAAGGATGTTTTCGTGGAAGGCTTTCTAAGATAAACTGTCTCATATCGACGGTACACATGGGGAAAACCACGAAAACCAAATATGCAGCCAGGATGTTTGCTTGGGCTGGAACCCAACACAATCTACCAACATTCAACAGTCTTTACTGCTCAACCAGTGGTGGATGAATGACATTAGGAATCACTCTCGCTTCTTATCTCGCGATGTAATATCATGTATCGCAGTCAAGGAAGGCTTCACAGATTACTATTAATACCATTAAAGGTGCATATGCTAGAACCCTTAAAATTGTAATAATTTTTTATACCTGTATGTACGAATATATGTGTTTAACATGCACTTAATTTCATTAAAAATAGATATTTGATTCATGGTGCTTCATTTATTTCTGTTTTTCTTCATACTTTCCGAAAGAGTGAATGTACTGTTTACACGAATGTTGAGTTATCAAGTTATTCAAATGACTGAAGGAAAAGGGAAATTATATTTCAGTTTGTATTGTTTGCTCAACAGCTAGAATCATCTTTGTTTGCCCATACAGCGGAAGTCTCCAAAAAGAACTCAAGCATTTCCTCTCGAGCCTAAACTCAAGCTTGTTAATTAGGAAAAAAAAAGGTCTCTGTTTTTCATTAATACTTCATTCAGATCTTACTTCTCATTATGTTTCCCATATCCTAAGGAAAATTTTATATAAAAGAAAATACTTACATAAACGTCCTAATTCTTCTCTACTAACTTTCGTCTCCTATTAAAAATATAAATATAAAAATAAAATTAATTACAACGATTTACTTGAAATTAAACCCTTAATAATTTAAATTTTCTTAATCTCATTTACCAAAAGAAATCTTCATTCTGATATTGAGTATTTACATGGAAAGCTTTGAAAAAATAATGAATATCCAATTCGTATAAGAATGCTTAAGTGAATTACGTTACCTACCTCTACTACTTCAACTCTGGTAACTAATTCCATAAAATCTTCTTTGGAAATGATCATATCTTGTACTTCTCTTATCTGAAACGCAATATATATAGTATATTAAGATCTGTCTTCACTATTATATAATCAATGCCGGTTTAGCAACACCGACAGTTACGAGGGGCCACAAATTTGAGAGCGGCTTCGTAAAATGTTTCCGCATTAGATAATATTGGGTCATATAAAAAGTCTCCGCGTTTTGCCACTAGTTGGGTTGATGCCTATATATCCGGTAACACTCACCCAATTGTCTCAAACGAACATGTGTTTAAAAGGTGACATTCAGCTTCCATTGTTTGTGGAAATAGTTTTCTAATTCGTTGCTTATGTAAAAAGTGGAATATCTGATTTGAAAATGAGTGGAATATCTGAAGAAATACGTTATGTGATGCTTTATTACTATAAAAGAAGTAAAAAGGCTGCAAAAACATGCTGAAAAATTTGTGAAGTGCATGGTGAGAATGCTGTGAGTGAACAAAGGACCCAGGAGTGGTTTGCTCGATTTCGCTCAGGAAATTTCGATATCAAAGATGCACCTCGCTCTGGATCGGCCAGTCACTGAAAAAGTCGATGAAACTTTGCAACTGGTGGAGCAAGACCGCCCATAAGCTGTCAGGAAATTGCAGAGGCATTAAACATCAACTCGACCGTTTGAACGAAGCAATACAGAAATAACGTCCAGAATTGGGCAAAAGAAAAGGAGTTGTGTTCCATCATGACGATGCGCGGCCACACACATCTTTGATGACTTAGAACAAATTGACGGAACTTGGTTGGAAAATTTTGATGAATTCCACCATATAGCCCAAACCTTGCCCTGTCTGACTACCATTATCTTTGGTCTCTGCAAAACTCTCTTAATGGTAAAAAATTGGCCGTCCGAAGAGGCGCTGTAAATCCCTCACTCAAGTTTTTCGACGATAAGCCACAGAAGTTCCACTACAGCAATGGAATTATGAAGATACCCAAAAAATGGCAAAAGATCATAGATAATAATCGTCAATATGTACTTGATTAAAATTGATTTTCAATAAAGAAAATTTTTGTTAAAGAATGTACCAAAAATGCTCAGTGACTTTGTATATAACGCAATATTTTGGAAATTTACTCCAAATCTGCATACTACCTGTCACAAATTACATTCTGATTTTGTGGGAGAAATGAAAAGCTGATTTTGTGGGAGAAATGAAAAGCGGATTTTGTGAATATGAAGAACAGCAATGTTACTACTACAGCAATGAACTGTAATGTTACTACTACAACTAGGACCACTACATAATAAGCATAAGTAAAAATTAAAAACTAATTTCAGTATATTTTTTATTGAAATAGTACTTCTCTGCTTTAACTTCAGTGAAGTTAAAAAATATTAATAACCAAGGTCATGACTTAATGGCTAATGGCAATTCCCTATTGTGTAGGTGTCCTGTAACAATTGCTGTCCTTTATTTTGGTCTGGAATACGTTAATACCGCATATATCTGCCAACAGAAGACCTTTAATTAAGATCAAGTATATATTTTTGTCAAAATTTTATAGTTTTAGCATGAATCTGTCCTATAAAGATGACCTCCAAACTATCAACGGTCTATGAAATTACTTTAGATCAGCGATCATCATTCGGAAAAAAATTTATTTTCTTGCATCTGGCAGCAATGACTATAGAAGCACGTGCCGAATCGCGAATTTACATGTATCTCTAACAAATTTCTTTGTAGTCTCATTGTGCTGTGTGTTTAAACAATTTGTACTACAAGTGCAATCAGCATAAAATATGCAAAGGATGGACTTAAACACGGAACCAACGAAAAGAAGGAAATATGAAGCAAGATTCAAGCTAAAAGCCATAAAATAAGCTAAAGAATCGAACTACAGCGCTGAAGCAAAGGCTTTCGATATAATACAGAAGACTGTAAAAGACTGGAGAAGAATGAAAATGCTGTTAAAAAAGAGCTAATAAAAAATGTTCTACGAGGAAAGGAATAGCTTGCCTGCTAGATTTAGAAAATAACATTTTAGATTGAATACAGGAACAGAGACAGAATTATTATGTCGCTACAAGAAACATGATCAGGGCTTATGCATTGAAGTGCACACGCACCAATCCAGAATGAGGCAAAGGATTTAAAGCAACATTAGGTTGGTGCAATCGTTTCATGAACAGAAAATTCTAGTAATACGACAGAAAACTAAAATGTGCAGAAATTACCACAAGATCTTGACCATAAAGTCATGAGTTTTCCCAAGTTTGTTATCTGTATGGAGCAAAACAACAAGTTTGTTATTGGTATGAGACAACAACCTTCCAGTATCTAATACTGGAAATATGGATGAAGCACCGATGAATTTCGGCTTGATAAACAATAGAACTGTGGAAACAAAAGGTGTAAAAACTGTTCAATTGAGAATTATCAAAAATTAAAGAACACAGAATTAATAAAAACTTTTATGTGTACACCACATGACTTCCTTGTACGGAATATTAAATTATACGCAATTTTTCTACATTTCATTTAAACATATTGACTTAACAATTAACGAATTTTGAATGAAATCTACTTCGTCGATAGCGCATTAACCACAATAGAATAAATGCACTCCTTAAAGTTCACTATATTTTATTTACTATAGCGATACTTCGGCGCTAGGTTCACTTAAAAGCATTACATCTCATTCATCCATTTTATAATTTAGAGTGCATAAAAATTATATCATCTGAAGAATTATCACAGGTTCCATTCAAATACTATTCTAAATCTAAAACGATATATAAAATAAATTAAACAACTAAAAAAGAAACAGTTTTTCACAGACGACTCAGCGCCGCTTACGTAATGCGCATGCATGAGCTACTAATTAATTCAGTTCTCACTTCGCGGTACATAAAAATTTTAAAATATTTTCATTAAAATTTAAAAGATATAGAAACACAAAAACACCAAGCACAGTTAAAACAATTTAAAAAAATACTTTTGCAATTAAAATTATAGTTTCTACGCAAAAACAAGCTAATAACTTAAATGATAATTCCAGAATGAATTAAGCATAATTGAATAAGCAATAATAAAAGAAGACGTTACTTTGTTCTTGCTAGGCTTAGTTTCTCTAGATTGGCAACAAATCCACTATTCTACTAAGTTTCAAATGTAAACAAATATGGCTACAATAGTAACCAAATAAGAACGATCAGCAATTATTGTTATTATTATTATTTGTAAACTATTATTATTATTTATATTATTTGTTATTAATTTATATATTTGTTATTATTTTATTTATATTATTCGTAATTATTGTTATTATTATTTGTAAACTTTTGAATAATTTGTGCTTTTGATTTTAGTCAATTACAGGGTAATTCTAGTGTAATTTTTCTTTCAACGTTCATTTGCTACGCTGCCTGACTGCTAACAAAATATGGTTACAAGTTTATATATATTCTTCATAAATCTAGAGTTCCTTTTCTTAATTTTTGCGTTTTGCACATTTCTTCTTAACCCATGTATTTTATATGGAATATTTCTTTTCCAAACGGATTTGTTTACTTAGCGCCAACAAAAAGACCGGTGAAATAAGGAATTATTGCATTACTCAATAATTCCCTTTGTGGTGTAACTGGTAGCACGTACAACTAATATTAGAGGATTAGTGGTTTTTTTTTTTCATTGTCAATATTCATATTTCATTGCGTTATTTCCAAAAATTCTACTATTAGAAACCATGGAACTATTCTTTGATGATATACTTTCTTGTTCAACCAGTATTTTTCATGGTAAATCGATAAATTGACGGCAAATATAGAATTTAGAAGGCTTTCCCAAAGACAAATTTTAGAAGTGTTTATGGTGTATCTAAACGGTGTTTTTGTATGCAGAATAATTTTTAAATATATAAACTGGATCCCGGACAGAAAGGTCATTATGTATGGATCATATAAAAGTATTTATCTATCGGGGAATTTCTAGCTTATGAGTTTTTTTTTCGGCGTAGTGTCTTTGGTTCGATGTAGATCACGTCTGTATCAGCAGTCAAAGCGTAAAAAGAAAGTATAAGATGAATTAGTTGAGGAAAACACCTCGACAGGAAAGCAAATTAAATAAATGTTAAAAAGAAACTCAAGACGTCAATATGATTGTGAGTAAACAGTGCAATGAAACGGGAAATTAAGCGAACTAAATTTTGAAAAACCAAATCTGGGAAAAAAAAAATCAATTTTAAAGACCAACGGAATAGCAGAAGATATTGCAATAAAGCCTGTAAATATGACACGAGTTATTGAGGAAAAACATTCGTTAACATGTAAAAACAGAGGAAACAGATAAATGAAAAGAAACTTCAAATTTAATCGCACATAGTCTAGGAAATGTATTACATAAGCGCTTAAAATAATATTTATCACCAAAATAAATTATTAATGGCAATAAATTAAGGAATAGACTATAGAAATCTTCTTTAGAAAAACAATTTTGAAGAGGAATCCATTGGGAGGGCCCCTAAATACAGCATATTACTCAATCTGGCCTTGTGTATGTTGAAAAATATCCCAATGTCATGTTATTTTCTTTCCGGATGTGAAAAAAAGGAATTAATAATAATCAAAATATGTTAAATATATTTAAATGTTTCTGTTTAAAGCTGGTACCTCCGTTTCTTAACGTATAATGATGTATACTAGAATTTAAACTATATAATTTGACGTTTTAGGCAATTCGTTTTATAATTTTCATGGAAAGTAAGAAATCAGTTGTTACTGTAGCTCTGGAACAACTTTTCAATTGTTGATAATTCAACTATTGAATGCAAATTAACTACACCATTAAACCTTAACCAGAACATAACAAAATAAATCAATCCCTTTTAAGGCAAAAAAACACAAAATTTACGTAGCCGAGCAACAGTGAAACCGCTTTAAAAATAGATTTCGTTATTTTTCAAAAAATATTACTATTATTTTTAAAAAATTTGACTCTGCCAAAGCATGAATATTTTCTCCATTTAAACTCTTCTGTAACTGGAAGTATATGACTAAGACCAAAGATTGAAAAACTAACGGTCAACATTGCAATATCTCGCAGTAGCTACCTTTTAAATTACCAAATCGTTCAACAGAACTAATTAAAAATAGAGATAGCTAATCCGATTTCGCCGCGAATTTGCTACAATAAACAACAACAGTTTTCTAAACAAAACTGAACTGATGTGTTTTGATCCCGCTTTTATAAGCTTTTTAAATGAGCACGATCATATTCTGGTATTTTCTCGATTTTTCCCAAAAAGCAAAAACGTACAATTACGATATATATATTTATTAAATGCGCGTGCTCCTCTATTTTTAATTTTTCTTCGTAGCTTTCTTTTCAAATAAGTCTCGTGCTGCATTGCACGGGAATATAAATCAATTTAATAAATTCTATTTAAAAATAGCTAAAGCCGCCTTGATGGATATTTTTAAAGAGTAGTTGATACGGATCACCAAATTTAATTTAATTTTGAAGTTAAAAATATTTGAAATTTTGTGCTACTTGAGATAATACGTATTTATTTTTAAATTTTTCAGCTTAAGCCCCTTTTTCAATTAAGTGCTTTTGATGGTTTCCCTGAAATAATTCAGTGATTGAGATTATTATTATTATTTTTTTTTTCCAATGGCGGGCACTTGCCTATAATGGCATTGGCCATTGCTAAGGCCAGAATTGCTGGCCATTTTATTGTAAAGGCACCTAATATGCGGCCACTGTTACCTTCCTATGAAAGGCCATACAACTTTACAACCATGCCTTCTCCGGGCTTCAAATCTGGGACCTATCTGTATCACAGCCAGGCTCCCCTAACCATTATACCGTCTGGGCAGCTGGGATATGAAAACCAAAGATTGAGTAATAAACAGCATTGGAATGTGTGGATACTGCTGAATTCTAATATACATAAAGTATGTATGAGCGTGTATTATTAAAACTAGTAAAGGAAAAAATTCCATACCCGTTTCTTTAGTTCCTTAACTTGGGTTTCTAATAACTCTCTTCCAGAATTCTTCAGCTCTTCTAAGTCTTCCTTAAACGCAACTCTTTCTTCAAGATCAGAGTGACGCGATTCCAAATCTTTTAAAGCTGCAGGTAAACCATATTAAAACTATTAAAAAACCATAATTTTATCACTGTTTATCTATTTATAACCATATCTTTACAGTATTACTCATGAACTCTTCTAAGAAAGTCTAGAACTATGCTTTTTGCTTTGTTGTTCTTGATTTAAGAAATATTCTTTTAACATGACGATTTAATTTTTTACTTTATTTGTCACGGTTGTATTCAGTTAGAAATCAAAGAAAGTGATGGAGTTCCTTAGTTAAGTAATTAACAAAGTGATACAATGCCACTTAACTCAGATAACTTGCAAGGTGTTCATTATCTTCAGGCAATAAATCAAATCTTATAGGCTAATTTTGGTCTAATATATTCCTATTTCATTGTGACTGTACACAGAGCATTAAGCATATTTCCCATCAAACAGACACTCAACTGTGTTGTGACTTATTTCACTTGTCTCCCCGTAACATCAGCACAAGCCCACAAAATTCATCGCTGCAAGGAGTGCAAGATTGCGCCTGCCGTTGGCAAGAGCCTTGAGCAGTATACAAGGGGACAGTACGACATTTGCTCAGTTCCGCCCCCAATTTTGAAGGACAGCACCCATGGAGGTAAGAAAGGGAGAAGGGGCCATTCCGCGCTAGAAGTGAAGCACTGCTTTGAAGCTTGGGTCACCAAACGGGGTGTTGTTTGTTTACATTCAGAAGCTCGCTTGACAAGATTCTGATAGTATTTCGACACACGACAGTTCCATAGAAATCGAAAAAGGGACACTCTCGCATGAAAGAAACATTCATAGTGTAATGGATAATAGCAATTTGTATAGTTTACTGACATTTACGCAAAATCACATCTTGGTTATTTTTTCGATAACTAACAAAAGAGATTTTGATTATGAATTTGTTTTAATAAAATTCTAAGCTGTTGCACTACAAAAATATAGATTTTAAGAAAATTGCTAAAAGAGATCTGCCAAAATTTATTTTCTAGAAGATTTGAAAAGTTTGAAACTTATGGCTAATGTAAATATAAAATTATGTATGTTAAAATTTTGTAATTAGGCAATAGGTCAGATTAATTTTTTATTAAATAGAGTAACGCGCATGCAAGGGCTATCTGCCTAAGAGAGAGATGCCATTGTGGAGAATTTCGAAGAAAACTGACCTTTGAGTGGGTATTAAAAATATACTTATAATTTTCACCTCAAATTATATTCATATATATTTTTTATGTAAAACTTTCGGGTCTATGCAAATTAGTGTAAATTACTTTACACGAAAATATAGTGATGCACAGAATTAAAGATTGCACATGTCGGAAATGAAAAATAGGAAATATGTATGGGTATTTATGCATGTGCCTTGCAAAAAGCATGTATCTGCCTTTGACAAAATTAAATATTCATTAAATTATTATAAATGTATTTGAAATGAAGAATTTATTCACTTATAAACAACTGTGAAAGTACTGTGAAGAAATCTAATGATTAAATGTATCTAATTTATAATGATTATAAATGTTATCTAAATATATATAACCTTAATATTGAATTGTAAACATAAATTGAAATCCTGTTGACAATACGTTATAAAACTATTTAAGCAAGAATTGTTCGTATTGGAAAGCATCTGTTAAAAGGTATTGTAAAGCAAATGCTATGAGATGCGCACTTAAGAACTTAATAAGAGTTTTGGAATCTGTATTGTTGAAATGAAGGGTTAAAAAAAAAAAAAAAAAAAAATCTGATAATTAATAATAAAGAATTATTCACTTTACATTTTATAATAACTCAGTTACAAGTTTAAATATACTTAAAAAAAAAAAAAATTATTTTATTGCCTTTCAGAAATGTTCAGAGAAAGTCAAATACTATTTAATTCCTAAAAATCTCTAATTTAAATGAACCGAATAGAGCATTAATTATAAATTGACTTACATTTTTCGATTTAAAAGAAGCCAAAAATCATGTCATATTTCAGAAAGTATTTAGGAAGAAGCTCTATAAATAGAAAAGAAATAATGCATAATTTTATATTAATAATACAATAAACTTTGATCTTAATTTTTGTACCTTAACCGAATAAAACCGAATTACCTTAATTTTTTTTTCTAATGTAATTTAAACGAAAACTGTGAAAATATTTCATTCAATTAAAAACCATTCTGAGAAACTGTCCTGTGAAAGTATAGCATTTAATTCCGTTCAGAATGAACTGTTGTTTAAAAATATGTTGTTTTCACATACTTCGACTCTTAGTGTTGTAGAAAAAGAAAATATATACATTTATATGTATATTTTGCGACGTAATTACAAAATATTTACAACCCGAACGCGTCAAATCCCATAAACTCAATGGTAAATGACCCAATGTTTTGGTCACCACGTAGGATCGCCGTGCTTCAGAGCAGGTACTGAAAACTTGTTTAGGGTCGACTCCTCTTACTTCCTACCTCCATGACAGCACCTCGGGAGACCAGTCCGAGGGTCTCCTTCCCCTTTTGCGCCCCATGGAGGTAGGAAGTAAGATGGAGTCGCCCTAAACAAGTTTTTCCCGTACCCTGCTCTGAAGCGCCGGCGATCCCTACGTGGTGACCAAAACATTGGGTCATTTACCATTGAGTTCTATGGGATTTGACGCGTTCGGATGTAAATATTTTCTAATTACGTCGTAAATATACATATAAATGTATATATTTTCTTTTTCTACAACACTTAAGAGTCCTAAGTATGTGAAAACAACATATTTTTAAACAACAGTTCATTCTGACGGAATTAAATGCTATACTTTTCACAGACAGTTTTTCTCAGAATGGTTTAATTTGAATGAAATATTTTTCACAAGTTTTCGTTAATTACATTAGAAAAAAAAATTAAGGTAATTCGATTTTATTCTGTTAAGGTACAAAATTTAAGATCAAAGTTTATTGTATTATTAATATTAAAATTATGCATTATTTCTTTTCTATTTATAGAGCTTTCTTCCTAAAATACTTTCTTAAATATGACATGATTTTTGGCTTCTTTTAAATCGAAAATGTAAGTCAATTTATAATTAATGCTCTATTCGGTTCATTTTAAATTAGAGAATTATTAGGAATTAGCGAAATACTTATTTAAAGTATTTCGCTTATCCTATAATTAAATAGGTATTAAATAGTACTTGACTTTCTCTGAACATTTCTGAAGAGGATAAAATAATTTTTTTTTTTAAGTATTATTTAAAACTTGTAACTGAGTTTTATTATAAAATGTAAGGGGAATAATTCTTTTAATTATACTTATCAGATTTTTTTTTTTTACCCTTCATTTCAACAATACATATTCTAAAACTCTTCTTTATTACGTTTTCTTAAGTGCGCATCTCATAGCATTTGCTTTACAATACCTTTAACCAGATTGCTTTCCAATACGAACAATTCTTGCTTAAATAGTTTTATAACGTATTTGTCAACAGGATTTCAATTTATGTTTACAATTCAATATTAAGGTTATTATATATTTAGATAACATTTATAATCATTATAAATTAGATACATTTAATAATTAGATTTCTTCACAGTACTTTCACAGTTGTTTATAAGTGAATAAATTCTTCATTTCAAATACATTTATAAATAATTTAATGAATATTTATGTATTTTGTCAAAGGCAGATACATGCTTTTTGCAAGCACATGCATAAATACCCATACATATTTCCTATTTTTCATTTCCGGCATGTGCAAATCTTTAATTTCTGTGCATTCACTATATTTTTCGTGTAAAGTAATTTACACTAATTTTGCATACACCCGAAATTTTTACATAAAAAATATATATGAATATAATTTGAATGAAGATTATAAGTATTATTTTAATACCCACTCAAAGGTCAGTTTTTTTCTTCAAAAATTCCTCCACGATGGGCATCTCTCTTCTTTAGGCAGATAGCCCTTGCATGCGTTACTCTATTTAATAAAAACGTAATCTGACCTATGTGCCTAATTACAAATATTTTAACATACATAATTTTATATTTATAAAACGTGTAAGCCCAAAGTGATTATTTTCAGATATGTAAAATTAAAACGATGGTTTTTAAAATGAGCAGCAGTAAAGCCGCTCCTCTAAAAAAAAATTTTAAAAGGTACTGCTACAATAATATATGGATGGGAAAAAAATTTGTTTTATTTAAACATTTTGACGTTTGGAAAATAAAATAAAAGTAGCGAATACTCTATCAAGGAAGGTATCGAAAGACGTATACAATTTTAAATGTACCGTAAGGTATTTTTCATTCTTTAAGCATAACATTTTTCTTAAAATCTATATTTTTGTAGTGCAACAACAGCTTATAATTTTAAAACAAATTCATAATCAAAATCGCTGTTGTTTAGTTATCGAAAAATAACCAAGATGTGATTTTTGCGTTAAATGTCACTAAACTATACAAATTGCTATTATCTATCACACTATGAATGTTTCTTTCATGCGAAAGTGCCCCTTTTTCGATTTCTATGGAACTGTAGTGTGTCGAAATACTATCAGATTCTTGTCAAGCGAGCTTCTGAGTGTAAACAAAGAACATCCCATCTGGTGACCCAAGCTTCAAAGGAGTGTTTCACATTTAGCGCGGGTTGGCCCCTCCTCCTTTTCCTACCTCCATGTTGCGCCCCCACCAACCTCTCAAGAGGACTTTCGGCTCGCCGCATATTTAGATTGTGCCCACGTCGAACAGACACTACACATTTTCAAACATCCATCCCGTCTAAGGGATTCGAAACCGGGCCCTTCTGTGCGGCACTCAGCATTACTAACCATTATCACGGTTGCGCAGCACGAACTCTCAGTTTTAGTAGCCAACAGAAAAATAATAGCTACCGTATTTACTACTTACGTATACTTTATTTGGACTCAGGAATGGAGTGGTAGTTTACGTATATCGGTATTCCACAATACCGAGGTTTAAATAGATTTCTTCATTGTCCTTAATCTCAATGTATTTAGAAGGCATATACGAAAACCAACATATAGCGTTTCACACATGAAATGCTTTATTTACGAAACCTGTATGTGACCGATGACTAGTTCTTAAATTCAAAAGCTAGTGCCATTTAAGACAAATGCCATTTTCTGACGCAACTAAAGCGACAATTCAACGTTAAATGAAACTCTGACGGGGAAACGGTTTCTATTTTCCTTTTCTCCTAGTACTATTCTTTCAGAAATTATTCTTTTATAATAGGGGGACAGGAAAGTAATGTCGCTTTCTTACATTAAATTCAAACGAATAAATTTATAACAAGTCTTTATTTTTAATCAATAATATAATCACCCTCGTTATCAGCAACCTTTTGCCATCTAGTATGCCGATTTCAATCCCAGACCAATAAAAATCAATTGGTTTTTGAGTAAAATATCTCGAGATGGCATTTTGGACATCATCCAAATTTTCAAATTTTTTGTCACTAAGAAAATGTTGTAGGGATCGGAATAAATGGAAATCCGAGGGGCGCGATATCGGGCGAATATGGTGGGTGAGGCAGTACCTCCCACCCCAATTCATTATATTTTTCCAGTGTTCGTCTTGCACAGTGCAGTCTTGCATTGTCGTGTTGCAGAATGACGCCTTTTTCGTTGACAATCGCCAGATATTTTTCGATTAAAGATTGGTTCACTCGATCCAATTGTTCACAATAAAAGTTTACATTAATAGTTTTTTCAGGTTTCAGCAATTCAAAATGAACAATTCCGCGAATACTCCATCAAACACCCAGAACCGCCTTTTCGGGATGTAAACCCTTTGTAACTCCTATTAAAACTGCCTTTTAAGTTTTGGATTATCATGTAGGACTTATTTTTTTGTCTCCACTAATCAAACGATCGAAAACGGTTCTGTATGGTGCCGTTGAAGCAATGCGTTGCATGCGATGGATAGGTTGGCTTTGTTCTTTTCGGAAAGATTACGGGGGACTCAAACAGCTGCTTTGCTTATTTTTCCATTATGCTTTAAATGTTCTTGGATGGTCGACTAAGGTTGGTTAAGAGTGTTTGACATGGATTTGCTTCCACTTCTGCCCTTAGCATGTTGTTGTCGACATGAGCAGAAACGACATTACTTTCCGGTCCCCCTATTATATTCTCGAAACAATTTTCTCTTTACAACTGAATTAGTCTTAGGCTTAGGATAACACCATCTTGTTACCCGTCTCATGCCATACCGAAGAAGTTTCTCTAAGTGTACGATAAATATTTCGCGTTTTATGATTACAAATCTGTATCGCGATAAAAATTCTGATACGGTTTGGTTTGATTCTTTACATTTGTGCTTCTAAATACTGCAATAATTTATTTATCCAATCATTGAAGGACGCAATGTATAAAGCGTCTTGTTAGTATTTGCATTATTCTCCATGACTGTTATGCAACATTTCCATTTTTAATTGAAGAAATTTTACTTCCCATTTCCAATTTTAACTGGCGAATGAGCTGTTCAATTAATGTTTAAAGAATATTATTTAAAATTTTCGATCTGATATCCTTTTCCTGGATGTTCTTAAGTCTGCGACTGTATCGCCATGATCGAAGAGCTTTTCGTAAAATTTCTATGGGTATTGATTTCCAATCTTTTTTCATGTCCATCAATCATGGTGAATTTCTGCTTAGAAAGAGCTCTTTTCAAGGCATCAAAAGCACATTAGTCTATAGGCGAAACGTTACAGAACTTTACAGGAATGTGTTGATAAGATAAATATGAAATACCTATATCAGTTTTTATTTTTTTAAGCAATTCAGTGGTGCTTTTCGAAGTATGACTTGCTTTGTCTTCATGAAGTTTAGGGTCTTTGAAATTCACTGATTATAAAGAAATTGAATTTTTTTCTGAAATTTTATCAAACTTAAAACTTTCTCTTGATAGTTGGTATGTTGAGTTGACTTTTACATTTTTTTTCCACTCGTCTTATTTTTGATTTCTCATTGTATGAGAATCCTGCGACAATCGTAAAGACCTTACTGAAACTTTCTTTTATGACAGAACCTGGTCTGTATATTTTTTCCTCGTCGTTTTCAATATAATAAATAGAACTTTTTTTTGTTGCAGTCATTTAGGTAGGTTTTCCTTTTCCTCTGAAGAAAGTTTTTTTTCCACAATCGTTCTCTATTACTCTTTCTGAAATCGTAGTAGTTCTTGCTTGTTGAGTTCATTTTTATGGTTGTTTAGTAATTTATTCAAGTGTTCATTTCCAAGCCTAGAGACATAACATCATAAAAAAGAAAGTCTCAATTTCAGGTAGTCTCAAAGTCTCTGCCTGAAACAAAATCTGGTCATTATTTCCTCCAGACTGAATTCACAGTCCTACAAGTGACTTCTGCCTGGCTTTGATTATGAGTGCTAAGCAATGGATACTATTAAAATGATGTTTCAGAAGCCCTTGAGTATTAGTCCTGTGGCATAGGTTATATTCAAACACCCATGAAAATTATTTGTTGCCAAATTCAGTTATCCGTAATGGGAGACACCATTCGCCATCCGAGACATTTGATAATTATCAGATAATTTGTTTGTGAACAGAACTGTTTAAGACAAGAGGCGTTCGTGATCTGAAGTTTCACTGCATATATAAAGAAAACATATAAAATTTTTACAATACCTTTTGCAACCAATAAATTTCGCATTTATGTAAAAACATAATTTGAAAGATCCCAAGCGGAAAAGTATGTATTTTGCCTTAAGCTTTATGAAACTGATCGAAATTATACTTTTTGAAGCTTCATACGCAAAAGGAAACTGATAAATTTGAATTTTTATCATCACTTCTTACTTAGACACGCTACTTATTCTCTTCAGTGGTTATGTAGATTTTCAGACGAGCATAGGAGTTATAAGTACACTAGCTGGAACCGTGGAAGTTGTTTGAGGTTGCCTGGTTGAAAAGCGTCAGTCCGAGCCTGAGCCTAGGTAAGGTGGAGTAAGCGAGGCCAACAATGGATCCGTGAGAAATTAGCTGTTGGTATGAATGTTAAATCCTGGACGAAATTAGTTGATTCCGAAGAAGTCTTGTCAAAAACGGTTGAAAATTCAGCACGTTAAAATTAGATGGAATTGTGATTCCCCTTTCCCCAGAGTAAAATTAAGCTGTGAATTTTTATCACGAAACTAATGTTTAGACAAGCTGACTGTTACCTGTATATTTATGTTAATTCTAAAGTACAGGATCATTAAAATTGAATTTGAATTTTATTGCCTTGTATGCATGAACCTTGAAATTTCATCACGATAACGTGTGTACGGAAGTTAGTGGCATTTAACATTTTAGAATTTACGGAGTGAGTTACAAATTTACGAACACAAGCACTTTCAAATCTGATAGAAGGTATGATAAAGAACTAAAATTTTAGTTTCATACAAAAGATTAATAGTAATAATCGTAACTAATTCTGGTTATGTAAAGAAGAATTAGAAATTATACGTAAACCACGTTAATGTTCCATAAAGGATACTCCATAGGATTCGCATTAAAATGCTGGTAAAGATTTACCATATTTTGCTTGTTTCTGTAAAAATGTTAGAGCTTTTCATATTTTATAACTTGCGTAGGCAGAAAAAATTGCGCTATGAAAAATCCTAATTTAATTGTTGCTGTTGATTATTAAATTTTGGAATACAAAAAAAGTAAAATAAGCGGGAGTGATAAAGTATTCTGCATAATAATCGTAAAAACTCACCAGCTTCAATTTCGCTTAAAGTCGTATCAAAAGCAGACTGAATCTCGTTTATCATTTCCTAAACCAGAAATGAATTTATATTAGTAGGAATAGCATGAATATGTAGTATAAATACAGGGTAGATGACTTGATCTTATATTCGGTAAACATTTTAATATCCGGAAATATCTCGATAAGAGGTTTTTAAGCCTTTTTTAGAGGGGGGGGGCTAGACTTAATATATTTTTGATAGGGTAATGCTAAAATTTTGAAAAATTGTATTATCATTACAACTGGAATATTTTATTCAGAAGACTTATTTGCAATTTTTCACAATACTTTCAAAGTTTTAGGAATAAATATTCTGTTCCAAATATTTTTGTAACAAAATACTTATATGATGAATATCAATGTAATTGATAATGGATATATATATTTGCTGTGTAATTGAAATGTTTTTAATTATTTGCGTGCACTAGTTAAAAAAAATAATTTTTGATTTAAAATTTATTAGTTTTTTCCTTATTCCTTTTGATTTTGAAGTTATCTAGTTTTTTAATTTTTACATTAAGATTTTAAGCGATAACCTAGACTTCTTTAGTATTGTTTGCTGTTTTTACATGGTGTAACTATTTTACTCAGAAACTAAAGCATCAAATGTACATTTTAGCAATAGCCTTTTGAACATTCCTCTTCTTTGAAAATATTTTAAAGATTTTGCAGCTCAATGCGCAAAATTCGTGACCACTAAGGTCTCTCTTGTTCGTGTTATCTTTCTACTTTCTTATATATATATATATAAGATAAAAGTATGTAAATCAGCTTTATAATTTAATTTAGTAATAGCCTCTTGATTCCTCAATTTTAGTTTCAGTATTTCCTTTCTAAAGTAGAAATAACTATTCTGTACTGAGCCATTTGTAGATTAATCCATGTCACATGGCTTGTCTAACGCTGATGATGAAGCTAATTCGGAACTTGAACTAAGATTTTTAAGAGTTGAAAACCTTTATAACCTAAACCAAAACATTTTCTTGGTGAGCTTTCATATTGAATAATTGCTCACTTTTGCTTCTACCTCTGTGCCGCTTGGACGCTATTCCATTCTGCTCTCTTTCTATCGCAAAAGTATCAAAAATGTAAATATCCTGGAAATAGGTACGATTATAGAGTGCTAAGTGAATTGTGGCCAGATATGTCAATTGAAATAAAAATGAATATTTAATCTTACTCTGCGGCCAAGTTTCCTAGTCATTACGGATTCAAGATTTTAGCATTCTACGCAATCGGAATTCTTCCTCTTCAATATGGATCTACGTTCTATGCTATCTACGTGCTACGCAATCAGTATTTCTGCATTTCTGCTTCTCGGTGTTCCTACTTCAGTACTTCTAAATTTATTTTTATTACACACACACACACACACATACATATAGTATTCTGTGCAAAAATATGATGCATTCAAGTTTAATTTGATGTGATCTAATTTAAGGGCGATGCCCTTAGTCACTAGCTAAATCAATATTTGACCATGAGGTCACATTAGAGAGCAAATCCGCGCAATGACAAACAAATGGCACACATAAGTTTAAAAGGTTATAAAGTGCATGAAAATTTAATTAATAATTTTAAAAAATAGGGTTTCAGGAAATAAGTAATAAAAAGGTTAAAAAAATCATACATAAATTAGATCTAAAGAGAGAACGCCTTTACACGTTCGATCTGAGCACAAATCAATAAATAAGGTAAAATGAATATAACTGTTGTTAGATTAAACTGATAAAACAAATTTTCCAGTCACAGCTCAGTCCATATTATTATTGATTATTTTCATTATTTCTCGTGAAAAAACTGCTCCTTTTCATAAAATTTTGAGAGTGTATTTTCATTAAAATCAACACATAAATAAATCCCTTGCGCTCTGCCTTAAAACGGCTTGGTTCAACGAAGTGCTTGCCCTCTTCAACAGCATTCCATTCTTTACATAGATTAGAACCATGGAGGTGAAACCTGTTTAAATAAACTGGAAACCGTTATCATCAGTAATAATTGGGTTTAAATAATTATCGTTATATACTTGGTAAGAGTTTCAAATAATTTTTATATTTCTCGGATGGCACCCAGCATTGAATTCATTCTTCAATGTAATTAATTAAACATCAGCCTTCTTGGTTAGTACATCAACTCTCTGACTGTCATAAAATCCAACACGAGCTTTCATGCGATACAATTTTAAGTCAGTTCATTTATATTTTATTAAGCTTTAATAAATAATTTATTTCAATGGTTTGGATGTCAGAGTGATAGCAGTATCAAAAGTATACTGCGAAAAAAAATTTACTTTTTAATTGAATTTTTGCATCTTAATAGACTTCGACTGAATCATCATTAAACCAATAAAAGCAGAAAAGGGAAAATGAGATATTGCATGAGGTTACCTCATATATTAAACTAACTGAAACAAAACATGATTTAATTTTTGCTAAAAGAATATCAGGTTAACAAAGAAGAACATAATAATTTTACAATTTTATAATTAACTAAATTATCTTAATCTAGTTAACATCATTCAGTTACTAATTTTCTCTTTTCTAATTTTTTAGACTATATTTTTCAGGAAAAACTGCCAATACGACTTCATGAAAGAGATTAATTAAATAATGACTTTTCATAGTTAAATACATAAATTTAAAATTCCATTAACGGTTGTAGATAGGATTAATTTTGTATTCATTTTCAATTTTGAATGCTTATGTTTTCTTCTTGCTGTTAGCAAAAAATTATTAATGAATCCACAGATACGAAATATAGAGCTAAAAATATTCTTTATTACCTTTCTCACTCACAAATCATTATGCGAATATTCATTTACAACTTTTAAAGCTTGAAAAACACGTCTGCGATATTATCGTCATGCAGAGATTTGCAGGTGCTTTATTTTTTATCACAATATTTTTTACGACGATGTTTTAAAATTTCTTTGAATTCGAACTGCTTTATTTTCGTCGACAGTGTTTTATATAACGATTTTTTCCTTGTTTTCTTTTCTCCATTGTTTTGTACAATGACATTTTCCTTGCGTTCTTTTCTCCGCGACGTTTTCATTCGCGATTTTTTTGGCGGACACCTAAAGGCCTTAATAAGAATACACATCTCTAGTATCTCACTCATTTTCCAGCGGTTAGAATGTCCAAATTAGTTTTTATGGGTACATGAGGGGATACGTTAGCACTTTTATTGCAAAATAATGTTTGGGAAATAATCTCAAAAGGTGTTCTATGACTGTAGATAATTTTACAGCTCATCCATCCAGTATCGCGGAGTTTGGAACTAAAATTAATGTTGGGCTCTCATTCTCAGTTTACGATGTCGTTGTTAAAATCAAGATTTAATAGCCAAAATTAAAGCTTGCTATGTATAAAACTTACTGAAATTTAGTACAAGTATGGTTGATAAAGAGCGCAATTACAAATTTTTGCGATGAAAATTTTATAATTTAAAACTGTCAATCTCCAATCTTGGAAACGCCCTCAGTAGATTGATAGCATCAGCAACGAAAAATTGTGTTTGGAGAGAGATGTTTCCTGGAAAATGTGAACAATTTTTTGAAGCTTAGAAAGAGCAACGATAAGTACCGCAATAGCGAAATTGGCTTAAGATGCTGGATTTATGGAAACTGATGAAGTGCTGCGTTATGATGACAAAGAACTCACAGAACTAGAGTTCTAAAAAGAGATGTTGCAGATCGAAACCAAGCTCAATAGCAAACGTTTCGAAAGTGACTTGAACTTACTGAACGTAATATTTCTGAATGAGACTTCCTCTTCCACCACTGATGGTAATACAAATGATTTTAAAATTAAAATTTGTTTATGATTTAATAATTCAGACTTTTAAAGGTTGCGTAGATTTAAGGCAAGATAAATTCTTGAGGCGAAGCAGACAGTTAACAGATGTATTTTAAGCTTTTTATCACAGCTACAACACCTACAGCTACACACTGCTTACCCTGATGGATTTATTTGATTTTAGGATTTTAAATACGAAACCTTCTTCATTTCTCACAAATATCAAATCTCCTTCTGCCTCTTACTTTTTTAATCTGAGGTAATGTAACTTTACAAAACACTATGTATTAACTTCCAATATACCTGCTGTCTTCTCAAGACTGCATAAGTAAAGATTAAACTGTATGCAGGCTGTCTGAAAAGTTTCCGATCTGACAAAGAAAAAAGATACTTTTCTCCAAAATTACCTTTATTTTTCGACATAATCTCCTTTCAAGTCTATCATTTCTTCCAACGATGCTGCCATACTTTTAAACCTACCCAGATATTATGTAATTCATGGATTTTCGTAATCGCAACCGCTGAGGGGTGAGACGGAGCCTTCAGGGCAGGCGGCGAGGATGTCCCTTTGCTTACTGCCCCACGGGGTTTCCCCCTTCTACTTGCTGAAGGAAACCACTGGCGGTACATTTCTTAAGAGCCACCGCTAGCTCAATAAATGAAGGTGATTTAAATAATAAAATGTTAATTCAGATGTCAAATATCTCTTTGCACACATTTCTTGTGTAGATCTTTCCATCATTTTTAAGCTCGCAGAGGACCATCCATTATTTTTAATTTTACATCCGTTCTCACGAACTCTTGAACAGGTAACATAAAATTGACCGTGTCTAAGGCTCAGGTAAAAAAAATGCCAACACGCTTAAGGGGACTCATGTCTTGGTGTAACAATTTTTTCTTTTGCAAATGTAACCATTTTTCCGCAATTTCTACTTTCAGCTTGTCAAGTAATGTTGCATAGTATGCTCCGATAATTGTGTTTCCCTTTTCAAGATAATCTATTAAGACAATCCCATAGCTGTCCCAGAAAACAGTTGCCATATCTTTCCCAGCAGATGGAACAGTTTTTGTCTTTTTGAAGATTTCATCTACAGTGGTTAATAGTCGAAAAAACTCCGATTTATTGCTCCAACAGAACAGTGCAAATGTTCATTCGGACCCGTTTTTGATCGAATGGGAGCAAACGCGGCACCCAGCGTGCAGCTAGCTTGCGCCTATGTAAATCTTGGTTCAATAGGTGTCAAATACGCATCTGGGATATGCTGATAGCCTAGGCTATCTCTCTAGCCTTGATTCGATGGTCATCCGGCAGCGTTTGGTGAATTTCAGCGATGTTTTCATCAATGGTTGCAGGTTTTGGCCATCCTGAATGTTCATCGTCACCCAAGCTGGTACGGCCACGTTTAAATTTAGCTGCTCAAAATTTCACAGTAATAAATGATGGTGCTGTGTACTGTGTCCAAATCCTCTTTAATCCTCTCTAATTTGAAAGATAATACGCCTGTATTACCTTTCAAAAACAAGTATCTAATGATAGCACGATTCTTGAATTTTCCATTTTTGTAAAAACGGTCGCATCAACTCAAAAAGGTATTTGTCAAACAAAAAAGTCGCGTTCAAAATAGATGAAATTTTGATTGCTAGTTATGAAGTGATGCCCAAACAAGTTCCTCCCAATTCGATTGATTTGCGTTGCTATCTACGTATAGAAGTCGAAAGCTTTTCAGACAACCCTTGTATGTATATTATTTGCCTTTTGCAGTATATGTATTTAAGATTTTTTTCAGTATTTATTATACATTAGAATTATTTTAAATATTTTGTGCTATTTGGCATCATTCAACACATTGTGTTTTGGGTGCAAAGCAGCGAAACAATTTCTTTGTAAATTAATCTCGATTTCTTCTTCGATTTACGCCGTTTGGGCTTATGTAAATTAATAAGAATACTCTACATTTTTTTAAATGGATGCTTCTTTTTTATATTTGGTGAGCTGAATTCTACTAAAGAGTCAATTCATGTTTTACAGTATGGAAATTAAATTAAAGTATTTTGTGAGTTCAGCTTTCTTCTGAATGAATAATTGCAGAATATGTTTACTTTTATCTTATGAGCAAAAAATACAAATGAAAGATTTACCTCTAGTCTTATCACTTCACTTCGTGTCATTTCGTTCTGAAACCAAATAAGAAAAAATATTTAGCATGCATTGAATATACGAGAACTCGTAAAAAGAAACATGAACTTGATCAATAATGATCAATACAAGGTTTTGTCCTTCTCACAAAATAATTGAAATGATTTAAACCAAAGATTTAGAATAGGAACTAATCCATAACAAAGAATGTTGCTATTGAATTTGATGATAAAGAATAAATTGCATCGTTTCATCATAATTACTTTTAGCTTTGGACTACTGTAAACTACAATTATTTTCTTTATAGATTCGAATATGTTTGATAGGCTTCAAACGAACAGTCACTGTATCTTTTCAAAATGAAGCCAACCCGATAAACTTTATGGATGCATTATCAGTACGAAATACAAAATCTGAGAAAAGATTAGCATTTAATTAATATTATAGTAGACCAAGGTAAATTTAACAAGAAATTCTCTATTAAATCAAAATTAATAACCTTATTTTGAATCTTATTATTGATAATATATCTTTACAGTGTTGAATTTTAAGATATTTTTTAAAGAACTCTTTTAAAAGAAACAATTTTTTAAAGAAAAACCTAAAAGCAGATGGTACATCTAAATATTTTAAATTTCAAAACGATAAATAGGCTTAAATAACGCAAAATTATGTTCTTAATAATCCGAGATGGATCCGTGATATTAAAATGGGAAATATGAAAACCAAATTGGTAGAATCGGAGGAAATGCGAAATAATAATGAATGTTCCAAGTTTCAGTGACATATTTTCTAAAAGTAGAAAAATTAAAAATAAAAAAGTTATTATTCTTAAATTTAATGCAATTTTTGGATATTTATGGAATGTTAAAAAGTACACTGACAACTAGCATTTATTAAAATTAATATATTTTATTACTTACTCCTATTTTTTAAATTTATTGCTAAAAAAAGGTTCCATGCTATGATAAATTTAGTCCACCAGCATAAAGACAACGAAGGGAGTAGCTGCTTTCAGCACAAGAATAATGTTACATATAAAACCGAATTAAAACAGTATGAGCATTTCTGCTGGGCTATCGTACTTGGGAATATAATTAATAATAATTTCATAATATTTATGCTAATTCAGTAATAGCTATAGCTTGATGTTTTGTGAATGAGTTCGATGTTATATGAAAATATTTCCAACTAACTTCACCAGAGCGTAAATGCTGAGAGGACGTTAAAGCCAATAAAATAAAATTTGTAATTATCACTTCCAGTCGTTTTGAGAGGTTGTTAGGCTCGAGAAGAAAAATATCGACAAAACAAGTAGCAAAGCTTGGCACAGGTGCGTAAGTTTGTTGGAGTCATTAACAGAATAACATCTCTACAGGGACGAAGATGTCTTGCAAACGGGCCGTCTCCAATTCTCTCAATCTGTCAACTCAAAAGCGATTAAAATATTTGGGGATGTTTCTGGATTGATAGCCGACTTGTGGTTGATGAAAAGAACATGAATCATTCAGTATATTACTAATAACATTTAATTTACTTTGATCTATACATAGAGGCTAATCTAATTCAGTTGGACAATAATGGCGCAGTATAATATTAGAAAAGTGTCTGCGAATTCTACAGTGAATCTAAATGCGGCATTTGGTTTACTGCATGTAATAGTTCAGTGACGTTCCTATCAGAAATCAACATTCAGTTTAGTTTTAAAGGGAATTTGTTGGTATATGAAAGACAAAATAATCTAATCTAGAATCTAACATCTCTTTTCGCACTAATGCCATTTATTGTTTTCTAAATTTCGCGCTGCCATTCAGAGGTAGAAAAAAGTGTCTACTCAAATCGAAACAGCTCCCATCGAAATCAAATAGTGTATCGCCAAGGGCCACAACGCAGGAAGCACTAACCCCGTCTAACAATTTACGATTGAGGATCATTTCCTGTAACAATAATTATTATCATATACAGTCCTTAATCACACATGTCAAAGAAAGTTCTTAATTCGCTTGCATAAGGAGTGAAAAAGTTATAATCATAAAATCATAACATAAATTAAGAAATGGTACGTACGATCTCGTGATGCCCGCCAATTAATACAAATGTGATTAATTATATAATTTTTTTAATATTATGGCGAGCATTAGCCGTTATAGGGGTTGGCCACTAATAAGGCCGAGAGCGGTAGTCACTTTATTATGGAGGCACCTAATAATTGGGCCATCGGTGCCTCCTATGCAGGAACAGACAGTTTAATGCTATGCTTTCTCTGGAATTCAAACCCGGCCTCTTGGAAAGGCAGTCAGAGTCACTAACCACTCTACCATTTGGGCTGGATGAGCTAAAATTTATAATGCACTAAAAACATTACATGTGGCTGTTAGCGCTTAAGAATGGCGAAGGACTTCTAACATTAATAGGATTATTAATATCATATATACAAATATTAATTTAATTACTATCAATAATATTATATTTTGCTTCTCATGAAAATTTCTGGCAGGGTGGTAAAGGAAAGTGTAAAATTGCACCACATTCAATTCTGCATAGATTTTATTATTTCGAATAAACAACTGTGCATAAGAAATGTGACGTATAACACAGTTCTGCGCCATTTGCACTACTTTGCGGTTGGTCCTACATGAACAGGCACAGACAGGACAAACTAAGCGTGAAATGCAGAATAGATTTATAAATGAGTAACTTGTTGGCAATAGGTAGCAATTTTCATTTTAGAAACAAGAAACTTAAGAAACTACATGCTTTTTATCGGGGTGAGAGAAAAAAAAATCGGAGACTGTTAATAGAATTGCATATGTGGCAATCATTTATAAAACCCAAATAAAAAAGGAGGAAATGTAGTCTTCTTTTCCTATTTATGTGACATAACTCACATAATTCGCGGAAATGACCATAGCATTTTTGTGTTTAGAAAGCCCATATTATAAAATATTTCAAATGGTTGAAAGAAGAAAGACCAAATTTACCGATTCTTCGAGTTGGACTTCAAGACTTTTCAATTTTTCTTCCAAAGCTTTAACTTTTTTGAGGAAGTTATCCAAACCTTCAAACATCGCCTTCGTCTTGTTTACAACGGAAACAGTTTCATCTTCAACTTCTTGCACCTTATCCAACATTACATCTACGATTGATGACAACTATATGGAAGAAATAAGTAACGAATAAATACACTAAAATCACAATTTAACTTCATGAGGAATAAATAATTGAGGAAAAGTTACGGTTATCTTGGGATATTTAAAATTTAATGGATAATGCTATTAAATACTATTTCAAATTACTTACATTGTGAAAAATGTTACATTGATTCAAATATGATTAATATAGTTAGTCTTAAATATAACACAACAGGCACAACTTGTACTACAGACGAAACTTCCCATACTTGTGGATATTTAAATTTAAACTTCCCGTACTTGTGGATATTTAAATTTACATAAAGGACAATTAAATTCAAAGTAAATAATGAATCAAGTAAATTAAAGTAATCAGTAATCAAAGTAAATAATAGTTAGTAATATATAGAATAAAAGTTAGTAATATAATGAATCCAAGTAAATAATTTGAATATAATTAGACTCTAGCACTAAGAGGTGCTATTTTCTCAAAAAAAAGCATCTAGCTTCTGGAGTATTTCTTATTCAGGAAGCCTATTTAGGGAACGAAACTTATATTGGTAAAAGTCCTTATTAGGACTGAATACCAATTAAAAGGACAAGGATATGAATAAGGATCTTCAAAGCAGGTTTTATCGCAACGGGAACCACATAGTTTCAGGTGGAACCATAATTGCTCAGAAGTAATTACTGTCTCTCCTCAGGGAATTGTTTGGAATTGGAGACCACATAGGATCAGCGGTCCTGTGATTACTTACAGTCGGCTAATTCTAGCGGCAAATAATTGATAAGGTTAGGATTCTGACCTAGAATCGTTTTGTCATTATCCATTTCCTATCAGCCAACTTAGGAAATATGTAAATATACCTCCCTTTCGATGAAATCTGGGTTGCAATCCGATTCACAGAAAGACCCCTAGAAGTCGATCGAAGTCGCGATCTTCCCGTATATGTACAGGGTGCCCAATAAAGTTCGGTACCACCTGTTTAACTGCCGAACGGTTACAGCTATAATCATAAAAGTGGTGTCTAGGTATATAAAGTGGCTATGATCTGGTAGATGAGATAGCTGACAGCGCCACGTGTGGAAAACGGCAGAGTAAGCATCCCTATCTCGAAAACGGTGCGAGATAGGGGAAAAAAGGTGAATTACAAAAATCTAGAGTATCGTCGATTTAGTACGAAAAGACATCTCGTGACATGAATATTAAGGATAGAACGTTTTAAACGCGCATTTGTTTGTTCGTAGTTTCCTACACTGTGGCATGACGAAACGATCTTAAAAAAAAAAAAAAAAAAAAAAAAAAAAAAAAAAACGATTAGTTATCACAAACTGGCTTTATTTCCGATGTTCAAACTTCTCTCCATCATCTCTCTGTCTCCCGTAAAAGTTTCACAAGGATAGGATGGTTTTGTATGAAGGATGCGGGCCTGCAGGAAAACAATTCCTATACAACCTCGCTGCCGATCGTACCTTGCGCCCATATTCACCGTCACGAACCATCTCACAAAAATTATCTTTTGAAAATCGCTCCATGGCCATGAGCTTCAACATACAACCCTGAGGAGATATCTCTTTTATAGTTGTCTCAGTTAAATAGGGCTGACGTTTCATACACTATTTGCATAATTCAAAAATTCGCACACCAAGCTCAAGTTGCGTTGAGTTTATGCATTTTGCGACACAATTGTGCACGATCTGCATATTGTCTAATCTGTTTGTAGACAATCAGTACAAGGATACACCCGAGGGTTTGAACCAGAGGCCTCTCGATTATGAATTCCAAGCGATACCACTGTGCCGCGATACGGGCTCGTTTATCTTCCGAAAGATAATAGATAATCTTTTCTCCTTTCATTCAAGTTTCGGAAACACACACGTTTCGAAAATCGCGAAGAAACATATGTGCATTTTCAGCGTTCTGTTACTAAATTGACGATGCTCTACAACTTTGCAATTCACTTTTTCTTTCTATCTCGCACCGTTTTCGAGATAGGGACGCTAAATCTTTCGTTTTCCACCAGGTGGCGCTGTACGCTATCTCACCATTTGGTAGCGCACAGTCGCTTTACTATACCTAGACAACACTTTTAAAACTATAGCTGCAGCCGTTCGGAAGTTAAACGAGTGGTACCGGACTTTAGTGGGCACTCTGTATATATGAACCTCAAACCAAAATGCCTATAAAAATATGAACCTAATTTTATTATTATCATCAATACATCAGATTACTGATATATGTTTATACACATGCTTAAGCATGTGTATAAACATATATCATAAGTATTTAAGAGCAATATATCAAACATACTTCTCGCAGCCCTTGTTCAGCGGCATCCATTCTTCTATTGATATTTATCGCCCTCCACATTTCAGCTATTACTTGTGACGGCTCACCTTCTACCAACTTCTCATCTGCTAAAGCTTGTAGTGCTTCAGCTGTTAGTTGCTCACCACTTGTTTCATCCAAGATATCTTGGGCTAGGCTGCCAAGATCTTCTACCATTCCTTCAATTTTTTCTTTGGCCTTTGCCGCATCATCTTCCAAGGTCAAATCTGACTCAACGACGTCTGGTACCCCTTCACTTTCATCAACTTTTTCAGGAATTTGATCTTCATCTGTTACTGCCTTTTTAGTTGCATCTTCAACTGAAATATCTTCTTCGGTTTCATCTGGTTCCGCTTTTTCAAGTACATCTTCAACTGATATATCCTTTTCGGCTTCATCCTGTGTCATTTCTTCAGATACATCTTCAAATGATATGTCTTCTTTAGATTTATCTTCTGTTTCAGAAGAGGAACCTAAATTTCGAAAATTAATAAGAAGTTAGATGGATTTTTAAAACGTTTAATTGCGGAATTTCAAGAGATTATTTGATAAAGTCCGATTCCATTCTTACCAACTTAAGTCAATATGCGCAAACAGCTGAATAAATGCTTTAAGCATTCATGAGTGATTCAAAAGAATAATATACATATGCAAAAATTAAAATGGTTAAAGATTATAGCTCAGTGAATAGTTATAATTGCGCAAATAGTACATTTAAATTGCAGAAATTTCAGTATTTTTGCTTATTTTTTAACCCAAAGGAACGTTAGCCCAGAACGGCCAATTTTGTTCATTTTCGTAGAACCACTAAATGCGTTGAATCACTTTTGAAATTGTTGCCACCAAATATTATCGCCCTGTATTATATTTAAAGACAACTAATGAAGAATATTCATAAATGTATTTGTGTTTCTCGTAGTGTAAAAAAACATTGGTACCTAGAGCCATCAAATTTTGAATGACGTAGTCCTCTACCAAATATGGGCATCTGGAAGCCCGAATTTGAAATTCGTTTAATTGCCTGTTTCATATTTTTAAAAATTTTAATGAATATTTGATTAACAGACTAAACGATTTCGAAGGGAGCAACGGCAACACTGTAAGGAACAAAAACGTTTTTATCTCCAGCACACGAGACTGTCTACAGGAAATTCTAAAGACATGCCATTTCTAAACAATTTTAGCTCAAATGGACATTAGCCCAAATGCTCTCAGAACATGTATGTAAGTGTAAATGAAAAAAAAAAAAAAAAAAACTTTGGGCGTAATATAAAATCTGAAAGCTTTCAGAATTATTTTTCTATCTGGTGCGTTTTTATGACTTAGTGTATACTGTGCCCACAGTCCTTATTCGGCTTTTCTTTTTTTCTTTTTGCGAGATATTTTGAGCAGAATACGCAGTTTTCTTTTATCCGTTAGAAGAAAGGTGCGTAAATGGCATTAGTTTCGTTAAAAAAAATTTCCAGTAGCTTGCAAGTGCTTAAGGTAAGACTGTATATACAAAATGCATTTTCAGTATGACATTAGGGTACTTATAACTATAATTTTTAGCTTGAAATTTGACAAACTTGTCAAATAATAGTGTGGCTATTTAAGACAGATTAGAGTGATCTCTCTAAGTGATGTTAAAATTAGAGATTAGTCGATTGTTCACATTTTCAAGCATGAATTAGGTCTTCGTTACGGAAAACTAAGTATATGCAGATTTTTTGTCTTTTATATTTATTTCGGTACTTTTCCATTATGCACCTCCCGTTCATTTTGGCGCCTGTGAAAAAGAAAGCCAAAAACACGCTGGGAGCCAACAATAGAGTCATCTGGGAACCAAACCATCTGTGTGTATGTGTGGGGTTTAACGCTTTAAAGGACAAAACGCACGAGACGGCCTTTCATTCAAACGACCACAGCAGTCCAAAAACACCGACATTGCGATGTTGCTTACTTTCCTTCTCCTAAGGTATGCAGCAGCATGTACAGTTTTCCCAAATGCACTGCATCATTTTATTACAGATACCTTGTCCTAAAAGATTAATCGTTTCACGACAGAAGGTACCAGGGTACCTGGGCCGAAAGCCCTACCCCTTATCAGAGAAATTGGGTATTTTTTAATTTTGTAAACATAAGATAAAAACATTAATTTAAGCAATGATTTTTTATATCGAAGTTGGGAAAAGTGCAAGAATTTAGACCGAACATTAACTATGAGTGAAATCAGTCGAAAAGGTGAAAATGCCGAAGCATCTGGGAAGTTGTTTGAGCTGGTGACATAAATTGCTGTAAGAGAGTTACTTAGAAAAACAAGTAGGGAATTAAATTAAGAATTTAAGTGATTATTAGAAAAAAGGACACTGGCAATATAACTACGCGTTTGAGATGGAATAAAATTTTTCAAATTTACATGAGGGAAATAACATGAGCTGTGGCAACTTAAATAACGGTAATTGAAAGTCGACGAAAGCCAAGAGCCAGCCGACAAATTTGTAATTGACATGATAAATACATAATAATAAACACAATATATGGGAATTTTTATTTATTTATATATTTTTTAAATTAATACTTTGCTAATATAAGTATTATTATTCGTTTGTATTGTTTTGCATAAATATTTCTTCAAATAAGTTAAATAGTAAGAAAAGCTGTTTATTGAGTTTTCCGTAGATTGAATTTCCGGCATTTTGGCTGTAATTTTAATAATTATTTTGGTTAGTGATAGTCACTTGAACAGGTTGCTTATCTCTTTAAAAAGTTGGAAAACTTCGCCTAAGGAACTTAAGCTAAAGTTGTTACTATCATTTTTGTTTACATCAGTATTACTTGGTTTTGATGAATATCTGTGGGCCTCGTTGCCATTTTGGATGACATTTGCATATGATAAGCCATTAGTGGTCTGAGAAGTGTTAGTTTCTGTAGGCGTTTTAGTGGCATTTTTGCCAGTGATTGAGTCAAAATTAGAATTGTTTTTTCTTAGTTTATTGAAATTAGAACAACCCCTGAAATTGGCGGTATATCCTACTTTCAGGCAATTGCAGCACTTAAGAACATCTAATCTTTTAGCTAAGCAATCAGAAGTCTTATGTGCACTAGCGCACTTCACACAACGAGGTTTAAGTTTGCAAGTATCAGAACTGTGATGGAAGTGCTTGCAGTTATAACACTGCACAACACTCCATTCACTTTATATTCAACAAATTCTACATAGAAAGTAAAAAATATTCAATTCCATAAATTGGTTTTACACCTGGAACATTTTCTAGCTGAATTTGGAATAGTGGCATGGGTGCCTTAGTTTTTAGTCTGTGTATTTGGGCTACTTTCCTTACTTTAATCCTAGATTAAAGAGTTCATCCTGAATGTCATCAATGGGACAATCTATCGGAAGACCTCTAACGACTACCTTCACTGGCCGATCATAATTTTTGGTAATAAGATAGTGATCCACCTTTTGTTGGTCTAAATAATTAGTTATACCTCTGTGATCATCCTCAGTTTTTGGGAAGATTTTCAGAAATTCTTCCCAAACCTAGTTCAGTTTCTTGTCTCACATTTTATAAAAATTCTGAGTACTTGATTACAAGCTTAGCCATTATGGGCTTAATTTTTGGAGCGACAATATTAATATTTTCTGTTTCCATCACATTTTTGCTGTTATCTGTAACATCTTTAGGTAAGTTATCGAATTTGTTAGGAATAAGTAATTTAACATAACTTTTGATTAATTTAGATGATCAGGCCATTTTTTTGGGCGAAGTGAAGCCATCAGCATCTAAAGTTTGTTTTATGGAACGTTTGCTTGACATTTTTGACGGCCGTTTAGGCTTAGGGACTTTCGAAGTCACAATATTCACTTCATTATCAGAAATATTTGGGTTGGAAGCATAATTTTCATGCATAATCGAAACACAATCATCATCAATAACCTTAGTATCATTAGAATTAACATTAGCAATGGGGGTTTCCATCAATACAAGATACATTATTATCTATAGCATGCAATTTACCATAATCAACATTAACATATTCAGGATGTAATTCACCGAATACTTTGCACTTACCTTCGAATAATGTCAGTAATCCTTCGCAGATCGTCCTTTTCCTTTTGTAGTGATCCATACTAGGAGGCATTGAGTCTGGTTTGAAAACAACGAATCACCCAAGGCTTCGTTTTCGATCTGTATTCTGGACACATAATTAGGAAGTTTCAGGTAATCCTTAAGGTTAATCGGATCTTTTAATAGCAATTCGTTCCAGTTCTTATCTAACTTTTCGTCCGTGGATTTCACAAGTTCGTCCGGCAGTCCCGCCACGAGGTGACGAGCAACCGCTTTAGCGTGTTCCGAAGTTAATGGGTGAAACTCCTTTCCCGCCATTCGAAATAAATCCGAAATAATCCAAGAAAAGCACTTAGAAGCTCATCACAATTCAAGAAAGCACCATCAAAAACCAAATCATAAAAATTACTAGGTTGGAAAGTAGAAAGGAAGCCATTTGAAATCTTCACACCTCTTTTTGTGCGTAGGAGGTGTGTAGGAGGTGTGAGGGGAGGAAGCGGCAGGAATGGGTAATGGACGGAGACGGGCTTTTCAATATTTTAAGCGCATAGGTTAGGGAATTCTTCGGTTTTCTAAGCGTTAGTTTAACAAATTTTTAATCTATATTTACAGTTAAAAAAACCTGTACGGCAGGTTCTTAACGGAAAAGTACCTATATTTCAATAAGGCATTAAATCTTTTCCCCGAAAATACACAGAAAATATACCACATTTTATTGCTCATCTCTCCTTTAAAATACAATTTAGTTGTTTCTAAGATGGAAACACGCAGTTAATGCTTTTCATCATGATCTTATTTTCCCTATATACGCACATAAATGCAGTACTTACAATTCAATAGAACTAACTCACTTTCAGATACTTTTTCGGCTGATTGGCTTCTGGGTTTTGGCAAATCAACAGCTTTTATCCTATCCTTTAATTCAGCAACGGTTTTTCCGGGCCTTTCAGTTTGCCCTTTTTGGCGATCTTCTTCCATTCTTGCTTTGGTGATGGCCGCTTGTGCAAGGACTTCATCCTGAATGTGGCAGAGTGGCTTTAATTTCTCTAGGCCTGTCTGCAGAATGATGTTTGTTAGAACTGTGTGCAAGATGTTGAAATTCACTGCACCAATCTCTGGAACTCTTAGTGCCAAATCCACTAGTTCTAGGATTGTGAACTTGCCGCTCAACATGATAACCTAAGAGTAATATACTCAGATTTCAGAGAAAATAGGGAAAAAATTTATAATTCACGTAATTTATTAAGAAGTAGAGGTTTGCAGTTAAAACTTTAACTTAATCGTTTAAGTTAATAACTTAAATTAAATAATTTAAGAATTATTACTTTTTCCCTCGAAATAAGTACGTACGTAATGATCACTTTGCTCTTGCATTGGAAAATATTCATATCATTATTAGTGTATATATACATATATGGTAAGCCGAATGAGCAGGACGAATGAACAATTCTGATTAGAGTATACGGGATTTGTATTATGTTGATGCATGTATAAAACTCCTCATGATAAAAGTTTCAATGGGGTGCCCCTTGATATTTTTGACAATTTTTATGACGTCAAGAAGCAATATTTCCAAGATGGCTGTTATCCGAAACAACGCGGGAATACGGGAAGCGTATGTTACAGAAACAACAAAAGTACTCACCTGGTGTGTTCTTGGCTACGTCTAATTATCAACGTCGGATGACTGCTGCACATACATAACACAAATTATGCAATTGCGGTAATGATCCTCCTTCGCTGATCCCGTTAATATCGCAAAATAGGAATATAAAATGCTATACGATGATTGCCGAAGATCCTGCTTGCGAAACTCGAGCTTAGCCCTCAATGGTGCTCTTATGAGCATCAGTTTCCAGCAATTTTCTCGCGATAAAATCACTTATAGCCATCCAATTGATATATGCCAACTTTTCCAACAGCAACATCATCTTAGGATGGTTTAATGCCAAATTGCAAAACATTGCTAAACGTGGTTATCAGTTAAAAGGAAAATCCACGAAGCGTTATTTGGTTGCTTTTTAAGTATTAAACAATGAGTGCCATCAAACTATTCAGTGACAGTGATATAGACTGGCACCATATCAAGACTGCTTAGCTAATGGAAAAGTACCGAGATGTGAGTTATGGCACTGTTCATTGAGAGCCTAATACAAGACCCCTTCTCCAAAACAAAGTACTTTTTCTTGATAATTATTTTCAGAATGCTCATCTATGGGCTCTATCGCGATCTAATATCTGGTTGTTTTGCAGAAAAATTCGTAGCGCAGTAAGTACGCAACAGTAGCGCAGTAGCGCTTTACAACTGGATAAATGCTGAGCAAAATCTTCTATGAGTGTGATAGAAAATCCCACTTCAAGAATCTCCAAAAAATACATCAGCAAGCTCTAGTCATGATAGCTTCTTGACTAAATTAAGTTGTAAATGCTTCATTTACCATCATCAGTGACCAACCGTTATACAAAACGCTATTCATTTATTACGTCTAAGAGTTACCTTATCAATGTAAACTCCATCAAGCAAATTTCTCTTGATTAAATTATGAGAGACAGAAACATCGTAACGCTTGATGCTGCTAAACTGCAGGATATGTCGAAGAATTAGTAACAGGTTAATTAATTCAGCTAAATAGTTGCTTAATGAAACTGCCTCTACACTAAACAAACAGCTGGTGCTACTTTGCATCATGATCTTATTTACTCTATATAGATATATAAATGTAGTACTTACAGTATAATAAGACTAACTCATTTAACTTTTTTTTTTCAGCTGTTTGGCGTCTCGGTTTTGACAAATCAACAGCTTTTATCCTATAGTTCAGCGTGATCTCCTTGTGACTCTTCAGTTTGCCTGTCCAAGTTTCCTCTCAAAAAAATTTCAAACAGTTTGCAAATTATTATGCTTCTGCAATATTATTCCTGTACGCATAATTCATCTCAGATGTAGCATAAACGAGAAAGATTTAATAAGCATCATCTAGCGGTTTTACAGTTGTTCCATTGTCTTTTACTCCACAGCGTTTGGTGCAGTTTGACGTTCGAATTTCTCAAAAACCATCTCTGTATCAACTTCAGCTTCGTATAGCGACAGTGCCCCGCAGTGACCATTCATCAACAAGCTAAATAAATTTGGCCGTAGCTTTACGAACCATCCCTGTATGAATCGGCCTTGCTTATGAATATCAGTTGTATTGCAGAAGTTGTTAAATCGGACGCCTGTTCATAAATTCTACTTTATAAGATTATGCTACTTTGAGTATAAATTTTTGAAAAACAGAAACTTTTCTCTCAAATAGTGTATTGCGATTAGTGCATCGTCGAGAGAGCGTTTTGAGCTCCGGGAAAGACTGAACCGAAGAGTCGGGAGCTGTGCTCTGTGTGTCGGCGAGTGCATCGCGAGTTGTAACGTGGAGTGTCTCGAGAGTAGGTGGAGTTCCGAGAACGACTAAGCAGAGTCGGGAGCTGTACTCTAATGCTTTGACGTGAAGCTGTCTCCACCGTGATAGCCTGATAACCTGGAGGCTGTGTCTCTGATCGTGTCAGCGTGTTTATAGTAGCTCATCGACGACTGTAAAAATATGTTTTGGAGCTGTCCTGACAATACCGGCCAATAAAGTGTGTTTCGATACTTCATCAAGTAGTATTGTCATTATTCACTCCAAATCTACGAGCCCCGTACGAATGTGAAGGACGAAAATAACGTCTAATATAAGAAATAACTGGTGTCAGAAAAGAAAAACTTAACAATAGTGATCAATTACATTTATTCCATTACAAATACCTATTGCGGTGATACAGGGACTGGACCGAAATTTCGCCAAGTTAAACGACTATTGGCGATGTTTCGCCAAATTTGGCGATAAAGTAAATCCGTTGCTAGCTTGGCGAGATATCGCCAAATTACAGAGATACCCATTTGAAGTTAAATACCATTTGCGCCTGTGTTTTTATTTTTTCGGCATAGCTCTTCGCTTTTAGATTTTTCTTTTGTTATATTACACAGAAAAAGACACCAATTTCACATATAATTGAACTAAAATCACCTATGTACAAAATTCGTAACAATACAATTTCAAGCTTCTCTTCGGTAATTCTCATTTTAAATTTAAATTTTAAAAGTTTATGGTCTTCTTTTCACCATCAAAGAACAATCAATAAATGAAGAAGCTATTTGTGTGAAATCCAGAAATTATGCAGAATTAGAATACATCACAAATAACGAATTGATTTACAAGTACTGGGTATTTTTACCATTATATAAAAGCTTAATAGGTAAGCTGTGAGAGATTAATTATTTGATAAAACATTCTGCAGTGAAAGTTAAATGAGAGCTTCCGATTTGACACCTGGTAAATCATTTGTTATTTATTTATTCACATATCTTTCAAATAATTATGTAATGAGATTTAATGTGATTTCTTTTTATCAAAAAGGTAAAGGACTTGGAGATTTACCGCTGAAATCTTTTTATGGTTACTTTTAGCTCTTTTGACGGGTTAGATGATAAATCATTTAAATTATATCGACTTTAAAAACTCAGAATTTATTACACGAAATCATAATTTATGATTATTTCAAGTTTACAAAGATAAAGAATGAATACACATATTTCCTGTAAATCCTCATTTTAAAATAGAACAGGCGCATTTGTTTTCCATAAAGAAGGTAAAGAAATTACATGTATGGCAATGTGAATATTAAAATTTATAATTTTTATTTCAAGCCATATCGATAAAATAGGAAGTACAGTTGGTAAAATTCTAGTATACGGTACGGCCTTGGCGCCACCAACAACAAAATGACTCATATACTGCTCATCATTAACACCGCGTTTACTACTTATCGTAATGTCACCAAATCCCGCGTGTACCGTATACTAGGGTTCAGCTGTATAGTTTTATTTTTCTAACAAATTAGCATTTAAAATTTCTCTTCTTTCACTCTTTTCTTTTTCAATGTATGGTTCCTAATCCACATACGTTAACAACTAAGGGCTTAAAAATACACAGAAAGAATTATGTCGTTGTTGTTGTCTTGTCCACGTACTACATAGAAAAATGGTTGCCAGAGCCTCAAGGAAGCTGGACTTCCATTTTCGACCCCAGTTTTGAACATGGAGGTAGGAAGTAAGATGGAGTCGCCCTAAACAAGTTTCTCCGTACCCTGCTCTGAAGCACCGGCGATCCCTACGTGGTGACCAAAACATTGGGTCATTTACCATTGAGTTCTATGGCATTTGACGCGTTCGGGTGTAAATATTTTGTAATTACGTCGCAAATATACATATAAATGTATATATTTTCTTTTTCTACAACACTTCAGAGTCCTAAGTATGTGAAAACAACATATTTTTTAAACAACAGTTCATTCTGAACAGAATTAAATGCTATATACTTTTCACAAGACAGTTTTTCTCAGAATGGTTTAATTTGAATGAAATATTTTCACAAGTTTTCGTTAATTACATTAGAAAAAAAAATTAAGGTAATTGGATTTTATTCGGTTAAGGTACAAAAATTAAGATCAAAGTTTATTGTATTATTAATATTACAATTATGCATTATTTCTTTCTATTTATAGAGCTTCTTCCTAAATACTTTCTTAAATATGACATGATTTTTTGGCTTCTTTTAAATCGAAAAATGTAAGTCAATTTGTAATTAATGCTCTATTCGGTTCATTTCAAATTAGAGAATTATTAGGAATTAGCGAAATACTTTAAATAAGTATTTCGCTAATTCCTAATAATTAAATAGGTATTAAATAGTACTTGACTTTCTCTGAACATTTCTGAAAGGGAATAAAATAAGTTTTTTTTTAAGTATTATTTAAAACTTGTAACTGAGTTTCTATAAAATGTAAGGGGAATAATTCTTTTAATTATACTTATCAGATTTTTTTTTTTTACCCTTCATTTCAACAATACATATTCCAAAACTCTTTATTACGTTCTTAAGTGCGCATCTCATAGCATTTGCTTTACAATACCTTTTAACAGATTGCTTTCCAATACGAACAATTCTTGCTTAAATAGTTTTATAACGTATTTGTCAACAGGATTTCAATTTATGTTTACAATTCAATATTAAGGTTATTATATATTTAGATAACATTTATAATCATTATAAATTAGATACATTTAATCATTAGATTTCTTCACAGTACTTTCACAGTTGTTTATAAGTGAATAAATTCTTCATTTCAAATACATTTATAAATAATTTAATGAATATTTAAGTATTTTGTCAAAGGCAGATACATGCTTTTTGCAAGCACATGCATAAATACCCATACATATTTCCTATTTTCATTTCCGACATGTGCAAATCTTTAATTTCTGTGCATTCACTATATTTTTTCGTGTAAAGTAATTTACACTAATTTTGCATAGACCCGAAAGTTTTACATAAAAATATATATGAATATAATTTGAGTGAAAATTATAAGTATTATTTTTAATATCCACTCAAAGGTCAGTTTTTTCTCTTCAAAATTCCTCCACAATGGCATCTCTCTCTTTAGGCAGATAGCCCTTGCATGCGTTACTCTATTTAATAAAAGCTTAATCTGACCTATGTCCTAATTACAAAATATTTTAACATACATAATTTTATATTTACATTTAGCCATCAAGTTTCAAACTTTTCAAATCTTCTAGAAAATAAATTTTGGCAGATCTCTTTTAGCAATTTTCTTAAATCTATATTTTTGTAGTGCAACAGCTTAGAATTTTATAAAACAAATTCATAATCAAAATCGCTGTTGTTAGTTATCGAAAAATAACCAAGATGTGATTTTTGCGTAAATGTCAGTAAACTATACAAATTGCTATCATCCATCACACTATGAATGTTTCTTTCATGCGAGAGTGTCCCTTTTTCGATTTCTATGGAACTATCGTGTGTCGAAATACTATCAGAATCTTGTCAAGCGAGCTTCTGAATGTAAACAAAGAACACCCCGTCTGGTGACCCAAGCTTCAAAGCAGTGTTTCACTTCTTGCGCGGAATGGCCCCTCCTCCCTTTCCTACCTCCATGGTTTTGAAGGAGAGTGGAGGGAGGGAAGAGGAGGGGGGCCGAGGGTTTCCCAGCTCTTTCCCCTACCATCAAACCACACGAAAGGATTTTCGGCTTGCCATATATTTAGAGTGTCGCCGTGCCGCAAAAACAATACACATTTACAAACATTCATGTGTTCTCCGGGATTCGAGTCCGGACGCTTCGGTTCCGCAGTAAACTTCCCTAACCACTATGCTATCTGGGCGGCCAGAGACTGTTATGGATCAAGACAGTTTAGATTTGTTGCTTTTAATGCGTTTAGGTGCTTAGACAACGTTTCGAAACCAAACTTTTTAATCTTTCGAGCCATATGCATATAGTTCAGATTTATCGTGACTCACAAGTATATTGTTTTTCTGAAAGAAAGGGCAGGCAGGGAATGTCGTAGAAGAAAATAATGGGCTCTAGCGTAAAATTGGGTGCCTCTTCAGTTAGCGACAAATGTTGTTAAATTTCGGCGATAAAACACCATTTCTGGTTCCCATGATAGTTTTAACTTTGTTTCAACTTCCTGATTTTTTTTTAATGAAAATAAATCAACGTGTACATGGACAAAGTTAAGGCAGTGAGCAATGCCTAGTTTGTGCAATTCTCTGATACATTTTTAAGTGAAAACAGATCGATGTGTACATGGACACCGAGTATGTGCAATTCTTTGAGTTCTTATTTTGGTTTTGTGTAGCGGCCATATTGAAATTGTGCCTTCCTGGCCCAGATCATGGCGTCAAAAAGAATCGACAAAAAACAAGGGGCACCCAGTTGACAACTTTTACCAAATAATATAGTAATGAAATCGATGCTACTTTGGCAGACGGTTGCACGGATTTTTGGCGATTTACGTTGGCGCAATTGTTGTCGCGGTTTTTACAGTCGTCAGCCATCTTGAAAAACGCTGTTTTTACGTATTTTACGCAAAGTAAAGTAATCGAAACTTTAAGAAAATAAATAGCGTTAAAAATAACGGATTAACTTTTTGTTGAAAATGTCGTTTTTTAAGATCGCATGCAAATGCAAATAAATACATTTACTATGAGTATAAAATACTAAAGTAAGGTTATTATTACTTTTATATAGCAAAGGAATAGAATAAAAACAGCGCTATAAAAACATTGCGCTAACGTTTAATTGGATTAAATTAAACATATATATTGATTAATAATTAATAATATTATAAGCCTAAAATACTTATATGCGCTTTTTTACATGAAAGTAAGGATTAAATGCGAGATTTCTTTTCCTTTAATCATGAGTCTTTTGTAATGTTTATTGGCCGTGTTATGTGAAGAAAACAATTCTTACCTTGACATTCAGAAGTATCAAATTATAAGGATATGCATTTCAAACTCATTATGTATTTGTATGTAAGATATGGTAGTAATGGATATAACTGATAAATGATTGCAGAACTATTTGTTTTCAAAATTATTGTTTGTTAGTATTGGTCTAACTTTCATGCAAGCACTAACTTTCATTCATGATACACGTGATATAAAATGTATTATTTTTTTTAAGTGCATGCAACTCGAGAGAAATTTAAACTCTGAATTTTATTCTGACCTTCAGTAGGAAAAGTATTTGTCTAACACTCGCCAGAGCTAAGAAATATGGGATACAAATTCTGCAGTGTTTTTCAATGCACTTCGAAGTGATTTTTTTCAAAATTCAATTAAGATTTTTGGATACGATGTTTTATGGGTTTTCAGCTGACAAATATCGAACTAATTATAAACGAATGTCATCAAATTAATCATTAACATTTTATGCAAATGGACTTCAAAGTTTTAATACTTATGCAATTGGACTTCAAAAGTTTCCCTACTACTAAATATATAAAGATCTAATTGATCTACAGGTTAGCCATTTTGAAACTTTTGCTATTCCATTAAAACAGTATTTCTTTGCTATTTCCAAATAAACATAGCATATTCTTGCGTACGTACGGATTCGTAATAAAGTGAATGCACAAGTCTGAGGAAAAGTGAATATTTTAAAAATAATGTATATAAAATGGGTGAATGATATTTAAATTAAGCCTAAATTTCGAATTCTGGAAGAACGAATCAAGTAAGTAAAAAAGAGATTTTAATAAACATATACCAAATTCAATTAACATTGAGGAGCGAAAATGTTGAGAGCTAATTTTTTAAAAACTACTCTCGCGATTTTTACAAAACTTTTCAGTTTGGCATAATTCGAGTCGAAGAATCGAAATATAGAAAACCATTGGCATGTCATTTCAGCAAAAGTCGGATTTTGTATCAGAATACCTACGTTAGAACAATGCTATATATAAATCTAATACACATCCTAAGTTCCACCTTTCGAGACACAGGGTCGGATTTAGACTTGATAAGGCCCTAAGTTATTTGAAATATGGGGCCCTTTATAGGTTCAGATATTATATGTCAGTATCAAATATGATTTTCAGATACCTAGAGGGTTTTTGGGGGACCACCTCAAGAAAGCAGATGCCTTACGTTACAGTTTGTGCAGCTTTATACGTAAATCTTGCACTGTCGAGACAAGAAAAATGCAAGCTGAATTTTGTCAATCGGCCCAGTAGAACAGAAGATATAGAACTGCCCGTCCTTCTTTTTTGCGCAGTGTACAAATCAGAAGAGATCACATTCGATATTAAATTTATAAGCCTTCATTTTTAAGATATTTTTTTTATCTCACCTTTTAATATATTACTACTATTTTTATTATTTTACGTTAAAGATTTATGTCACATTCAGTGTTCTTAAAAGTTTCCTTTTGTATTTAAGTGTAATTATGTTATATATCATTCTTTGGAATATCATCAAATCATAGTTCGCAGTTTTTGAAGAAATCCATGGTTTTATGTATGCAAAGAAAATTAAATACTTAATTACTTAAAAGTGTTTACCTTTATATTTATGTGTTATGACGTTATGTATCATGCTACAGAAGTTCATAAGATTGCAGTTCCCATTTTCTGAGAAATCTTATGCTTGTAAAGATAATTTTTGACAATGACGGCAAATCTGAATCACGGACGAGTTAAATATTTAGAGAGCAATAATAATTTCTTCTGTGGGTATTAAGATTTTTTATTATTAATTTGCGTTATTATTATGTATGATTATTAACTTCTTTAGCAATAATAATATGTATCGTTTTCCTTTTGATAAATGTGTTTCATTGTAGTAGTTCGGAAAAAATGCTATTAGAGCTGAAAAAGAGGACTAATTAAATCCGTTGTACTTTTGCCGCAAATTAAATTATTACTGTTTTCAGGTTAAACAAAAGATATGTGATTTACGAGAAAATATGTAAAATACCTCAATAATGCTAAAATAAGAAGTAGCTTCTCCTCATTCGTAATGAAATTGAATTCTAACCATTTCTCTAAAAACTCGTACAGACTCACAGCACTCAGAAAAATACTTTTTACTTCCTTGTACGAAGTAAAAAGGAAGTATTGTAATCGCGAAAAGTTTCAGGCAGCATATTTCAACGAAAATATCCATTTTGACCACCGCTATCGAATGTAATTTAACGATGTTTTTGCGTGATATCTGTACGTAAGGACAGAATAAAATACTCTTTTCCTTCAAAAAAATTATAAAACTGCTTTAAAATTAATTCTGAAGAGAATTTTTCGTGGCGTCTGTACGAACGTATGTACGTACGTGCGTACGTACGTATCTCGCATAAATCAAAAACGTGTAGCCTCAGAACGTTGGAATTTCGTATATAGGACTGCTATAACATGTAGATGTGCACCTCGTATTTTGGTTGCAATCGGCCGCACCAAACGTATATAAATATATTTATATATATATCCACTTTGTTACCTGGCTCAGTGATCTCAGTTTCTTTACTCTTATATGTTTGTAAATTGTACATTTTGTGCTTTAAAAATTATTGAATTATGTTTTTTTTTATCTTCCGGTTAAGATTTTGATGTCTTTAGTAAATCTGTGTGCAATATTTTTAGAATTATCAGCAAGTTGTTTAATTGCCGCTAAGCCTTTTTTAATGGCGGCCATTGATGTTTACATTTGAAATAGGAGACTAGTGGATTTGTTGCCAATCTAGAGAAACTTAGCTTCGCAACAACAAAGATAACGCATTCCTTTATTATTGCCAATTAAATCATGCTTAATTCTTTCTGGAATTTTTTCAAGGAAATAAGTGTTTGAGATTTACTTCGTAATTTTTAATATAGATATTTTGAGTTTTTATGTATTTTTTTTGCCTTCTCGCGATGTGAGAACTGATTAATTAATGAGAATACTCAATCGTCTGTGAAAAACTGTTTCTTTTTGTTTTGTTTGCTTAATTTTTTATACATCATTCTAGCTTTATTATACACTGGTGTGCAAAAATTAAGGACGAAGTCGAAAAATTAGCATATCCGCTGAACGAAGAGGCAGAGCGGACAGAAAGCCAATCAGGAGATTAGTAAGGTGATGTACGGTAGCACATGCACAGATATGCAGTTAGACGTAATGGGTGTGTCTGAGTAGTAATAAGCGTCTTGTCGTGTAAGATCATTATTTCTGGCAAAGAGATTGCACCCGTATAGCAGTTAAAATCACACCGAGTTGCTGCCTCAGCGAGAAATGGCGAATAATCAATCTGTTAGACGACATCTGGATGCTTTTACCCGAGGTTGAATCATTGGGAAGTTGGACGAAGGCAGCAGTGTGACAAGTGTGGCTGCAGAGTTCGGAATTGCTCACAGCATCGTTTCACGACTTTGGAGGCAATTTCAAACTACAGGAACAGCTATCCGGGGTTTAGTAGTGGTCGTCCACGAGGAACCACACCCGCAGATGACCGGTATATTGCCTTACAAGCCAGAAGAAACAGGCGGCAGACAGCGGGAGAAATCGCTAGGCACACGACACAGGCGACTGGACGACCGATATCGCGTTTTACCGTGGCCACAAGGCTGCACGGTGGTGGTCTGTTTGCACGACGCCCTGTACGGTGTGTACCTCTAACGCCTGCCCATCGGAGAAGGCGTTCTCTGTGGTGCCGGGAACACCGGAATTGGAGAGACAATGAATAGGGACGAGTACTCTTTACAGATTCAGTCTGAGTAGCGATTCTCATCGCATACTCATCTGGAGAGAGCGGGGAAGCCGCAATCATCCCTCGAACATCATTGAAAGGGACAGGTATGGAGGTGGCGGTGTTCTCGTTTGGGGAGGCATCATGCTTGGTAGTCGTACAGACCTTCACACATCTTCGACGACGCAGGTTCAATCAACGGGACCGTTTATTGTAACGAGATTCTTCTTCCATATGTGCGTCTTTTTAGAGGCGCTATGGGTCCGCAGTTCCTTTTCATGGACGACAATGCACCATGTCATCGCACAGTAGCTGCCGAACAGCTCTTAGAGAGTGAAGATATTGAATGTATGGATTGGCCGGCACGATCTCCGGATCTCAATCCCATCAAGCATGTATGGGATTTTCTAGGCAGATGCTTGGCAGCTCGTACCTTACCACCAGTAACGATTCCGGAGCTTCGATTGGCGCTGCAAGACGAATGGGCAGCAGTGCCTCAGCAACTCATTGACACCCAAGGTCCGTACAGTGAAAAGGTTCGCGCATTCGGAAACTGAGGCATAGAGCGCATGCGTCAAGTCTCAACGTATGACGTCACAGGGCGACCAGACGAGGCCTACGTGATATACGTCTAAGGGAAACGCCGTCATTGCTTTCGAATGCTGAACTCCTGTGAAGTCCTCTGTCAGTGAGAATATTTTCTTCAAGGTTAGTAAAATTTCAGTACTTTTGTTTTATTTTAATGTTACGTAATATTCACTTCTGTTTTATACTATCAAATATTTTATCTTCAGTACTAATTGTAAAATAACAAGCTTAAGTTCAGAGCTTGTTTATAGACGAATTTTGTATATCTATTTGTGCCAAAACAGCTTAAATTACAGAATAAAGATTACAAAAATGTGTATATATGTGAAATTACAAATTAAAAAAAAAAAATAAATAAAAAAATAAACATGTCTAGTATTTCCGCGCATTAGTTGTTAAAAAATTATCAGTAAAGACATAAAGTAAGAAATTTACTTTTCACAAAGACCAAAAGGTGAAATTCGTAATTAAAAAATTTCAAATAATTCTTTAAATGCAAAAAAGAATTTTAAAAAGTTTATAAAAAAGTATTTAAAAAATGTTTTTAAAAAGTTACATATATATATTAATGTAATATAACATAGTTTTCTATATCAAAAGGTTAAAATATTTACTGAATATTTTTATATTATATTATGGAATGCTTACAGTGCAGAAAAACGATTCTGAAATTCTTTCTTTTGTTCAATTTTACTAGATGCCTGGAATGCGATGTGCCGTTGCTCTTTTGCAACAACAGTTTAGAAAAAACTAAAAATTTATCTGAGCGCATAGTTTATCATAAATTTCCAAGTGATCCTACATTAAGAAGGAAGTGGATAAATCTTTGCCGTCGAGAAGATAAATGGAATGCAAATTCTTCTAGGATATGTTCTGTTCTGCCCATTTTACTGCGTATAAACTGAAAGAAGATCCAAATTGTATTTCGTCGTGGATACAACATCTGTCTCATGGAGGACTAATTCAACCCTCTGAAGAGTGGAAAACGCAGGTCCATAAAATGGAAGAACAATTTTTAATTTTCAACGGTTCCACTTTAAGAAAGGGAGAAAATATTATAAAGGACTTTGTCAAAACCCTTAAACAGCAGTTTTCCGACACAGATGAAAACTTACTTAAGTCCTTTGCTAGAATTCGAACTTTCATACGATTAAGGACTTTAAATCAAAAATTAGTTAATAAAAAATATTCGAAAGCACAAAAAAGAAGACTAAATTCAGTCGACGAAAACTGTGACATAACGCGAAAAAGAAAAAATAAATTGAAGAAAATAATTTCGTAATATCAAAAAAATTATTTCTTTAACTGAATATAAATCGAGCTATCTTTTGTTTTGTTATCTTAGGTGCGCTATTTTTTTAGCCTAACCATTGTAAGGAATACTTAAAATTTTTCTTCAAGCAAAGCTTAGCTGCGGAAAAAATGGTGTATCCAGCATATCTGTTGAAAGAAATATTTTTTATTAAACAGAACTGATCCAAATTACGTAACTAGACTAAATTTTAGATGCAAATACCTGGTTACTTTTGGAAAGAAAAATATATTTTGTATTACGTATTATCTGATATATATATATTTTTTAAACATTCATCTCATAATATTTGTATATATTATATATATATAATGCATATATCTTAGTGTAAAATATTATATGTATATATATAATACATCTTCATAATGTAAAATAAATAAATAAAAATATTTTTGATTCTGAAAAAGCGAATTGTGACATAAAAAAATCTGCAACTACAAAAATCTATTTTGTTTTTTTACAATAGCATTTGCGAATTCATGTGCCAGTTCCTTATTCAGTATGATATTTGAATTAGCTTAGATTATGTTTAGAATTTAATAAATATAGCCACTAAACTTATGCAATTTACAGCACATAATTTGGGTTCTGAACTTAATTTGCCCTCGGTTTAAATTATTCAAAGTTTATTTTTATAAGATATCTTTATATACTGTCTTAAAAATTATACGCTCAAGTATAAAATATGTCAAAGAAATAAGGGTATGTACAATGCAAATTTATTTTTCAGGTTAGTGTTCATTCATTGATTTGCGTATTTATTCGATACGTTTAGTTTTAAATATATATTTCAAAAGTCGTATGTATGTCGATAAAAAATGTTTATTAGATATTTATACATGTTAAATTATGATTTAGTTAATATCCTTCTTTAACATTTTAATGTAAACACCTAGCAAATAAGAACAGTCAAATAAGCGCAAATTCGTTTCAAGCGCCTACCGTAGTTTCTACCCTCGTAGTATAAGAGAAAGCAACAGAGGTCTCTGTGACGTGGTTGACCATTCAACGCGTTTTTCCTCTTATGCGCGAACCTTTTCACTGTACGGACCTTGATTGACACCCTCATTCTCAGCATGGGCAGACGCTGTGAAACCTGCCTAGCAGTCAGGGGAGATCATATCCCCTATTAAAGACCTGCGATCTCTTCGATCTTTCTTATCGCACAGGTCTTTGACCCTTCCTCAGCGAAATTGAAAGTCGAAAGAACTTCTCGTCCCTTGAGTGGACTCCTCATTCATTACTGGTTTTTAAACCCTTAACGGTTTTCACTCCTCACTTTAGCTATGCTTAATCTTAATTATTCAATATTTTCTTAACGAAGTTGTGGAGGTTATTGTATTTATTTGCAAAGGTACTCCGGAAGCAAAACGCCTTGGGCCTATTAAAGACCGGATGTTTCTTGCTGGACACCCATCACAGGGATGTGTCGGCCTTCAGTCGCATTGCGCTCCATGCTACTTTTTCAATAAAGCTTCTTTTTATCCCTCTGATTTCTCTTTTAGTAAGTGTTGCTTACATTACTCATGTCCTTACGTGTTGGGGATCTTACGGTATTAAATGTGTTGATTTGGAAAGCTTTTGTACAAAGTTATATTGAAAAACCGTCTCGTTCTTAATTTTTGCACACCAGTATAGTATTTGAATAGAACATGTGGCAACGATTAGATAATTCTAATTTTTAAATGATGTAAATTTTGTGCATTATGAGTCATAATATGAACGAAATATAATACTGTTAAGTGAATCTAGCGCCAGAGTGCCGCTATGGTAAACAAATACTAGAGTGAATTTTAAAGAATGCATTTATTCTATTGTGGTTTATGCGCTGCCGGCGAAGTAGATTTAATTCAATCCAATAAGTTTAAATGAAATGCAAGAAAAAATGCTATAATTTAATATTCTGTACAAGGAAGTCATGTGGTGTACACATCAGATTTTTTTTAAATTGAGATTGAAGAGAATTAAACAGAATTCGAATTTAGAGGAAATGTATTTTTAACTACATAAGAATTTTAATGACATTTAGTTGAGCTTACCATGAGCCTTTTACGGTACTTCAGGTGAATTACAGAAAGTTTTAGGGTAATTATTTTAATAGATAGAATTAAACGTTACAAAGCGATGAAAAGACAATCAAGATGAAAACAGAAGAAGATTTATTACATAAACAAGGCCTTAGTACATAAAAAAAATTTACATTTTCAGTAAAAATATAGTCAATTACTGCACATTTAAGCCAATTCTTTTCAAATATTGATTGATTCCATCGTTTGCGAGTTTTCGTAATCCGTCTACAAAATCTTGCGACGAAGAAGAATCGTTGTTGTCTGGGTCCTCATTCGTTAATCTTCTTAGCAATTCGTTGAACTAAAAATAAATAAATGAATAAATGCTATAGTTTGTTAAGCCACTATATAAATATTGATAACCAACAAAAATGGAAATTCAAAATTCGGGTTTCCAGGTGTCTATGTTCGGGTGGAAGACTATGTTATTCAAAATTTGGTGGCTTTAGCTACAATTGTTTTTTTACAGAGCGAGAAACATGCATACATTCATGCAGATTCTTCATTATTTAATTTCTTTAAATACAATTAAGGCATTAATATTTGGTGGCAACAATTTGAAAAGTGATACTCTGTTTATAGTGATTCAACGCAAAATGTCGTTTCGAGACGAATATCTCATTTGGGAAAAATGTCGATTTTCAGCTAAAAAGTTATTTTGCATTATGGGGGAGGGGAGTGAGAAGTGTTTGCTTTCTGTCAAAATGTATACAATATTTAGGTTTACATAAAATAATGAATCTATTTAACTTCAATAATGTAAAATGTGTAAAAGTAAGTTCTCGCATATTATTAGCATACTTTTTGTAACCGCTTAAAAGTCTCTCTAACGAAAAACGCGTAGCATACCAAGAAGCATATAAAGGCTTCAGTTTAGGTTACTAGTTCATGATAATTTTTTTCTTCATTCTTTACCTAAAGAACATGCGTCATTCTATGGAATGCATAGGTATTATATATAATGCGTAGGTAAGGTATGTAATAATTTTCATATTTCATACTTTGCCTAGAAACGCAAGGTCCTATAAAATGCCTACGCATTCTGCAGAATGCCGGCTTTTCATATTTTCCGGTAATATTTTGGGGTTCTACCCTTTTATCTAACTACTAAATGTGGAAGAGCCTAGTGAACAGCTAAGCGAATAATTGCGTTAGTTCAGGAACAGAGACGTAGTAAACTCGAGAAGGGTTAATTACCCTTTACTGCTCAAATTCAGAGTTTAACCATTATAACCATAACAGAGGGCCCCTTTCTCAGGGCGTACAGTAAAGCCTCCACTTGGGCTTAAACTCAAAATAATACGAAATAAGACTTCGTATTATTAGTAATAGCATAGTAACAGCTTAGAGAGACTTAGTAACAGCTTAGAGAGCGTAGTAACAGCTTAGAGAGAGCTACAGCGTAGTAATTAATAGCTTAGAGAGATGTAGCCAAAAGGAAAATGCATGCTAGTCAGAAACTCTAAAGCTCTCTCTCGTAGTCAGTGGAATTTAAATACTACTCTTAATCATTTGCATTAAACGCGATTCTAAAAGCACATTCTTTTAGGAAATGGTAAGCTGAAATTAGGATGGACAGGACAGTAGCTTTAACTAAAAATAACTGTTAATGACTTAGGATAAAACTTACAACATATTCACTAAATTTATTCTTTGATATAACTGCTACAAAGCAGACCTGAACATTAATACAGTTTACGGTATGAATAGTGTATAATTAGAACTACAATATTCAGGGTTAATTTACAGTTATCTTTAGAAAGGAATGCCAATACAATTTACGTTACGTTATCAAAAAATTAAAGGGCATAAATAAATTTAAAAAAAAAAAAAAAAAAAAAAAAAAAAAAAAAAAACATTTTTTCATTTCCTTTTAGCATAAGTTACGAATGTTTTGACTATTTCGAAACAAAACTGTCATATTCGTAGGAAATACATTTCCAAAGAAAATCTGTAAATGTCGTAAAATCTCTGAAGTCTTCTTTTGAAATGTATAAAAAATGGTAGAAGAATCTAAATTTCACATTTTAAAAATTACGAGAAAAAAGATTGCCTAATATTTAACCACATTGAATACTTATTTTTTCCGTTCTCTATGTTTGCAACACCAAAAGAAAAAAAAAAATAAATAAAATAAAAAAAAAAAATAAAAAATAAAAATAAAAATAATAAAGTTCTACATGTGTTCCTGGTTTTAATACTCGTATATGATGCTATAGTTTTGTTTTGCGAGGACTATTCATAAATAATCTTCTTTATAATTAAAAAGTTGATAGGAAAACAGCAACAGTGACTCTACTTACCACATTCATAAAACGAGAATTACCATAACCTCTATTTTGTAGAGCATTTCTTACTTGCTTCACTATTTCAGCAAAAACACGTCTTAATACTTGGGCCCATCTGCTGTCTGATCCAAATCTAAAACATCACATATAATCAAGGAAGAGGTTGATTTTTTTTAATCATAAAATATTTCCTTTGAATGAATCTGCTTAAAATTCATAGTTGTTTGGTAATAAAAGAGTTTTAAAAACCGTATATTGCCTTTAAAACAAGTACTTAAATACTTTAAATGACTAATAAAAGTTATTTTTCTTCAGTGGAAAGCATACTTGCTCAAAAAAAAAAAAAAAAAAAAAAAAAAAAAAAAAAAAGCTTACATGCATCAAACTGAAATAAAGGTACACAGCGCAAAAAAGAATGGCACAGTTCTACATCTCCCGTTTTACTGGGCCGATTGACGATACTAAACTTGCGTTTTCCATGTCTGGAAAGCGCGACTTAAGATACGTATTATATTTATATATAGCATTGTTTTAGTATAGGTATTTTGACACAAAAATCGGACTTTTTCTGAAATGACATGCCATTTTTTTTTCCATATTTCGATTCAACGACTCAAATGACGCCAAACTACCAAGTTTTGTAAAAATCGCACGAGTAGTTTTTAAAAAATTATCTCTCAAAATTTTAGCTCCTCAACGTTAATTGAATTTGATATATACTTATTAATACCTCTTTTTTTATTAAACTTACTTGATTCCTTCTTCCAGAATTCGAAATTTAGGCTTAATCCAACTATAATTCGCATATTTTTTATTATTTACTTTAAAAATTTGTATTTTTAAGTATTTTTTATAAATTTTTCGAAAACATTTTTTTTTATTATAACCTATAAAATTTTTTAAATCGTCTTAAAGTAGATGTATTTCTAAGCATATCTGCAAAAAATTAGTTTTTTATTCAAAATTTCCTAATACATACATTTTGGCGTACTTAATATAAGCGATAATAACGAAAATGTGGTTTACGCACTTTGTTAAAATTAACTGAAAAAATGAACGATAGACCTTTTTTCCTCTCGTGCATCAATGAAAAAAGGTACAATGTAATTTATAATGTAATTTTTCATGTGAAATTACATTATAAAGTAAGTAGGTTACCATAAATTAAGAATTCCGCCAACTGAATTATTCTTGGCATAAACTGGAAAAAAAAATGCGCCAAGATAAAGTCCGATTTTGTGTTAAAATACCTATATTAGAATAATTCTATATATAAATCTAATATATATTTTAAGTCGCGATTTCGAGACATGAAAAACGCAATTTGAATTTCGCCAATCGGTCTTAAAGTCAATTCATATCAGGAACATGCGTTTATATTTTATCCCTGAAAACGACTTCCCCCCTTCCTCATGGCGAGTTCTAGGCGTTTATAGGCGTCGGCCACTACTAAGCTCGGAAGAGGTGGTCTCTTTATTATGAAGGCACCTAGGTGGGCTGCCGTTGCCTCCTATGTAGGGTCGGACAAATTATATGCATGCTTTCTCTGGAATTCGATCGAGCCCGGATAATTGGGTAGGGCTATCAGAGGGTCACTAACCACTTTTCCGCCTTAAAGGCTGTAGCAAAACAAACAGACAAAATATATATATATATATATATATATATATATATATATATATATATATTGTTGCTTTGTAGGAATCAGAATGTTAAAAGAAGAAAATTGAAAAGACCTGGGAACCGAATTTTATAAAATGTAAAAGATACAAGCATTAAAATGAGAAAATACAGGCATCTAAAGCACTGAAGCTATAAAAAAAAAAAAGGTACAAATTCAGAGCACTAATCTGTTGAACTGAATTATGCATCCAACAAAATAGCTACAGATGCTGAGAAATTGACACAGCATTTTATAGCTCAACGCATGCTAAACCCTCTTTCATCTCATTGGCTAACGGGCTGCAATTTCTCCTAAGTCGAATTTGTGACTGCAACTTCAAAACCATGTAGAATAAAACAAGACTCAAACAATTCATGCCGGGATTCAAAAACAAAGTATGAAAACATACAGGGGTTGGACAAAAATATGGAAACACTTTTAAAAAAACATGTTTCTTTGCTTAATATGGTGTAGGAAACCCGTTGGCATCCAAAACAGCTTGCTGTCTTCTCGGAATGGATAAATACAGTTCCTGTATGTTTGCCAAAGGAATATTATACCATTCTTCCTGCAAAATGGTGGCAAGTTCAGATAAAGATGTTGGCGGTGGATAACGAGAACGCACTTTCCGTTCCAATGTAGACCACAAAGGTTCGATAATATTCAGATCTGGTGACTGTGGTGGCCAGGGGAAGATGGGACAACTCATCCTCGTGCTCAGAAAACCAGTCCTGGACAATGTGAGCTGTGTGAACAGGGGCTTTGTCGTCTTGGAAGACACCATCACCATCGGGAACAAAGTTTGTACCATGGGATGAACTTGATCAGCCAAAATGTTCACATAAGTCTTGGCAGTCATGTGCCCTGACACAGTTATCATGGGGCTAGCAGAGAACCACGATATGGCTGCCCAAACCATAACAGAACCCCCGCCATGTTTCACTCTTGGCAACAAGAAGTCTGTATTATAGGCTTGAGAGGGCGTTCTCCAGACGTAAACTCGGCCAGAAGTGGGAAACAATCTGAAAGAAGACTCGTCAGACCATATTACTCGCTTCCATTGCTCTATAGTCCAGGCTTTATGACTTAAACACCACCTTTTCCTGTTACGGGCATTAGCATCACTGATGAGTGGCCTCAATTGCAGCACGGCCAGCAATTCCCTGTTTATGAAGCTCCCTTCTAATTGTTTTGGTACTCACAGGATTCAGTAACACAACATTCATTTCAGCAGTAACTTTTGCAGCTGTGGTCTTCTTATTTTTCGTCACAATTGCCCTTAATGATCGTCTGTCACGATCACTCAGGACACACTTTCGTCCGCGCTGTGACTTAGCAGATGATGTTTTTCCGCTTTTCAAATACGCGGAATAAATCTTCGATACAGTACCTCTTGAAACACTAAACACCTCGGCTACCTTGCTTACGGAAGCACCTACCATACGTGCTCCAACAATTTGCCCACGTTCGAAGTCTGTTAACTCTGACATAATGCAATGACAACCTCACATAACAGTACTCCGACAACAATTGAACTGTTTAGCACATTTACGAAGTGTATAGGGTGCGTCAGTAGTCAAAAACGCCAGCGCCACCTACATATTTCATTAAAATCAATCTTTCTTTTCAAACATGCATTTCACAAGGTGTTTCCATATTTTTGTCCATCCACTGTATATTACGAGGTTCAGACAATTATGAATGTACACTGGTTATCATAAATTAAGGAAAAATCACGATTACAGAAAAAGTTACTTGTAGGATTTTATGGAATTTACCCACAATATACAACACATAGTAAGGTATCAAATAACACATAAAGAAATTACCAGACAATTATGGTAGTATAGAAATTAGCACATGTATAAAATGAACAAATCGAAGATGTCAGTTTGCTATAGTAAAAGTACCTTCAATATGGAATATAATCTCCTCTAGAAGCAATACAGCACATTTAGCGATGTGTGATACTTTCAGTTATGCGGTCTATCAGTTCCATAGGAAGCGAGAGCCATTGTTCTTTCAAGCAGTTGCAAGCGCGGCAAGGGTCTAAGGGGGCGGATTGAGAGCAGCTAGACGTCTCCCTAAAGCATCCCAAACGTGCTCGATAGGATTCAAGTCCGGGGATCGAGCTGGCATAATCGTTTCCTATTGAAGATAATCATATACGATGCGAGCCCTGTGTGGTCTTGCATTGTCGTCCTGTAACAGGAAAGCATCACCTATTGCCCCGGCATATGGGCGCACATAAGCATCGAGGATGTCATCTCTATAAACATGAGTATTCACGGTTCCCTTGGAAAAACACGGAGGTCTGTGCGTCCACCCAAAGAGATCCACCCCAAACACAGACACTGCCTCTTCCGTATGCATCTCTTTTCACGGATATTTGACGGATAATAACGGGTTCCAGGTTCTCTCCATATCAAATAACGCCTATTATCGCTTTCTAGACTAAACCTGGACTCATCCGTAAAGAGAATAGCCCTCCATTGCTCAGGCGTCCAGTGGACGTGTTGTGGTGCCCACTGCGAACGGTCCCTCTTATGGCGTAACTTGAGCGGCACGCAAATAGTTCTTCGCCTCGCATACAGACCAACTTCGTGAAGCCTTCTACGCACAGTTGACGCTGACCCCAACCTTCCGGTAGCTGCAGCAAGGGAGTATCTAAGAAGAGTCGGAATAGCGGTTCTATTCCTGAGTGCACATAATGTCAAATATTGGTCATCGGCGCTAGTCGTAGCAGTTGGCCGTCCTCGGCTGAACCTCCTACGTGCCGAATCTGTGATTTGAAACTGCCTCCAAATTCTATGAACCATAGAAGTACTCACATTTAGCCATCTGGCCACTTCTGTTTGACTTTGTCCTGCCTCTAGTCTCCCAATGGGTCTCTATCGTAGTTCTGCAGGCAAATGATGCCTGGAGGTAATTGTTACGAATTGGCTATCTCAGATTTCTGATGTCAGTATCACAGTGAAATATGTGGGCTTGCTCTCAAACATGGACTTTTATGCTCCTTGCAGATGACGTATTCCGAGCGCAGCGCCACTAATTTGCATATTGGAGTTTTACTCAGCTACTCTTACTTGGCAACATATTCAAATTTTACACGGTTTGGCTTATTTTTGAGGGAGTTATCGCTATTTTTGTGATTTTCCTTAATTTATGATAACCAGTGTATATATGTATTAAAACAACGTTCACTTTACCCATATGGACTTAACACTTATATACATAGTCATAGAGATACTTCTAAGAAGTCTATTTTCAGCCAATTTAAGCTCTACAGCATCAAAACGCAGAGAGGAAAAAGAGGAAGCAAAATAAAAAATAATGCGAGATTTTTATCCACTTTGGATACACTTGCATTGAAAAAACAATTGAAATGTTTCTTTGACTCAGACTGCTTTCCCAAGAAACTTCTCAACTGGTTACACTCCTGTACTAATAAATTCCTTATCAAACTAAAA